CGCGATCCCCGAATCGATACAGCCTCTCGTCCAGTCTACCCGCGGCCGTAGAAGCCTCCACGCGCCATTTTATACTTTTATTATACAAATTTGTTTTTTAACAACTTTATTAGAGGTTTTTACGTAGAACTGCTCCGGAGATATTTCTGGAGATGGCACAGTGTTGAGGGTAAGTTTAGTCAGATTAACTCTTTTCCCGACACTAACTGTGTAAAACATAAATCGCACAGATCGCAGGATATTTTTAATGTAAATCATTAAAATAGTATAATATTTTAAGCAATCATAATAATTATTATTTATTAAGATAAAGTAGGTATATTCCAAATCTTTTAAAAATGACGTTCACCCTTCTCTCTGATAGTTCGCGTGGCGACGCTGGGACCTACAACCGAAACATTTTCTTGCCGAATGCAGCAACTTTAACTGATCTAAAAATAACTTCAGTCGTCCTTCAATTATTTTGGCTGCACATTGTTGTTTTAAAAAGCGCCCCCTAGCGAGGCGAATCGTCACTCGGCCTCGCCCATTCATAGTGCAAAGTACGCAAGTGCACTGAGAATGCAGAACCTAAATTTATTTTTAAAACAATTTTTTAAAGTCCGTAACTATATAATTTATGACTAAAATTTAATTCATTACAATCAGAAAGATATACTCAGAATAATTTATACATAACAATTTATTCTCTCATTGATACATCGTTTCAAGTAAATCAAGATTTAAAATATCTATTAAGGACCGGTTTCGCTGCTGTTACCTTAGTTAGTTCAAAAGCCTCGTATTGAAACGACCGCCGCACCTGAATATCCCTTTTTAGCGATAGTGTGGGGAGATGCATTGACGCGGGAGGAACACCTCCCTGTTAAACCCGGGGCGTGTCCTGAAATGCACTCCTTTCTTTGACACGCCTATTGCGCCATGAGGGTAGCTTAACTCCACAGGTTGAAGTTTAAACATTATAGCTGCGCCTACAATTAATATAATATCCGGGTATTGTACCCACTCAACATACAGCAACTACGCTTATTCGTTATAAACGTTTGCTTACATTTTTGTATATGTACAGAAAGAACGAAGTAAGTTTTTACTTCGTTCGTAGATAGTTTTGTCTTTTTCATTAAAATAAGCCAAGAGATGAGAGAACATCACCCCAATTACAGTGGTTAAACATTATTTTTAGAAGCAGCTCGTTATCCCGAGTGTAAACAACGAGCTGAGAATTACAGCATGCATTGTGCCTCGGCACTTGACCGGGATAGACCGCTTTTGTTCCAGCCTTCACTAAATATTCCCCGCTATTAGCTGGGCTGCGGATATTGGCAATTTAATAATGGCGCGGCTTTAGTACACAATCACAATGTTTTTTTGTAAAGTGCAATTCTTTAAGCGCCTGCTATGAAACTAACCTACAAGTACAATGAAAATAGATTTAAATCTAATTTCTAAAGTGTCTCAAAAGGTTAAGAGACACTCACTTTAAAAACTTCGATGTACTCTGCTCAAATAATAATCCTTGTAATGATTTACGCATATTTGTGATTTTCAGTGGTCATTCTTTTATTTAAAATTGAATGATTGCAATTAGGGTTTTAATCTTAAAATAGCAAGATCGTATAAATTAGAGGCGGGTGATTATGAGATATACTAACGAAATCCTTCGATTAGGAAAATGTCTCGAGATATCTCGATTATAGCGGTTAGTAGTTACTAATATTACGATTATGAGATATACTAATGAAATCATTCAAATGAAATGTTAGTAGTTACTAATACTAGTAAGAAGAGGTGGGTCGATTATGAGATATACTAATGAAATCATTGGATTATGAAATGTTAGTAGTTACAATAGAGAAGGATAATTAGAAGTTTTTAATACTTTTAGGTTAGGACAACGCACTATGGCTTTAGCTCGCTTTCACATTTAGTATAATGGCGGATGTGACCCTTTTATCATTTTTTTATTACGAGCATATTCTATTAGAAGACGGTATAATAACAATAAAACTAGAGGAATATTTAATATTTCTTGATATTTTTCGGCTTTTTATTGTTTTTGTATTTAGGTTTCCCAAAGAAGTTACTAATTTCTTCTTAGATGGTCGCCGCAATTTCAGAAATCAGTTAGTCTGAAATAAAACGGTTAATTATTAACAATATTTCTTGAATTAAATATAAAGATTCATTATTTATTAAAAAGTTATTTAAAACTAAGTCATAATTACACTTTTAGACAGATTTAAAAAAGTTCGGTCAACTTACTTTTAAATATGATAAATCCACTAAAAGGTCAAAAGTGCCACGTCTCACAATATCGTAGTAAACAAAACAAACTACACCAGAATATAAAAGTATCTATTATTGTTTAAACAACTTAAGTCAAGGAGTGCTCGATTAGTATTACTAATTAGTAACATCATTAGATTATGAAAACAAATTAGTTACTAATCCCATAATCGATTACCAACATTAGTAATACAAAATAAATCGATTATGCCGATCATTCATAATCGCCCAGCTCTGGTATAAATAAATAGGCCTAAACATCGCCCACAGATAAATACTACATAGTTCATTGGAATACATGACGTGTAGTGCTCTTTTGCATAATTTTTTTGACATTAACCACTGAATCGAATATACAGTAACGCTATCTGCTAGGCAATATGCATATTAATTTAGAATTGAATTATGGAACGCCATTTTGAACGGTTTCCCGCTTTAAAGGATCTGTCAAAATGACATTAGTATCGGTCAAAGGTCATCGCGCAAAAAGCTCAGTGCGCACTGCGCGGTTGCATATTCTTCCCGCTTTCACAGATAGCACGGCGGTCTTCGCCAGTGTTATCTTTGTTGCTCGTGTGTGCGGACTTACATGAAGTCGCAAATAGAATAACGAATGTTTCAAGTAAATCATGAATGTCGGGTTGAATTATTAATAATTTGGTGACATTTGTTAGTGGCTGGCTTGAGTTACGACTTATAATATATTAAAAGCTGTGTTGTGGTAGTACGAAAATACTTGTAAATATTTAAATTAAGAAAAAACTATTTTAAGGTAACTGTTAACGAAACATTTTACATACTTTAAAGCTTAAATATTATCAACGGCTTACTTAATGTCAATGAAGTTAGACAAAATAAAATATATAATAAACGTATTTATTTAATTACGTTTATTATTGTTACCTCCTGGCGATCTGTAAGTTTGACATTTTAGCGAGTTTATATCGACTTTGGCTCTTATCCAAATGACAAACAAATTGAACCGAGATGTCATTAAATAACAGTTATCCTGAAAATTATAGGGAAGTAATTTTTAGAATATTAATTTGCTAATTAGTTACTTCCATATTCCAGTATCTAAATGCCCACGACATCGTTTGCATGCCGTCGCTCGCGACCCGTGGTCCTTTCAAGTTAATCTAAAAATAAAACATATAGTAGGACTTTTTTTCGATCATTTAAAGAGGATTAATTCTTTCGTACATATTTTTGGGTATCTTGAACCGTTCTTGCAGCGTACGGCCTCGGAAACCCATAATGATAAATAATTTTCCCCGGTTTTTTTAACATTACTCGCTGTTTCTTCGCTCCTATTAGTCACAACAATGTGCGCATAGCCTTCTTTGATAAATGCTCTACCCAACACAAAAATATTTTTTCAATTCGAACCCGTAGTTCCTGAGATTAGCGCGTTCAAACAAACAAACTTACTCTTCAGCTTTACATATTAGTATAGATTTATTTTCTCTTTCTTCGACAAAAAGGAAGAGATTATTAATCTTATGAAAAATTTAACTATATTAAATAAAAGGGCATGGGACCGTCCCAATTATTGTTAAAAATGGTTTGAATGTCGATTATGTCAATTGTAATTCGTTTCAAAGAGATTTTTGAATAGTTATTACCGTAGGGACAAAATTCACATAAAACATACCTAATATGCTAAACACAAACTTCAATCTTTGGACCGATACAACGATTGCTGTCTTTGCATAGCCTAATACTCAGCTAGTATTGCCCCTGTTAAATAATAGTTACGATAAATTATTGACAGGTCTGTTATTTAGGTGCTACAAGCTTATCGTAGGCTTTCTGTACTCTACGCTTTGTAGCTTCGTAGCGAGCTACGTTAGCCTCTTCAGTGAAGCAGAAGCTTATAACATATTTCCTGAGATTATCTTCGTAAAAACTTCACAGACGATAGAGGATTTCGATATAATTGTAAATGAAACGATAATAGAGTTAGTTATAGGGTGAACGAAGGGGTCGGCCGAGCTAATTGAATTAAAAATGCCGTCGGCGTTGGTTCACTAATTTTCGCTTCCTAGCTTATTACAAAACTGCAGGAATTCATGTGAATATTTTACGTTAAACGCGGGATCAGAACTTGCAATTATCCACTCAAGGTCCAATTAAACTTTCCTAGCGTGAGTTGCACGTTAAATGTTAAGTATGTTGTTAACTTTAGGTGCGTGAAATCGTTTCCGTCGCTTTGGACTTGTAAGACGCTTGAAATTCATTTCCCCTCAAGAACAATGAGACGTTTTGTATGGGATAAAGAGAATTGCGATTTTAATGGGCAAACTAAATAACGAACCGAAATTTTTCTTTAAATAATAATTTCGTATTGTCACAATGAATCGACGTCATGTTCAATTTCTAAATAATTAATTTCAATTAAAGTTATAAATAATATGGTTAATTAAATACTATCCTTAGTTACCCCGCGTAGTACGCATTTAAATAAAATATATATATATAATTTAGATTCATTGTAGATAGAGAGTGTTCCTAGCGTAACAGCTTTGACATTGTCTAATATGTTTCGCGTTTAAAAATGTAAATTATATCTATTTTGTATTATAATAGTAGTATAAATATTTTATAGAAAAACAAGATGGCCGCTCGCAACTATGAAATACCAAAACTTTGGATATACTTAGATATACTTTTCATGTATCTGTTCTCAAAGAGAGCTTTGTTTCAGGGAGAGGATGGACTACTCTCGGCCATTATGTGCCCTCTTTGCTCTACTAGTTTTCTACTTAACGCACCTCGCACAGTGAGTATCTTTCGGATTGTAGTTTAATTTTAAGTGGGACAATTAAAATTGGTCCTTTTTTTTTCAATTTTAACCTTCTAACAACTTCTGCAACAATTGACTTAAAGGTTTGATAGACGTTATAACTTCCTATACACAGGTACTTAATTCTTCGTTGATTATAAACTATTGAAATCGAACAGTCGAAACATTAATTTTCTTTATAAAAGATGAACATAGCTATACGCGATAGACAGACGTGTCAAAACATTTGCCAAAAGGTACGAATTGCTTTAGACAGCTGTGTAATGAGCGATGAACTAATCGTTACTAAATTAAAATAGTTTGAATAAATTTAAGCGATACCTCCAAAAAATAGAAGAACTATCAATAGCTCTATATGAAAGGCGTCAAAAGATTTTTGACACGTTGTTACATTGTTGGCAGTGGTCGTGTACAGCACAAAATTCTTTAGTCTCCGTTATTTATAACTCATTCGTATTGTCAAGAAAACATGTCTGGCACTACGAGCTAAGTAACAATACGCAATTTCACTACAACTCGAGCGGAGAAGATCTAAAGGAAAATATCATAAAAAAGGTTTGAATCGTACTTGTATTGTTGGTAAAATACAATTAATTGCTTTAGATGCACGAACGCCAAGATAAACTTCCGGGAGAAAGAGAAACAGATCTTGGACCAGATCCTGGGTCCAGGGAGATACGACGCTCGCATCAGACCTTCCGGTATCAATGGCACTGGTTAGTACATGGTATTTCAAACCGATGAAGATTGATATCATCCACCCGAATTACGTTCACTTACTGGCTCATAATAAATTGTATTATCACTGACTGTGAATCCGAAAAATACTAAGTGTGCGTGGTAAAAAGTCGTATGTTTAAAAATGAATAAAATTATACGACAGCGAATGTATGCACTAATAAATCACGCTGTCAGTTTACAGTTGTGAGGTAATTTTGTCTGCGAAAATTATAAGACAGTCGGAAAACCGTTTAATGAATACTAACGCATCATTCATTTCCACACCTGATCATTATGGCGGTACCTGAAAGGTGTTCATATTAATAATGGCGCTGTAAGTTTCAGTCATAATATACGCAATTAAGTCTTTTGTTTTCAAATATATTCGGTTCAAATAAAACACTTTAACGGTTTAAAACGCGATACATTAGTTAAACTTATTTGAAAATGATTTTTAACTTCGGCCCGACGTTTCGTTGTCTCCCCGTGACCACGGCTTCTGTAAAGCATCCGAAACGTCGGGCCGAAGTTAAAAATCATTTTTAAATGAGTTTAACTAATATATCGCGTTTTAAACCGTTAAAGTGTTTTATTTAAATGTGTACTACTCGCGTAAACTATAGACAGTATCTATATATTCGGTTCATGAAAATGTATTTATGATTTTTATTTATTATGATATTGTATGAATAATGGGCTATTCTTGTTAACAATTATATTCTCATGAATTAAATATTGTTTAGCTATTTAAAAGGTCTGCCTATCAGAAAAAAACATTAAATTATTTCTTCACATATAACTCGTTGGAAGAAAAGATTTTTAAGCTCATATTTTTACAAGTCAGGATCTTATCGATATGTTCTGATATGTTGTATTTTAAAAATAGTCTCTGACCACCTCGACAGATGGACCAGCCGTAGTTAATATTAACCTCTTCGTCAGAAGTATAACAACTATAAGCGACATTAAGATGGTTAGTAAGCGTGGAGGTGTCAAGGAACACAATAATTGTTAAATAGTTTCATAATCTCATTTTGTTGTCTCCGTTCGATTTCGACAATGAAGTGAGATCAATTGTTATCGTCATTTCATCTCTTACCATGGGGACGTTATTAATACTGGTGACGAAGAGGGGACCGACTGACGACTGTCTCGGCGTAGCGTATATTAGTAGTACAAGAACGTTACTGATATTTTTAACACTGTGGTAAGGGAACTTTAAATTCGTGCATTATCCATTTTAAGTACCTTTGCTTCGATTTGCATTTTTCGACTTCCAAGACATAAATACATCGATGTTACGTCTAGAAAGTCGATCGAGAGCTCATATTACGGCCCGGTGGTTTGGATTGTTTTTTTTTTTTCCTTTTTTTGGGTGCGGGCGTAGTATTGCATTTACCGAATGCAATAATTTGCTAAGCTGTATTAATTCGAATGAAACAAGCTTATAAAGGAGATACTATTATGCTCCGGTACCTAAAACAATTAAAAAATCAATAAGTACAATGGAGTGTCACGCTACTCTTTAAATTGTGATTCACGATAAGAGCCTGAAACGGCAACAGGGCTAGGATTGCCATTATTTAGATTAACGATAACAGCGACGATAGTCATTTTATTCTTTTTACTAATAATTTAGAGCATTGGCGAACATAACATATCAAAATGTGACGAGGTCGAAGATCGCAGGCGTTAGATGGAGACCTCTCGATACGTTCACGCTCATTTCAAGTCTCGTTCATAATGTTTTTCATTTGAGAAAGGTTTTACCTCGAGGAGACACAAATTCGTATTAACAAGTGGGTACGCATTCGCCGTATCGCTTTTTATTTTCATCATAATATTATCGTCTGCGGTAATAATATGAAATTGATAGGTTTTCAGGTGCAAAGGTGAGTACGACACGCGCTCCGTGCTCGCCGCGAGTTAAATTATTGTTATTTATTTATCCCTTAGGGTTTAGTTTCATTTCTTTTGTATATATTATCAACGTATATTTTGCTTGGTACTTAGATGGGCCAGCCGTTGTGAGCGTCAATATATTTGTCCGAAGTATATCAAAAATCGATGACGTCACGATGGTAAGTCGACTGGACTAGATTAAGCACTATGAGATAACTATTTTCCTCGAAACGGTTGTTCGATTCTTCTGACAAGTCAAATGAATGGGCAATTCCCTCCGCGACTGAGGAGAGTCTTACCCGACCGTGTTTTTATTATTTCTTATCATTTTCCTCTTTGGTGTTAACGACCAAAATCGTTTTTCGCGCGCGGACTTCGGTCGTTGCTTCCGGAGCTGGTTTCATCATTGAGTCATGAAGGGTGATCTTTTACGATTCCCTAAAACGTCCCATGTAAACTGGCTCACTTCAGGCACGCCACAAACTATAGGTACCATTCGATAGAATCATTACATAAGACTTTTAATCATGTAAACATCTAGAAAGACGACGGCATCGATTCCGTAGCGAAGGTTTATGATTATTTAAATGACTTTTTTTTCTGTCGTTAAGGCGATCCGCCGACGTTTGTACACGTCAACATGTTTCTACGATCCATCAGCAAAATAGATGATTACAAGATGGTGAGTGAGGATGCGCCGAGGCACAAGCCGAGACGATCCGTTACACTTTTATTATCAAACAAAGCTTCGTCTTCCGAAGCTCTGTTTGTGATAGAATTGGCTGTTTCCAAATTAACTGTCAAATTGCACACTGCTACGTTAACGCTAACAATTGGATGTCTGTTTTTTTATTGGTTCATTTGTTTACCGTTTTCATTTGGTTGCTATGATTACCTTTATCCGTTTTTTTATTTCTTTTATTCTGATGATGCGGCGCCGCGGTCCCCTTTTGACTACGCTATGTAACTTTATTTTCACTTGTACATACACAATTTAAACGATGGCCTTAGGCAAAGCACAAATACAGTATCAGGCACAAATTAAAATTGGCACAGATAATACCGACCGCGCTCGGGGTCAGGGGGGTAGTCGCGGCCCGCACCTATTCTTCACTTCATTATGATTTGATCGTGCTTTATTTGTCATGCATTACGAATTATGATCGTAAAAACTATTTTGGTCGTGTACGTTGATTGTGATTTTGATATTGTCTTGTTCATGTGAATTTGTGTTGTAAAGAATTTTGGGTTTACGCGTCCGCACTCGCCTTTGGTGCTTACGGTGGTCGACCACCAGACCGCAATATGTGGCCCCGCCATAAGGCTAGATGTACTATACCGTAGCTCTAGTTGTACCGGCCACGCCTGCATTTAAGCATTCCTTCATCGAATGCGGTGGTGAGTTCTAACATATAGCTTCCCTAGTTGACACCGAGCATGATTACCTCGTATCGATATAAAGGAACTCCCTTAGATTTATATCGATATCGATTTGATGATTAAATATTAGCTTTTGGAGCGAATCATTAACATGAAAACATTATTTTAGCCTCTAAAATTATCTGAAAAGCAACGTACTGTGTTAACTTTTCGTTAAGTTACTAAATTTGTGCAATAAAATATTTTTTTCTATACGAAATTTTTCGATTCGAATCGAGAGTTGAAATTTGACTCTACTTTATATGACACAACAATTAATGAAGCTTAAATCACACGCTATGAAGAACTAGTTGAAGGGCTTTGAGAGCGACTAAGCTCTTGCAAGTTTCACTCGACAGGACATACTTTGCGATAAATATTAATAGAATTGTTTAAAAGGAAAATATTTACCTTGAGTATCCCATCCCACTCGTTTCTATTGACGTGGACGATAATACGTCTCGATAGAGGCTGATTTGGCACCCTGCCAACATAGTAATCATTCATGGTATTGCCGCATCGATCAATGTCCATCGGCCCCTTCTTAATATCAATTATTAGCTTCGTTTTCGGCATTAAACTCAACCGAGAGTCGCGCAGTTCCTTGACGTACAATGCTTCATTGGTTAATTTCAATAAGTTTGAAAGGCCTTCTAAAAATGTTTTATTAAAATAGACATAGTTTATGCTCGGCAAAGTTCGCTCTAGCTAACCATTGCTCTTAAAGAGTATAAACTGCCATATACACATATTGCGCTGCAACTATTTCTATCTTATGTAGTTCCAAAAGCTAATACTTATGTCTTCGTAGTTGTAGTCCCTATCTCCAAAAATATAAATATTCTACTTCTACTACTGCCTTTACTCTTTTTTAAAAGAATACAGAATTCGCAAAGTCGCAGCGAGCACAATGATATTTGGCAACTTCAGAAAACGTAAGGACGTCTTTTTCAAATTTACTTTTGCTGTGATTTCTCGTAGCAACTTTGTAATAAATTAACTAATAATATCTGTTAATACTTTTTTCTTTACAATATATTTATCTTTGCTATTATCTTAATTCAGGCGTGATCGTCGTGTTGCATTCACATTAAGTATTTCACAATAGCTAAAGAAGTCCAGGCACATGCGAACAACGAAAGTTAGGAGATAATCCACTTAATATAATATTTTTCTTCTAATAATCATCTGTTTTCATCATAATACTCGAAGCGGTCGTTTAAAAATAAAAGTGTGTGTATATCGCATCTTATATATCGCATAAGTTTTCGTATGCTCCTGTCCTTTTAAGTTACGATCATTTTAAAGAGGACATAATAAATATTTTGTTAAGAACAACTTTTTTGTCGCAGAATACGACTCTATATAAAACCACATTTATGGGTCACTGCTAACTGATGCTAAAATATTTTTAAAATAAAATCAATTAAATCGATGACTTTGATATGAATGCATACATTGACGACCTGACATCTGTCGTTGAGAAACGGCTTAAATAAAATAAAATAGCTCAATCTAATATTATGTGTGTTCGCATCTACCTGATCGAATGAAACCGCGTTAAAAGTCTAAAAGTTATGAAGACGAATCGATATGCTTGTAAACTTGCCAAGTTGAGCGTGCACACATAAGTTTAATAAATAGGCTCCGTAAGTGCCAAGTTCTAATACATTTGAATGAAAACTTCTTCTTACTCCTTCTCCGCCGATTTCCTCCGTTCATTTAGTTCCCGTAGACTGAATCGAAAAGAAGTACGTGTTTTAAGTCGTTTCGACGTACAAATGTCGGCACCTTGATGTGAAGCTTTTTCGTTGAAACAATTCATTTGACTTGCTGTTTTGATGTCGAAGGATCGTTTTGAAGTTTATCGTAAAGGAAATCCCTTCGGCATCATAGTATGTGTGTTATAACTGTGTTTGCACTACACTGACACTAAGTAACCATTTCAGAACACGTAATGTAATTATTAGAATACAACATTCTGTTGAAATCTCATAATAAAGGGCACATAGTTTAAAACATAGATTCGCTAACCCTAAAGCTTATAGATTTCCTTGTAATTTTCAATAAACTAAGATTTAATCTAGACACAAATAAAATTTCAACCTTAGTATTTCTAGAGATCTTGACCTGAATTTACTTAACTCAGACCTATTTATTCATTCCCAATATTTGATGTCTAGATCTTATTACTATGACGAGTGAACTCAGGCCAATAGTACACTAAACAAAATCAGATTAACCTTAGAGAGACTCATTTAGTGGGTTCTGTTAGACGCGATTGTCCATTTGGCATTTACTTTAATTAGGCTCTGCTTTCAGGAATACTCCGTTCAACTGACGTTCAGGGAGCAATGGCTAGATGAGCGATTGAAGTTCAACAACTTGGGAGGTACATTCTTTTGTCTTTCCATCCTCATGCGTGATCGTTTAAGCTTTTAATAAAAACCAAAGTCTTTAGTGAATACTTTCTGCTAAGTAATAAATCAAGTAAATAAATAATTAATTCAGTTTAATAAAAGTTTATTTATTTAACGAAAACCATCGCAGGATTGAAAGCGCGAAAATAACATTTTCTTCCCATTAATGAGCGTTACAAAACAAAGTTAACCGTTTCACCTTTTATTATGAGGTCACGCAACTAGAATTCTTAAAACACTTTTGTGTCAAGTCACCATTACCGAAGAACTAAGGCACTGGATACTTATCTTGTTATAGTTTATGTTGTAATATATAAAAGTTTCTTAAAAAACTAGAGATGGGCCCACTATACATATTTGGCCTTTCCGCTAGAAAGAGCTAGATGAAACATCAAAGTTAGCTTTTGTTGTGATCAGCTAAAGACAGGGTGCAGCAACAACTGCCTTATTGATCATATTCTTAGCCTACCTTACATAGAACAGATAAAGCGCTTCACACAATACTAATTAACGAATTTACTTCTAATTAAAAAATAAGACACGTTAATACCAGGCAATATTGACAGACCTTTCCCTCTAGAGAAAAAAAGTTTGCTAATTTGCTTAAGTTTTAAAATAACATAGTAACAATAAACATTATTATTGAAATTTTAGAAATTAGGCTACTATAATTCTATACTCGATCTATAATATAAAGTTTCCGTAAATGTGACAGGTCGATTGAAATACCTGACGCTAACCGAAGCGAACCGAGTATGGATGCCAGACTTGTTCTTCTCGAACGAAAAAGAGGGCCATTTCCACAACATTATTATGCCGAACGTTTACATCCGAATCTTTCCCAACGGCAATGTATTGTACAGCATCCGGATATCGCTGACCCTATCTTGTCCTATGAACCTAAAGCTGTACCCCCTGGATAAGCAGACCTGCTCGCTGAGGATGGCCAGCTGTGAGTACTGACTAGAGAAGTTTTATTAATACGAAAATAAGGGAGGGCTTGTCAAATACAGGTCTGCTGAACGACAGCTGCAAGAAGTGGCTGACACATCGGAATAATACACATTGTTGACTCAGTATCCCAAAAAAAGTATTATTTGTAACCGCGAGGAGTACCTCGTTTTTATAATGAAATCCTTACAAGGTGATTTAAATCTAACGTTAATGCGACAAATATACTTATCTCATATGAGATAAGTAGGTACCACCGCGTGGCATATATACTCGAACATAATACTTCACTATAGTATAACGGTTTTGACTTGCGTTTCTCTTTAGTCACACGATATGTCTGTAAAGTCAACTTCTGGGATTTAATTAAATCTGTAAGATACAAATTCTGACGAATCTATCGCCTTAGTAACAGTGCCTGAGCCAAAATCAGATTAATATAACGCCAGCTAGCTATATGTTACTTCATAGTCGAGCAAATACACACACTTTTATAATTTTAAATGTTATAGTAAAAAATAAAAAGAATTCTGTATCGGCAAACGTATCGACGTTTCGCTAGTTATTATACGCAAGATAATAATAAAATCCCTCCTGACCGTGGATTCCATTTAGTTCAAGTAAACAAAGTCTGCCTTCGATATTTTCGTAAAGTAAACGTTTTTGTTAGCTTGACATATTTACAGCAATTACTCGCACGATGATGTGTATTCGGAGTTACTGTGGTGGTTACATATTCGCAATAATTGATATCTTCCACAATTTCAAAAAGTATATTTGAAGTAATACATAAACTAAGTTGAAATGAGAAACGAGATGTGAAAATAACCGTGCTGCAACTTATGCTGACGTAAGACCCTTTTGGCATCATTTTTAACAAAATTTAATTTAATCTTGTCGTAGTATTATTATATTTTTTTCATTGTAATTACATTTATTTTTACTATGTCTAATGATTGTACAAAATGAATGCTAAATAGAGAGATTTATTATTACTATTAAAGTGTTTGTTTGAACAGATGGCTGGACGACAGATGATCTCGTTTTCCTGTGGAAGGAAGGTGATCCAGTCCAGGTTGTGAAAAACCTACATCTGCCTCGCTTTACTCTCGAGAAATTTTTAACTGACTACTGCAACAGCAAGACTAATACAGGTACACCTTTGTAGAAGTTGTCAATATGACCTTGCTTTTGTTTATTATGTGTAGAAATGAAAAAATGCTTTACCAAAATGTGTATGGAATTATCATTTACATTGTCTTACGAACCCCAAAAGTGACACTCCTTAATTTCCTTCACAGGTGAATACAGTTGTCTCAAGGTGGATCTTCTTTTCAAAAGAGAGTTCAGTTACTACCTCATTCAGATCTATATCCCGTGTTGCATGCTTGTCATCGTCTCCTGGGTTTCCTTCTGGCTAGACCAGGGTGCTGTTCCCGCAAGAGTTTCACTGGGTAAGTGGGTAATGTTGTAATAACCGTGCGATGTTTATACGTATATTTATGCACCTTTGAAACTAACGAATGTAGCTATTAACATTGCCAATTCATTAGTAGAACGTACCTGCATATGCTCCGTTTTTTAGCCATTGTTAGCTTTTAAGTAAATTAAAGTGCAATGAGACAAGACTAATTTATGTTTGCCTTTAACATAGGTTTTTTTTTATTGAATTTGATATGATAAGCTATATTTTATTTTCCTTTCCGGTAGACAAATATAGGAACGAATTTAATTTTACAGGAGTAACCACTCTTCTCACTATGGCCACACAGTCATCTGGAATCAATGCGTCACTCCCTCCAGTTTCCTACACGAAAGCTATCGACGTCTGGACTGGAGTGTGTCTGACCTTCGTATTCGGGGCTCTACTAGAGTTCGCTCTCGTAAACTATGCGTCTCGCTCCGACATGCACAGGGAGAATATGAAGAAAACGAGACGGGAGATGGAAGCCGCCGCGAGCATGGACGCGGCGTCAGACCTGCTGGACACGGACAGCAATACCACATTCGCGATGGTGAGCTCGCCTTCAGTTCGCTTCATTCTGGGATCAAAGCAGTTTTTGTTGACTCGAATTAGACAGGAATAATATCTCGAAGCATGCGTCCGCATAAGCGAGTCTTATTATTCATTAAAATAAGTTTATTTATTTGGATTTTGTGCATGTTGAAAAGTTGCGACTGTTTGTATTCTGTACTCTTTGATCCCACGAGTTTTAGATGCTTCTTTCTTATTTTGGTATTTCGAAGGATAGATCGGTTGATTAGAATTGAATGAATTAGATTTGAGTAGTGAGTTGTTTAATTATAAACTGATATATGTGTCGTTAGTTACGGCAGTGCAAATCGTTGTTGTTAGTGTTTTGTTGGAAACGTATGCGTCTATTTAGCTATTATAGCTTTTACTATAAATCGTATACACTTTTGTTTTTCAAAAAATAAAGCTATATATATACGTCAGCTATGAGCCTAGATTCTTTAAAACTGTATTCAAAATTGAGCGAGTTGAACCAAATCTGGCCTTTAAATACCAAAAGAAGGAGCGATGCAATGAGCCGTAGAGTGTACCGTACTTGTCGCGCCTGACTCGTCTGCAACTGACAGAAACCTCTGATGCGTGGCGCCAATGACAAGATGCGACAGTGCGAGATCCACATGAGCCCGCCCAAGAAGAACTGCTGCCGCATCTGGATGTCCAAGTTCCCGACGCGCTCCAAGAGGATAGACGTCATATCGCGCATCACGTTCCCTCTCGTGTTCGCGCTTTTCAACCTGGCCTACTGGTGAGTGATTCGTGCCGATCATTTATTATTTTAATATACCTCGCCACAAACGGGACGTGGGCATCGATTGAGGAGAGACAAATTCCAGGTCGACCTACCTATTCCGCGATGAAGAAGAACAAAAGTGATTCTCGCGGTCAGGTGGCGACGTAATGCAGGCGGTTCAGCTGGCAGCCGCCGTGCTCGCACCTTACGTCGTCTTCGTTCTCGTCTACCTGTGCTGCCTGCGCCGCCCGGACCCGCCGCGCGGGCGCGCCCGCTCCGTACGACATCGCATTTAGACACTCGCCACTTTGCACCCACAAGCGACCGATCGAGTGTAGTATCTACGAGATTACGTTTCCGGAAACATTTTCTAAGCGATTTTCGATAATGCTGAGGAACTAAGATTAGGACGTCCTACGGTGACCGAAAAGTAACTTTTTCTGTCTTAAAGCCTATTTGATACACACGAGGCGGAGTTAGCAAATCGACAACGTTGTCTTTACTTTCGTTTGTCGCTTATCGGTGCAAACTTTGATCGGTTATTATCATCACACTCAAACTTCACGGACGTCATCAAGAAATCTCTCATCATCGTAGAATCAAGTGACAGCTTCTACATTGAATAATTGGCCATGACATCAACCGACCGCTTAAAACACTGAAGTGTGTTAAATCGGCATACCACAACAACACTACCACAATTTTAAAATCGAAGGTATGCGTTAATCGTGCTAAGAACCGGAAATAACAAAACATTGTTTAATTACTTAATAAAGTTTTTAAGAGAGTGACGAGTCAAAGACTGACACACGCCACGACTTACGACGACAGAAATATGAAATTACCGACTCATTTACGTCATAATGCATGTACCAAGCTTTTTTCTTAATTCATGTGACAAATATATTGTTTGCACTTTGTGTTACTCCTGCCCCTCCTCATCCCACCTTTCGAGCGTTTCTATTTGGCTGTGACTGACTCATACGTTAGACATGCTTTTCGTTGTCATTCATATCTCACGCTAATATTTAGTGTACGAGTATTTACTGTGTCGACCAGGTAGACGCATCAAAGACGAGTTCAAAGAGCACTGCGGCTTTAGGTGAGCTTGATGTAAGCTGATGTTTGTTTTATTAAGATTTTTGATATTTTTACTAACTACCCTCCTCGGCGTAATGCAATCGTTGGGTGAGATGTAAAGTACAATAAATGGTATTATATTTCAGTAAACTCATTTCGTAATACGTTTTATGGAAAAATCCTTTTCTACATGGTTTAATTATTTAATCAGACGAAATTACACGCAATTGAATACTTGAAAACTATCTGAAACGAGTTGCGAGTACGGTCGAACGACAATGTAGACAATATCGAACCATTATAAAAATGAATATCGATAACAAATGACAATCGTACGCAAACGATGTAACTTGGCTTTTTTCAATCTCGTTTAGTATAAGTGAATTAACTATTAGACAGAATATTCGAGTAACAACATTACAATTATAATCGGCAACATACGTCTTAGATGTACGAAGTGGATAACATTATATTTTGTCATTAAAATCAGTCGCGGTCTCAAGACCGCACGACGGTAGCTCGTTTGAATGAAATAAAGTATACCAAACGAGCTACCGTGACTGATCTGGATCATTAGTGTAGATAGGACAGGTAAAACAGGAGTAGTTTAAAAGAAGTAATCATCGTAACCCTTGGAAATAAGACTAAGATATCTTAGCGTAGTCTCTAAGAGTTAATTAGGTTACTAGGTGTCAAATATGAATCTCATCTGAGACTAAAGGAATTTACAAAGTGACAGTTGAAAGTAGCTTAGAATTAGCATTGTTAAAAACAATATCTTTTATCAGCAGCGACGGACACTTCTTCATCGCCCGCTGATCCGGTTCGGCTGAAAAGGTACTGTCTTTAACGAGAACCGTAGCTAAAGATGTACATAACAGGCCTACTGTACCTGCACCTGTGTCGCTCAGTGTACATAAATAATATTACTTGTAACTTTAAGTGTTTATCGGTTACAAGTCTCATCACTATCCTACGTCCTTTAATGTAAATACACCATCTTGTCTTAATAGTATTATGATCATCGTGGCATTTTGTAGCTATATTATGCCCTTCGATATCCATTATATTGGAAGTCGTGGATTAGTTATTTTGTAAGCCTTTGCTCAGTTACAATACAAGTTGTATTATAATATGTTTGGTTGTAATCCAGTACGTATTAATAATAAACGCCCGTCTGGAGCCTCCTATCCCAAATCAATAAAATTAACATGTTTCTTTCGAAGATAATATTTTGATTAAAAATTAAGCCCAATAAGAATACCTAAGTAATCCGATGAAAGACATTTTCTAAGAGAAATAGTAAAACAGCTTCATCGAGCGTAACAAAAACATTTTATTTCAAGTATTCTATACAAAGGCAAATCATTAAACCGTGCTCCAATTGCGTACGTATTCGTACTTAAGTAGCGGATATCTCAGTTCAAAAGCTTATACAGGATGTCGAGTCTCCGTATTGGGGCGGAGTAGAATACAATCCCCAATCCCACGTCGGAAAATCCGGGTGTCGTAAGAGGCGACTAAATCCGACCGGTGGGAGGGTCGAGGAACCCGTCTGGCTGGCGACCACCCTCCCGACGCGAAGTCCGTCGCTCGGGAGTGCCAGTGGCGCCGTTCCCCGGCAATGCGGCTCAGCGGCTGTTGCGTACTTCGAAGTGACGCTCGAGCTTCTCGGCCGTCAGATCGGAGCGACAGTCGTCAGAGGCTCATCGCACTGTCGCACGGGGGCGCCGGGTGCGCGTTCGACGCGGGTAGCTCAGGTCTCGCGGTGGTCTCTTTCACATCATTTATTTTCGTATCGATAAGAAGTGCCTTTATCTTTAAGATTTCCACGTTCCTCGGTCGGTTTCAAAGTTGCGTGCCTATTTTCGTTCCGTTAACCGAAGAGACACACCTGGGACGCGGCAAAAGTTCTAAGATCGGTTAGGATGTTACAAGTACAAAACTATTCCATGTACAGCCTTCGGTTTAAGTTTAGTGTTAAGCGTTGGCAAGCCGGACACGACCGCGACGTTCTCTAGGCGCGCAACCTTTACAGCGACACGCAAAAAATGCTTCTCCTTTGTGAATAGTTAGAGTGTGCCTTTATTTTTCCTAATTTGATATTTCGTGCGCCTGTCGATCTATATTGTAATAGGTGCACAGCTCGCACGAAGTATCCCCGCGCGTCGCTGAAGCGGTCGCGCGTCCGACCTTGCGTGGGTTGTCTCCTGTACTCCTTTTTTGTCGTGTCTTTTCAGTTTTTAATTATTCATTTATGTTTTTCTCTCGTTTGCGATTTGCCAAACCTTAGATGTAAATTTCAGAAAATAGACGTGTAATCGGTCTATCAAAAATACAATCATCTTATAGAATTTTTGACGCCGCATAAAACGGTAACACAATTTGCTGTTACCGAGATTTTGTGACAGATGTAATTTTTACATTCGACGACAGCTGTAAGGCGCGGTGGGTTTGAGAACTTCACTTTAGTGCATGATAAATAATAGGTATTAAACATACGAGTAAAAATAATTATAATAATCTAAAAATGAACAGTAATATGTAGAGGTGTGGCGAGGCGAATCAGAAACGAGTAGATATTGTCAATAAATGAAATATGATATCGACAAAGAAGATCGGAAAAGAGCTAAATACTGGCAACCCTTTTGGGCTTTTAAGTATTTCAGGTAACGATTATTTACTTCCTTGGGTATTCCGCGCCTTTGCTCCAGACGGCTATTGTTATGTGTGATTTTAATTTACATTAAGAAACATTTTGTATAATAGTTTAGAGTGTTTTTAATTTTAAAAAATCCTTCTATTCGTTGACGAACGAGGCAGTGCGGCCACCAGTATTTAATGGTAACCTATAATACATATTAATAAAAATGAAAAGGTTGTAAAAAATCACTGTAAAAATGCGATGACGATTATAATACTCGTTAGATGTTACTGTGTTCGTATATACAAGCAATTTTAACAAGATAGAACATCCATTTTCAGAAGATTTTGTTAATCTCGCTCATTTTCCGTCCTTTAATTTTGTTTAAATTTCTCAATTGTTTATGTAGCGTACAATACAGAGTAATGGAAATGTAATAAATAATAATTCTTCGAAGATTTAGAAACAGATCGGAACTGAGGTGGACCGTGGAGGAAATATCCAATAATTAAAACGACATTCTTGCACATTTCTACACTATACTCTTGCCATTTACTATTAAAAGCAATGTAAAATAAGCTTATTTAAAATAAATCACACACATTGAATGACTATTAAAGAAAATCTTAGCTTTCATAGAGTAAAATACAATTAAATCCACGATCATTTTGAGTATGTACTATACGATCTCTATCAGAGGTATTCTTGGGCTGTGATGAAGGTAGATAAAGATACGTCTACATCACGTATACTTCCATAACAGTTATTATTCCGGCAACAAAATCCGCGGTAGCCTTACGTTTCGCCAAGTCATCGTCGGAAATCTAAAAATGAATTTCACATTTATTTAGGTGAATATCGCAAAGTTAAATTGTCAATTAGCTACTAAAATTTTATTCATGTACACGTCTCGCGCTTCTGATACATTTGCCATCTTAGTGTTGCCGCTTTACTATGTTTCTGCTGTCATTGTAATAAAATTTAAGCACACTAGATAATATTATTGTATTCATCTGTAACTGTTTAGCTACGTTAAATGGACTGTTGAAATAAGAAATGGATGGAAGGGGTTTTAATAAAATTATACCTATCACGTTGACTCTTATTTTACCTTCCTATTTGTTTAAAAGAGAATCACTTCTATGAAGAGCGGTTAGAATGAAGCATGAGAAAACGGCAGTCGACATAATACAATAGTTCAAAACTAAGTTTAATACTCACTCCATTTTGTTTACTGCAGTTGGTCGTCTAAATGAATCGTTATCTCGTCGTCATCGCCGGACCGCTTGCCCCATCCACTAGAAAACGTCAGTTGACCATTGGTAGCAGCAAATAAATTCGCAGCGGCGAACAGAAAGATAACAGCGACGCGCTTCAAAAGACGTTGTAAACCGGCCATTATGGAGATCTCGATTGAGACATCTCCTAGCCAGCTCTTGCTTTTATACACGACAATTCAAATTAAAGAAACCCTTGAAAGAAACTCATTAAGATGAACGAAGTTTCTGATAAGATATTCATCTATATTCAGTGACACGTCACATAGGACTAGGTTTTTAGGTTCTAAGTTAAAATCAGAATATCAGTATTAATGGCAAACTTTAGTGTCAATCAATAATATATAATAGTTCAAAGGTTTATAAACTAAAATTAACTTTGTCGCCATCTCATAATTGGTAAAAGTTTCGCTTAAGGCTGGGCGCAGTTAAGAAATTCAGGGTCTCCTACTCATTAAACCAAATAAATAAATGTATTACACTACTTTCTAAATTAAAATGTATTAAACATAGGAAACCAAAAAAGCCGCAATTAATTTAGTAAACATTCCACGAGCAGCGGACGACTAATTTTCTTTCGCGTGATTGTCTGAGAAAATTAAAAGTAAGGCTTCCTTGAGTATAAAAGAGGCAGCTTTTCGGTCTACAGCATCATATCAAGTCGAAAATAAACTATTCTCATATAAAATGACAAAGCTTCTAATATTCTTCTTCCTGGCGACTTGCTTGTGTTTAGTGCAAGCCCAATTAACTTTTACCTCAAGTTGGGGCGGTAAGAGATCTCTGAGCCCCGTCTCCTGCAGAAACGAAGATGCGATTCTAAACATCTATCGCATGATACAAGTGAGTAAAAAAAATTGTTTATCATTTGTTTTTTATACGATTATTATTCCAGGGATTTTTATAGAATTTGTATAATATAATAAAAAATGGTACAAGTCCAATACTTTATTTGATCGAGTTTTTTACAGCATGAAGCAGAGAGATTGCTCCTTTGCCAAAAGCCCTGAAAGAGGCACAAATGTTTATAGGAAAGACTACGGCGAAACGAGATAATATTATTAAGATGGACGAAACTAATTTTTATTCATGTGTTTGTTAAATGTATGTTGCTATTTAAATAAACATCTCGAACATTAATATATTGTTGTTGCCCAGAATGTGTATTTCTTTATTTAACATATCAATTTTAACAGGGGTAGGTAATGGGCAATAATGGGTAGTTTTACAAAGCCAATCTCTGATAAATTCTATAAATTCTACAGTAACATTTCCTATTATTTTTATGTAAGAAGAGAACAGAAACAAAAATTGTATAATAATGTTTTTATTCTGTAACATACAAACTTATCTTTAACAATGAAAACCTTATTGTCTGTTGAAGTGGCCTACATATGGCAGGGATCCTTAAATTAATATTGAAAAAATTTTAACTAACATTTTGCTATCTGATATTGTTTCTTTGAATAAACTTTAATTCCATATGTCATAGCCAGTATGAACCAGAAGACAGTGTTTCTGCATTGTCAAATAAAATCAGTCAAAGTCCTTAAAATTTGTTTCCAACTTTCACTTGTAAAAACTTTATGTACCTAATCATATTTAATATATTTGAAGAATGACTAAGAATAGGTATAAATATATCATCTAAGAAGCTGAAGGAGACAAAACTTGTGTAACACCACTAGTATCAAGGGACATTCGGCTAGTTCCTGTGTATTGGACATCATCTTCGTCTAATGCCTCTCTCATTCTGCGCTTATAAATCTCACTGTCTGGGTTATTTTCTTGATTACGGCACCTGTCCAATTTCTTTTCAACAACCCGAACTCTCTCCCGAGCAGGGCTCTCTACCATTTTCACCATTGATCGGATTTTTCTAACTGCCTCAATTAAAATTGCAAGCTTATCTGGCCCTGCATCTCTAAATAACATATCTGTCACATAGCTATCTAAATTTTCCTGTTCCTTACTAGCCGCATGGAGGACAGCAGCCAGTGCTATTTGAGATGGAGCATACAACAAACATGCATCAGTCAGAAATACCTTTTCAAGAAATTCATCTATGCCAGAGCGCAACCGTTCTGGGTTGGACAGTGTGCATCTTGTCTTTATATCAATTAGGAAACCTTCAACAGGGCGAAAAGGGTTGTGTATTGTCAAGTAATAATTTAATTGCTGCATCAGCAGTAACTCGTTATTTAGAATTATATCAGTCGCTTTTTCTCTATCACCCTTTATATTCGCAACAAACTGGCCAATGGATACATTAAATTCTTCAACTTTGCAAGCTAAGTATACACATGTAGCCAGAATTTCTTTAGGATGATAGTCCATGGATGAATTGTAGAGATAGAATCGTTTAAAGTAGTGGAACGCCGTGCCAATCACGCCTTTTGGCATGGGAGGTTGGAATCTTTTACAGAATTCTTTTAAATGCAGCTCATATTGTTTAAGTAATTGTCTCTCTTCTTCTGGGGATAGAAAGTAATTGTAGCGTTGGTGTTCATCTAGATGCTGTCCATGTCTGGAAATGAACTCCAAGTTGTGCTTTTCGCGTTGACTAGCTAGCTCACTTTCATCACTAAATGTCCAGAATTTCCTCTGTGAACTCGTCGAAAACATCGTCAAAATTGAATAATTTCAATGCTGCCAACAATTGTCTTTATTTTAATATATGAGGATTATTTACCACGATTTCATAAAAAACCCGAATAACTGTTATCAATCGATTTAAATTGACTTACATGAGAACTAATAGTCATAATATGTATTAATCAAGTTTGCAGTACATCAGTTATGTGTAAATACATATCTATTGATTTAGATTACTTATTACACTGTAACAGGTAACTCAATTACCTATTTAAATCTTGAACATCGCAGAAATTAAGTTGCACAATTGACAGTAGTAAGTAACAGTAACATTTTTAAACTTGACATATGTTTACAACTTTCAAGTGCCCTTATCATCTGTAGTCGTATCTGTATACAAGTTTGTATTTGTATTAACACTATGGATTACATAAACTGTAGACTAAAACTAATCTGTGGAATGTGGCGATTGAGTCTCTGTGTGCACCAGTTAAATGCGAATGTGCGAATTCTGACAGGAAATTAGAAAATAGAAATTAGATTTTAAAGAACTTTAATCCTATTGTATCTATTTGAAAAACATGTCGCGGCCAGGAGATAGACCGAATCAAGCACAAACATACAAGCTTGTCGTCGTCGGCGGGGGTGGAGTAGGAAAAAGCGCTATTACAATACAATTTATACAGGTATTTACTTAATTTTGACATCACACCTACATACCTTGCCTTAAATGAATTGGAACAAACTAAAAAAGGTTATTGCTATGAATCTTGCTAATTTTTAAAGCTTCAAACGGTATGGCGCTGTGATGGCTTCAGTAATATTATGTATCATCAGTATAAATAGCCAAATAGAGCTCGCTTGTTATGTTGTCAAGGTTCAATAAAGACGCCGCCCACCAGTCGTCATGCTAAATTCCCCCATTATTTATAAAACTTTCGTATACATCCATGTTACATCTTGTTAGAATAAACCTAATTCCCAGTGCCATGTAGGACTTAAATATTCAACAATAATGATAATTTCAAGGCAAATTAACATCCTATATACAATGCTGGCTTAGATCATCTCTGTTTATAGATTGACCATTACCATACACAAAACTATTAACTGACTCAAACAATCTATTGTTTCTCTAGAATTCAAACCCTGGACTTGTGCTTATGAAAAGTGTATTACTAGTTAGTGATAATGAAATTATAAAAGCAAATATACAAATAGAAAGCAAATGTTTTCTTCCAGGTTTAGGTTGAAAGACATCGCTTAGTTGACTTGGAAGATAATATCTAAGTTTCATAACATAGTCCTATTTTTTAATTGCAGAGCTATTTTGTAACCGATTATGACCCTACTATTGAAGATAGTTATACCAAGCAATGTGTCATTGATGATATTCCAGCAAAGCTTGATAGTAAGTTTTTTACACATATATATAAAATTTAAGTGTAATTTTAATAATATTTTTAACTTACCATTGTCTATTTTATCATTGTGAATGAACAAGTGAATGTAGTACATCTAATGTCTAAATTAATTTTCTCCAGTTTCTAATCACGTCTTAAGAAAAATTTTTCAGATATATCAAAAAGGAAGTTTAGTTGAAAAATATTTTAAACTGATCTTTTTCCTTTGGTCTTAAGTTTTGGACACTGCCGGCCAGGAGGAGTTTAGTGCGATGCGGGAACAATACATGAGGTCTGGAGAAGGGTTTCTCTTAGTTTTCTCAGTGGCTGATCATGCCAGTTTCGATGAACTGTTCAAGTTCCACAAACAAATATTGCGGGTTAAAGATAGAGATGAATTTCCAATGTTGATGGTTGGAAATAAAGCTGATCTAGAACACCAAAGAGTTGTAAGTCAATTTGTAACATTTTCAATTACTTCTAATTTCAAAATGTAGTAAGAGGAACACTGAGGATTAGTATTTTACTGCCTTAAACAAAACATTGTTCAGTAATATAAAATTATTTCAGGTAACTTTAGATGAAGCACAGGCTTTGTCTCGTCAACTAAAAATCCCGTATATTGAATGCAGTGCAAAAGCCAGAATGAATGTAGATCAAGCCTTTCATGAACTCGTAAGACTTGTCCGAAGATTTCAAGAGGCAGAGAGAATCCACATTAAGTCCGAACACAGAAATAAAAAGAAAAAATGCACCATTTTGTAATGGACTACATTATTACAATGGCAGGTGAGATTATGCAGCTAAAATACTTCGTTTACACATATAGTCTTAGTGGGTCAACAGCACTAAGGGGACAAATAGTAATTTGAAACAACCAGAATATGTCCAATTCACAACAAATAATACCTATCCAAAGATTATGCTGTATAATAATCGGCAGACTCATAGAAATGTCTACATTATAACCTGCCATTGATGAAATTGCGACCTATGTATTTTTTATTATTTTTTTATAAAACCATGCATTAAGCATTTTAATTGTTGGTTGTTGTCACTAGAATAAGTTATATTTATATATCTGAAGAAAGTATTCTTATATTTCTTTTTCATTGTTAATTGATTCAAAAATTGTGGTGCTCCTTGTAAAATTGCACAAATACAAACTAAACTTATAGCATTATGTTTCAAACTGCGTAAGTAATATGGACTTGGACTGGATGGATCTTTGAAGAAAAGGTTCTAGGTGCAGCGTGGCAACACTTCGATTTGGCGCTGCCAATTCTTTAAATTATTTAACACATTATATTACTAATTATTGTTAACATTAGGTCCACAAACCAAAAACTAATTTTTATATATAATATGTTTAGATAAATTTTTAAACTGGCCTTTTGCACTATTGTGAAATCTAGTGAAAAGGATTATTAGACCATCCTCTGAGGTTTCAGCGTAATAATACGCTGCTGATATAGTGTCACATTGATTTTCACATTCTCGCGAAACGAAAGGAGGGTAGCAGAGATATTAAAGTATTTGCATTCTTAGCAAAACCAAAGTGCACTACAAAATGAGAATGTGAATGCAACAAAGTCAACAAAGGCGTCTTTTTTAACTATTACTAAGTATTAATCTTAATTACCATCAATATTTTATACGGTAAGGGCTTAAAAGGAAAAGTCGCTTTCTGAGTGACGCATAGAAGTACGCCCTTGAATTATTCTTTAGTATCTTGACGGCTATCAAATATTGATGACTGTTGTAAGTCGTAACGTATTAACTGTATTATAAGGTAGTGTTTTATATGAATCATATATTTTTATATTATTGGGTTTTTTAAGATTATTTTGCGTTCACAGATTTTGATAAACGTTTACATTTTACAAGTGACAATGCATATAAACTTTTTATAAGTAATGTGGCAGTTTTGGCTGCGACACGTATACTTTTTCGAGATTTACTCTTCTCCATTTCCTTAAAGCTTATTCTAGTTAATTTGTTTGTAAACTCATATTTATAATTGAATGAGTTTGTAAGTACTTTACTAAAACCTTTTATATTCACAAGCGGTGTATTTGAAGTATTGTGAATATATTATTTATTCATTATTTACATTTATATACTGTTCAGCCTTCGAGCAACAAGGGTCGGGAGAAGCCGCATCAGCGATTCGCAGCGTTTCTGCTCTGTCGGATTACAAGCACTAATGTACCATAGCAAGTAACACAGCTAATTGCGCTCGGATTTAAACTAGATCGTGTCTATTTAGTTGCAAGATAAAGTAACGCTCCTCTCGCGAAAATGCCAAGTTGTGCCGTTTATTGTTGTAAAAATAGGTCAGCACTCCAAATTTACAAAGCGATATTGGCGACATTTCACATGTAACTAAATTTCTGGGTTGTTTTGGCTTGCGGGGGGACCACGTCTTTGTTGCTCGCAGGTGATTAGAAATAATGCCATGGACAGGTCGCTATCACAAACCCCAAGGGAAATATGACCATTACCAGTGTTGATAATTCTAAAAAAGTATAGCTTTTCTATGGGAAGCAAATGGCTGAAGAATTAACGAAATATATGCACCTAGCCGTATGATTTTGTCTGTGGTATTACTGTATGCCTCTAGAACGTAGTAAATCCCATCCCATCATGGGTTATATCAATATGCTGCGACATTTTGATATCATATTGTCACGACAAATGTAAAGATTTAAAGAGCTTTAACTAAGGCACACGAGCCTCATTAAACTGTTTTAAGGTTGTAGCTTAATGTTTAACATAAAGTACCTAACAAGAAAATGTATGATTATTTTATTTTCTAAATTTACATAATTATAAGTCCATTCTCAAGAGTAACAGGTTTAACTCTTCCTTGAATACAATATTTTAAATGTGCTAGAGATTTCAGACCTGAAGACATAGGTGCATTTATTGTGGTCATAAATGTATATAAATATTATCTGTCATATGAAAAACTTAACCTTTTTTTTTGACATTATCATTTTATTTCAAGTGCAGTTTGCCAAGTGTCGGTGAACTGTATCTTCAGCAATATTGGCTTCGACAAGTTACGATTTCTTCATTACACAGTAAAAAACTAGTATTTCTATTTAGGTTTTATTAACATAATCTTCATAAATTAATTCTAGTTGTTAAAGAAGTAATTTGATATTTATTGAAACATTTCCAATTTACTCGGCTATTATTTATATTGAGAATGTTTAGAAATTTTAAAATAGACAACTCTAGTATGTTCATTTTTGAGCTAAGGCAGCCAGATCTGCAATGCAGCGGTCGAGAGTTTGCTTCTCCTGGTCGGGAGTAATAGCCTTGGAAACATTGGTGATGACCCAGTCGACAAGGTGCTTCTGTTCAAACCGGCGTTCAAGAGCTGCCTTCTCGAGTTGGAAGTCAAGGCGGCGTTTGACCTATTAACAAGAAATACATAGTCACAGTCAGGACAAATGAATTCAAAGGGTTGTATTTATCATAATATGAATGAATGAGAATATATCTATATAATATTAGATCATTTAAATACCTCTTGGTAAGTGTTCATAAGACGTTCCCGATATGCGGCTTCTAATTGTAGCAAAACATTTTCTTTCTTTGCTTGAATTAACAGCTCTTGACCTTGAGCACGCCATTGAGCATCTTTTTCGGTCACAATAGCTTCTTCAAGTGATTTAACAGTCTCCACTCTACCTTGGTTAAGGTCAGTTTCAATTTGCTGAAAAGAAAATGGTTAGGCATTATTTATATTTCAAATATAAAGCTTCTCTTTCTTAATACTGTGTTTACTTACATCAACTTCTTTGTCTAACCATTTGGAAATTGGAGGTCCAAATTTAACAGTAGCATAGTATACCATAACAAAGATAGATAGACCTGTGTAGTATTCATGTTCCATAACATATATTTCTTTGCTGAACAAATAAGTAATTAAACCAGCACCAAAGGTATAGGGCCCGGTCACTCCGGTCTTTGAATGGAAGAATTGGAACCTGAAATAAGCAAAAAAATTCTTAAAAAATATTTCACACAGAAGTATCTAATTATTTCTTCAGTAGTATATCATATTAAATACTGTCTATAGTTTACGCGAGTAGTACACATTTAAATAAAACACTTTAACGGTTTAAAACCGCGATATATTAGTAAAACTTATTTGGAAATGATTTTTAACTTTGGCCCGACGTTTCGGATGCTTTGCAGCAGCCGTGGTCACGGGGAGACCACGGTTAAAAATCATTTCCAAATAAGTCAAACAATTAACTAATATATCGCGTTTTAAACCGTTAAAGTGTTTTATTTAAAAGTATATCATATTGTTCAATGATTTATAATATATAAGTGAAAAAAAAAATAACCATTCTTCTGGGATGAATCCAAGACGGACTTTTCCAGGCTCACCCCTTATAGGTCTAGGGAAATTTTTCTCATCTCGGACTCCACAGGCATCAGAGGCTGATGTGCGAGCCACAAGGGCGGTGGGGGCTGACTGCCGGGCCACTACTGGATAAATAAACAATTTGCTTAATCTTTTTATACTTTTAAATGGTTAACGATTGTAAAGAGGAGTGTTCTAAAATCAAAATTGTTTAACACGCTAGACACTTGTCAGGAAGGACGATTACATAAACCAGTGCGGCAAAATCAAGGTTACTTATATTTCTTTCATTTCTACTACTACTAGATTAAAGATTTTTCATACCTGAACGCAAAGCCACACGAGAAAGCATATTTTTGCGTATCTCTTATGTAATTAGTTTTATCCGACAGTCTACCCAAATATATTCCAATTTGCACTAGTGATGTACAGAAAATCGGTACCGTAAATGCAAGGCAGGTTCTATAATATTTGTTTATTTGAATATAATCGTTACCGAGTAACGAGTACTCAATTTAGCGTATAAAAACTAATTAAAATTAATAAAAAAGTGCGTAATATGTTTAAAGAAGCGTCTAAAACAGGTTATATTTTCTTCTATTTTCAAACGCACAATCTGTTACATATCGTTACTTTAATTGATACTTTCGTACCAGTGGTGTTCAGTTTTGATTTTTTTCCACAAATTCATCATAAGTAAACAATCCGCAAATATAACATATATATTTTCTTTTATTCTATACCACATTTTCAGTATTGTTTCGGGTTTCGTAAATATTTATTACTAGCAATCTTTTATAGGAAATTTTACTATTGATCGCAGGGTTGACGTTTATATATTATAATATTATTTGTAGGTATATTATGTCGGTAAGGTAAGGTATTTCGTATGTATACACAAACTTTATAGCAATAGGTACAAACAGCACATTAAAACGACGTATTGCTTGGTACGTTATACTAATAATTTTTGAGTAATTCAGTACTTTCAAGTTTCCTTTGGAATTTCAAGATTCCTTTGTAAAAATATAAAAGTCTCGGTCACTTGTTACGTGTGTTAAATAACGTAATTAAAAAAGAATGGCGAATATAAACAATATAAGAAAGATGATGGTAAGCAATATTTTCTCTATTTTCTACCTAAAAGCATTCGGTACGTGAAATGATCTTCAGAAATAGTTATTCAGAAACGATAAATTACATTATAATTAAAAATGTATATATTAAATCTAATTACGCTTACAATACTATAAAATCCACATAAGATATTATTATGTAGTTATAAAATACAAACAACTAAGTAATAGTATATTAAATCGTAAATTTCAATATTCATCACAATGTTATATTAAAATAGTTTATCTTTTAGGGGAAATAATGTAAGTGAACGCTGCTTTTACAAAACTTTAATCTGTCAATTTGTTTGACATTTTAGACATAAGTCAGAAGTGCATAATTAAATTCAATGTTTACGAATTTTGCAAGAGATAAAATAAAGACGGTCTTCCGGTAAAAATGGGGTTAATAACTTCTTGTTGTAAGCCTTCAGCATCAGACATTTTGACTCCAGACACAGTAAGTTTCTTAGAGAGTTATAAGGAAATGTAAATACATATCATGGTTCAGAAATGTAGTGATTCAGAACTCCTACGAAACGTTTTTCATAAATAGTAAAATGATTAAGTAGTTAAGACATAATGTTATGTATTTTTTTTTTATATTTCCTAGTCCGTTGAATATGGGAGATATCCTTCCATCTCAAACTGCTTGTCAGTGTCACACAATAAGAAAAGGAATGTTGTAATTTTGATGTGTAAACCTAATTTGGAATTAAAATAAAATTAAGATTAGTTACAAATAGGTGATACCTTTTATAGGAGACCAGACGTCGTCAACAAGTTGAGGCAGCAGAACGTCGCCGAGTGCAAGAAGAAGCTAGAGGTGTCAAAGACCCGGAGAGGGTTAAGAGGATGCAACAAAAGTCTGAAGAAATGGAACAGCGGGAGCAAGAGTTACAAAAACAGGGTGGAGCTACTTTAAAGGTACTAAGGATATTCTTAAAGACAAATATGTGCTACAAAAAGTAAAGTTATACTTAATTTTTAATCCTATTTCAGTGGTCCGCTGACTGAGATCAGGCCTCTCAAGGTGAAAGCAGTAAATCGCCAAATGAAAAATATAAGTATAAGAATTAATAGTAACTCTGTACTGACTTTTTTAAACATAAGTTGGTACAGGTTACAGCTTAAGCAATTTCACATACATAACTAGGTTTCTTTTCTTTTTCTATTATAAAAAAACAAAAGAAGAAACATAGGTACTATCATTAAATATATATAATTGGGATGCAAATTCATATACAATGGATAAATTACCTGATATTTTTATAGTATTTCTTAATTCTATATTTTAGAAGAGTAATTATTTAATCTATAAATAGGCACATGCATCCACAGGCTATTCACTGTTCAACGCCTTTCCTTTTAAATAAAACACTTTAACGGTTTAAAACGTGAAATATTAGTTAAAGGGGAGCTGCTGCAAAGCATCTGAAACGTCGGGCCGAAGTTAAAAATCATTTTTAAAATAAGTTTAACTAATATATCGCGTTTTAAACCGTTTCATTTAAATGTATACTACTCGCGTAAACTATAGACAGTATTTAATGCCTTTCCTATTCGAGCTTACAGGTTTTTGGACCCCCACACTTTACTCTCTTTGACATGTTTTCTATATTCCACTTTAAGAGATTTTGTATATATTATAAACGATAATTTATTACAAGGATATACATTAAATTATTGAAAATCTATATTAAATGTTATATGAATATAGCTAGTTGTAGAAATATTTGTGTCTGTATATTTTGTCAAAATAAGTATAAAGAATTATTTAAGATATGAGTATGCTATTAAATCTTGTCAAATTTAATTTTAATAAATAATGTTTTCTTGGTCTCTGTTCAACCAAGTTCGTTTTACTTAACGAAATAGTTATTTATTATGACTAACATTTATATCACTATAACTGGTAACAATAATCAAATTTAGTATCTAAACAACTAAAGCCGCTCATGACTTATATATTAGATAGAGGAGATAAATATTTTTCCATATCGTAGGTGCGCCCCACACTGTTATCCGTTTTTTTTTATAGAATACACATATACACAGGTTTTTTATAGTTAATCATTTTCTTGACTTTACGTCTACGAAATCTGGTTTTGGAGGTCGGAATATCCAATTCCTTACCACCTCCGAAGTGTAAATTCGTTTAGGTTTAGGTCTAGGGATTCTCCAGCTTCCAAAGTCAAAACGTGACTGTTATACTTTACAATTTTATTACTTTACTTTACTATACACAATTGTTGACCTGTATTTTTGTTAAAGATAATGTTTAGTAGTCTTTCTAAAGAACTAGTTATCGAAACTGTAAATGTCACATATTTTCAAAAGGAATATTGATTGTATTACCTACAATTTCCGAATTAAGTATATCTTGACATTTCGAATCGGTTTCAAGCACCGATACTAATGAGAGTCGTGTTATTGTCGTTGCTCCTTACCTACGTCTAAAATACGATTTTATCACCGTGTTCTTCGGTGATCGCTATAATCCGGTCAGGGTGTAGTGCGGGAGTAGTAGGGGCGGGCTCGGTGCAGCCTCGTAGTCTGTGAGCAACACCACCCAGTTGCAAAGATATAAAGTTGTATCTAAAGAGAAAGCGCGAGACAACTTTAAACGGAGAAGAATTATGAAGACACATTAAGATTTTGCTGTTATTCTTGGCTTTCTTAAACTTCTCTAGACTTTAATAGTAAGTCGACAAGGGTCAGACAAGTCAGCCGTAAAGGGCCTTCTTTAGTCTACGGAACAACTCGTTCGTTTTCATTATTAAATTGTTAGGCCACACCTGCGTATTTGAGGTATTCGCCTATAGGCCTTAGTATCTGATAATTACTCGAACGCTGATAGGTTTTATCAGCTGTTTTGATTGATAGAAATACAGTATTTACCTAAAAAGACAATTAGTCTGAGCTTGTGGATTTTTGGGCAATCATTATTATATATGTATTATTTATATAATATTCATACGAAATAGTATATCGTTAACGGATATACGGTAACAGAATTTGTTTTAACAGCACTTCACAGGTGCACTTCGATACGAACAACCATTTTCTACGCTACAACATGGTAAGTGATCTCTATATTATGTAGTGTGTGGGTTAAAATTATTTCTATACGCGACTGTACATATTAAACAAAACTAATTATAAAATTTAGTTTAACCATTATGTTATTTGTTCTCATGACACATCTTGATAGCCAGTATCATCATATCGTTACACATTTGTAATTGTGCAAATGTTAAAACATGTTTTTCGGCGCCGACACACGTGTCGAAAATGGTGACTCACATTACACAAAATCAAATAGTGGCTTTATCTATTTGATTAAATTAGGGGTGACGGAGGAAAAAGTAACATTTGAAGGGAATTTTTTGTTTATTCAACTAATGTCCACGTTGATTTTGGGTATACAACTAGAGAACAAGAGAATGCCACTTTCGTCGATCCTTCGTCGCAGTTCGCCTCTCGGGGACACCGTTTTCGTTTAGCTCCATGGCTTCTTTCCAGCGGTATCCAGGCCGGTCCAGCGAAAACTTTCACCTCGAGCTTCCCTCACGATATTGGAGACGCCGACTAGGATCCGAGGTTCTCGAATTGAGCAGCCTTTAAACTTCATATCCCCAATGCGTATTTCATCGCGTTTCTGTCTTGTATCTTTATAATGCTTCATGTGAAGATATTCAATTTTCTCGCAGGTGATTTTGAAATCGATTCTCGTAGCTTCAGAGGTCAGAGTTTGTGCGGACAGTTCCACCTCTCGTCGCACACGTATTTCTGAGCGCCATTACATACCTTGCGTATGACAAATTTTAATGATTAATTTCACCAAAAGCACACATATCGGTGTCACACTTTGTCGTGTCGTCAATCCAAAGGGCGTTGCACGTAAAATAAAGGACTGGCTTTGTTGTGACGAGCGGTCTAGACGAGCAAATTGCTATTTTTATCCTGAACCTACCGATTAAAAACCTTTTAATCCAATTATCACAATGACCTTATTTACTTCAGTTGAAAATAAGTCAAGACAGATAACGGTGTGTATCGCTTTTGCTTCGACTGTGAATCATTATTTTTTGTTTGTACTTGGGACTTGAAGCGGCGTCCACAGCGTACCGTGCCGCCGTTTTAACCGGTTGACCTTCCGTGTTCTGTTCTTAGTTTTGATCAATTTACATCATTTTTTCATTTATATAATGCCATTGTGTGCAATAACATGTGAAAACCTTTAACGTTTTCTAATACCCGTATAATTTATTTCTAAAGTCCTTAAGACATCAAGAAAGAAATGTTTTAGTATGTATGTAGGCGTAGGTATCTCCGGGATATTCATGCTGTTTTAAAGTCATTGCATTTTTGCTCATGTAAGCTTTCTCTGAAAAGAAAATTATAAGTCATTTGCCTTCCGTTCTGAGCCCTCGTTCTCTTGTTGTCTTCTTCTCTTTCTCTCTTTGAAGAATGATGCACGATACATAAAAATTTAACAGCTAACGGCTTAAATAGATTACTCAAATAGTAACGTTCATATGAAATAACTTCAACTTATATCGGGACGTATTTCAGATTTAACTGTGTGCAGGGTGCCTGATATTTTTTCCCGTCCCTAAGTAAGACGAATACGAGAAATAAAGAAATCATTTTATTAAATAGAAAGAAATAAGTCATTCTTGTCCGTATTTTAATATAACATCTTCGCTGTCTGGCAAAATAACACGCCTTTGTCACTTCCTTTCTTCGTTTCAAAAACTCAAAAATTGTGTCAGCCTTAAAAATAGTTCAAGTTCAGTAGCAGAGAATTCGTTAAGAAAGTCCAGTTCTGATAAGGACTATTTACACGGTACGTAATACGTATTATCTCTAGGCTCACAATCTGATATTGTAATGATAAAGAAGCAGCAGAGGATACAAAAGCAGTGGCAACTCCTACGAGTAATCAGGCTCCCGAGATAAAAGTTCCGATCAGAAACTTATCTCAGTATTCGAGTGTTTCTTGATCTTACAACTTGTGGGCATTTCAATATTTACTGTGAGATTTCTTTGAGAGTTGGTGAATTACGCGTCTTTTTTCTGTAGGTAAGTCGATTACATCCGGGACTGGAAATCTCCAAATGGAGTCCGATTGACAACGTAGTTGAAGTTCCTTAAAATAAATAGAGATCTTTGTTTAATCGTAATTATATCTACAGCGAGGAATTTCCTTTTAACGATACAAAAGAACACTGCATTCCGCCAAATTAATTATAACAATTTTTCTTTCTTCCTCATCATTGGGGACTTTAATTCTTCGGGGCTTCTGTACTGTCGGTGTTGTCGTCGATGGTATTCATTTAATTTAGGAAAGAACACGTAATTTTATTCAAAAAAGGTGTAACGGTACGATAAAGTTACAATAAATTCTTTATTGCCTTTGTTCAGACGCATTTTGAATACAAATAAGAATTCGATTGTTTCCTGTGAAGTAGCGTATGAAAATATTGAAAGTAGTAAGTTTGATTAGAGATAAGAGATACCTTTATTTTACAATCAAATACGTGTATTAGTCCCCGTGCAAAAGCAAACGATACTCAATAGGTAATGCCGCCCTACGTTACACTTTTAAAATGAAATACGGGGCCAAACAAATAAATTAAGTTTATTGCCGTATGATGACAATATGTATTTATGAGTTATGTAAGACATGTATTATGTTAGGGTCGATGCGTAACGTAAAATAAAAAGTAAGCGAACAAAGTACATTTGTAATTATTTCTATTACAGGCACTATGATGTGAACCCGTTTTTACTCTCGTATTTTCTTTTATCGCACCTCATCGATCTCGAGTCACCATGAGCTGCTTTAAGACGGTGTTCAGTAAAGGTAAGCTATTTGTTAATGGTGTTTCTGCATAAGGTATATAGAGCTAAAAAGGTCGACCGTGCATCTTATTTAGAAGTTAAATGGCTTTCACCAATCATAGAGTGGGCGTCGAGCTCGTGTGTCCTCCTATATAATAAAAATTAGACGTTAAGAACTATCGGTGTTAACGTTTTAAATGATGTTATGGTTTCATGGAGACTGACACACTTCGTATAACTGATTAAAGTTTTAATTTTCGTACTTTAAGGCAAATATATAAAGCACTCTTATGTCCAGAAGGGATAATTCTTCTTCACCGATGCATATTCTTCCAAAATATCCATTACTTCGTTAATTTAAATGAGAACTAGTTGCTATTTCATGTTTTGTTCCATCAATCAATCAAATGTATCTTCAGGTGTATATTGTAAATTGTCTATTTCTCGTTTTTAGCGAAAGCCAGGGTCCAATCTTGGCACAAAACAGACTTTGTTGCGAAAAATGTTCGCGAACCAATCTTCGGAAACATTATCACAATAACTGTAGCGGAATCGGCCGCCTATAGAATCGTCATGCAGGATGTGAGGATTGGTACACTACCGCCGTACACTCCGTGTAAGTTATTTTCAAGGATCTTAATCCATTACCGCTTAGACCCCAGCTGCTTACCCAGACTTAGATTTACTTTTATTTTTTCATAATACGTACGTAAATTACAGATTTACTAATATCAATAGTGGCGATGTTTGAAGCCGTCCTCGGCCCGTTGGTAGCGTGGTTGGGATATAAGACGAGAAAAAGGATGATGTTGGGCTGGTCCCTCGGATTTATGTTGATATCGTTCGCCTGGTTCGTCATTCCTCCGCCGGATAGTCACGAAGAAACAGGTACCAACATAGTACTAACAACTACCCTCTCGCGTCCTAAATTAATTTCTACGTCAGTACGATAAATGGATATTTTGTTTTAGAATTCTGCGATAGCGTCAAGCCAAACGCGGTAATTATTTTTACGGCGTTATCGCTGAGAACAGCCGTGAGGGTAGTGATAACTGTTGGGGTGGCGATCTGTTTATGCCTGGCGAGGGTCGCATCCTGGAGTCATTGCATAGCTTACATAGACGACCACGAACCGGATAGAACCTCTATTCACTTTGGTAGGTTTCGCCGTGCACCTAAGCTATCGGGCTTTAAAACATGTGCTGTAACGTTTTCCTCATTATTGCAGGTGCTCTGGTGTTTTCCCGAGTCGTCCCGCTGATGTTCGGTTATAAGATGCTGACGGGAATCGTGGAGAACACTATTATGCTGCAGGTTCTGATAATAGCGCTGTCCACCGCATGGCACTCTTATAAAATTTACTTTAACGTACCGAATCCTACTCGACAACTTACAGTTGCCAAAGCGCTGCCTCCCATGGAAGATAGAGGTAAAATATTGTCCTATTACATGAAGTGTTTTACTTTTAGATTGTAGTCTCTCTGTTCAGACTAAGCGTAAACGGACATTAAACCATAATTTCTTTGAGTGCATATTTATAGTCGTCCTTTTCGATGGCAGGTTTCTTCAGAAGCCTGTTCCGGGTGCTCTGCAACATCCTGGCGATGTCTCAGATGCTAGCGATGGGGATCCTAGTGACCGCTCTATGGGGCTTCGCCTACAACGAAGAGGACATTATAAAGGTCAGTCGTCGGACAGTCGTCAACGGACGCCTAATATCTAACCGACTCACGTATGTATTTATAATTTCAGACGAATTATAACATCCAGCCGATAGGTCAAATAGTCGAAGGTAACACCGAGCTATTGCAGTATGCTCTGGCGCTGATATCGGTCGTGGTGAGTTTTAATCGTTATATTGTGTCGTGTCACACAGCTCACTATTACGTATCGCGTTAACAATACGAGTATACGCTTCAATCTTTGCAGTATGTGGGATACAAACACTCCGCCCCCATTCGATCAGAATATGAAATAGGACGAGGATTGCGACACGTCTTCAAAATGACATTCCTCGCCATATTGCTGTACGTAGCGATAGTGGTGTTGCCCCCGTGCAAAAAGGGGCACGTGGCGGGCTTAGAGGACGGCCTGTATGCGCATCCGCAGTGCAGTCTGCAATGTGGGTGAGTCTCAGTATTCATTGTATTATTTCGGTTACATAGGGTAAAATCGTGATTTTTGCTTGAATTGAGTTGCTTATTTCTCAGTTGTGTCCCGAAATGGAAGGAGTATTCTCCCGTTTGTGTAGTAGACACGATGACCACATATCTTTCTCCATGTGAAGCTGGCTGCACGTCATCTTTTACGATGGAGAATTTAAAGTAAGTTCAAGGAGGTGTGAGAAATCCCGTTTCCTCCCGTGAGACTACCCGTTTCACTGATCCGTTCTCTTACAGAAAAGTAGTTGATCAAACTTCTGTGCCTTGCGCGACCGAAACAATTTATTATTTCCCCGGGATTCGAACCCATGACGTCTGAACCCGATTCAAAATTGAGCTACAGAGGCGGTCAAGTTCAAGGAAAAGGTGCCTCTTTTTTTATTTTTATTCGGCGAATGCATTCCAACAAAACTACATGGAATCTGGTAAATGTTTGGCTAACAATTGCATAGTGCGCGCAATTTAAGACAATATTTGGGTTTTGGATTGCTTATCATTATTCTATTTGTTCTGGGTTCATATCGTATCAACATTTAAGTAAGTATGTTATAATATCCATTTATAAAATTTGCAAGTCAGTAAGACTGTAAATTGAGATCATTGCAATGATCCTGAGATGACATCATTTTTATCTCTATTTATTTATTATAGAAAGACGCGCGTAGGCTTCATTTATAATACTAAGATGTAATTGTTGCTGATTACCGTTTCCTAGATTTAAAAATTCGACAACAGATGACGTAAACAAGGTCTTCAAATATATGTACTTCCAGTTACATCTCAAAGACCCGCACACCTCAAACCGATTTCTGATTTCCAGGATTTACGCAAACTGCAGCTGCGCCGGCCCCTCGGGTCGCGTCGCTCCCGGCGCATGCAGTTATCCAAATTGCACCAGCGGCTTCAATTTGCACCGGGCTCTCTTTACGTTGATCCTGACCTTTTCCAGTTTGTTGTTTGGTCTATTTGTTTTTACTTTGTTAAAGTGTCCTTGTAATTCCGAGGAATATTTTTTGCAGTGCTCGCCTTCCAAACGCAAGGCATGGTCATTTTGAAGTCCGTGGATCCCCGGGACAAGTCTATAGCGATGGGTATGATGTGGTCTGTGGTCGCAGCGACCGCTTACGTATGTGGAAACAACATTTTTCTCTCGATTGCGCGTAAGTATCCATAAACGATTGCTTGATGTTTATGAAAGAAGTTTTAATTTTTTCAAAGACACATCGATCGTTCGAAACGTCGAGGTGCATTGAGAACCTTGAGTGCTCTTTGAAGATGACAAATGCACTTATATACCAATATACAAATAACGCCTACAACATTTGCGCATTCTTTGCATGGCGAAGAATTAAAAGCGATCAGGCGAGCAAAGGATTCGGATAAGCGTTTGCTTAACCTTAAAGATCGTTCTCTTGCAGTAAAGACATGTAGCTGGTATACGGGAGAGAAGTGCCAATTGTATCAACAGCGGTTTTCGTACATAATCGGATTCACGTGCGCATCCCTAGCTTTCGTATCTCTCGGTGTGAACTTAGTGGCGCGCGCCTACCTCCGGACCAAGAGAAGAAACGCCGATCGGCCGGAGAGGCGCGAGGAAGTCGAGACCGATTAGAACTCATCACTGGCTCAGCTGGCCTGACATCAGTATTATAAGTTATTGCTAAAATAATTTAGATAATGCTTATCGTTTCAGACAACACTACAAGACAATATCAGTATTCATCCTTATAGCAAATTTATTACATCTAACCTCACTTTCGGGGGTTGAATTTTACTATAATTAAATTAAAGGAAGCCAAGCTTCTTCTTCTTGTCGTGCTTCTATAGTGCTTTTGCATGACAATTTTAGCAGAACAAAAGGACTTATAGATAGAGAAAGTTTTTCCGATAACCTTAACGTAATAAAACGAAAATCGGTTTTTAACTTGTGGCATTATTAATTGTACTTAAGTTTAAGTTTTTAGGATTGTATTGATGTGTAACTTCTAATTTGGCTAAAGAAGGAACGCAACATAATAAAATAATAATAATGTTTGTGAATACTTTGTTGTGGATAGAAATCCAAAGAAAATGTTTTTAAGTTAGCTCATAATTATATTATTATAATACAATATATCTTTCGAAATATTATATATAATTAAATAACAGCAATAAAATAAAGATAATATTTTGTGGCTTCGTGTCACCCTATTATTTGCATAAATGTATATATTTATTTGAATTTCATGTTACTCAATTCATTTGGACAAAAAGACCACATAATCCAACATCCAGTTTCATATCTATCTCAATGTTTTTTGGAACCCCGTTAACTTATGGGGCACTCACGTCAAGAGCCTGGAAAGTATTGTAACTATTGGCCCACAAATATCTTCTTTTTAATTAAAGGTATTATTTGTAATTGTATTTGTAGGTACGCAAATAATGGTTGAAATATTGAGGGTAGGTTCCCTTTAGTCGTCGCACAGACTATCCCGAGTAAAATGCACCCCCTCTTTATACCTATGTAAGTGACAGCAGACAAGGTTGTCAATGTGTTAAAGATGGCCATAAAAAATAAGTGGTGTTCGGCGCATTTGTTTATCGCTTATCGTGATTCTTTATCGCAGTAGATACAATATAAAAGAAACATGGGTGATACTAAGGTACGGTTATTTTTCGTTATTATTTTTGTTTATTTTTTCATTAACAGTAGTTTCTGGCCCTTTTTTATATAGTGACCTTGTAACATTTAAGGTCATTGTAACAACATTAAAAGGGGAGAAGACCTCTTTAAAACAATTGCCCTAATGTTACCAAATAACTTTATAATTATTTGCTCCTAACTTTTCCTACGTTGCAGTGGTGTGTCGTTTGTAATCTAACCTATACATGAAAAACTTGGAATCTTCTTTCGGACCCTCTCCTTAAACATTTCTCATAAATAAAATTCAAAATTCCAGGCCGATGACCACAGGCTGAAACCAGCGGTAAGGGTAAAAATATAGAGGATAGTATTTAGTCAAGTATTGTGTTGGTGGTGTTGGGTATGAAAATTTAGAATAGTGAAAAAAGTGATGGAGTGGTATATAATTGTCGTGGAACAAATCAATAATATTAAAAAATCTGCAAAAGTTGGAATATATAAACAGGGAAAACATTATTTGATTTTGCTATATTGAGATTAATAAAGACTAATACTGTTTACTCGGTCATACTTTTTACAATACATGGATGCATGTTTACAGTTATTTGATTGGAAGCTACATCTCTGCATGCTATATTTTTGTAGTAACTACCATAAAAATACAATTCTACACTTCCTCATAATGCCATTATCAGGTACATAGAAGTTAATTTTTTTTTTATAGACATACTTGCATGACATGTATAAATTAAGATTAAAGTTTACTTGGAAAAACTATGCTAAATTGCATATTTTTACTTATTTAAAATATTATTTTAAGAGAACTGATTTTTTACCTTACTAGATATTTCGAAGTATTTTACTTAAATACATCTTTTTTTTTTAAGTTTTTGAGATAGTAAAACAAGAAGTTGTATTTATACTCTTTGGTATACTTTTGTAACATCTGAATAAATATAAAGGCAAATCTGCAAATAAATTAAAGTTATGAGGTGGTTCCGCTTAAATATTTTATTAGTTTCTTGGATTAATTATTATTATTTTTTTTAACACAAGTCTCCATTCTTTCTTTACTTCTTACACATGGTATTAAAGTATATTCACACAAAATTACATTCAGAGTTAACACTTCAGTTAAAAATAAGTTTTCTCAAGTAACCTTTGAATCAGCATACATTTTAGGTAAAATAATTAATGAGTAAAGTTAGGTCTGGATCTAAAATATCCTGCGTAGTCCGTGGCATATAAGACAATGTATAATATTATTAACAAATACTGATAAAATATAAGTTTAATATGATCATTTATATATGCAACAGCTATGTATTTATTTGAATTGTGTTTGTACAATTTATATTCTGTTATCTTATCTTATCCAATAATATGGTGTGCTAATGACCTAAACCTATATATGTTAAGTAGTTATATGCTCCTCAATACATATTCAATGAATTATGTGTATACATATTGTGTATCACTAATTATTATGTGCAAGTACTTTTTATACTTATATGGGTGATGTAAGTAGAATTAAATTACAAAAAATGCGTAAAAAAATATAATATCAAGATATTAACATAATAATTTCCTCTCATCACTAGCTATCGACACATACATAACACATACTTATATCTTGTAGACTCAATTGTTCTAATCACACACATAGCTGTTAGATAAACAACGCTCTCGTCTTTGAAGTATTTAGTTCGTGCACGGATGTGTTGACAGACGTTACCTTCCTTACATGTTGACAAGTGCATGTAATTTAAAATAAAATTTCAATTAAGTAGTTGATTGTGCGCGCTTTTCAAATGGATATATTGTCAAAGGTGAGATAAGATAATATAAAATGCTGGTTCATTTATTTCATAATTAAGCACATTTTGTGCGAGTCGGTTTCGGAGAATATTATGTGGAGATATACCTATTTATATTCATTTGCTAATATTACGTCTCTATTTTTATATTCTCTACTGAAGGCATCTCGAATACGCTTAAGTACAATCATATACGTGCTCCGCTGTTTTACTACCCCTTCTTATGACTACTTAAAAAACTTTTCTTTGTAATTCGTGAAGAACTCGCGCTTCAAGTCGCAAGTGGTTTAGTTTAGTCCGTACTTCTTTACTGAAGACCGACCCTTTCCTAACGACGACTGCAATAAATGTCGAGTTTATGTGAAGTATCGTGCGCACTACGTAGAAAATTATAATAGGTAAAGAATAAATGGAGGGCAATAAATATTTAGTATGAGCGTCCTGTAATACTGTTTTACTCGGTTGTGTAAGTATATGAAGGAAACATATTATATGTCTATTTGATTACGAAGAATGAGGGCTCGAGCATTGGTTAACGAGTAGTAGAAAAGTTATAAATAACTTTCAAATAATAATTAATGACGTCGATGTCTTCGGTATCCAGACTGATCGGTACATCTAAAGGAAATTTGTTTAATTAACACGAAATAATGTTGATTGTTCAGGGTTTCTTAACGGTCTAATGTGGTTCCTGGTGGTCTAACCTTATTTGTTTCGTCGTAGTTATGGTAAGGAAAGTAAAAAAATAATTTGTCCCTATCTTTAGTTTTTGCTGAGACCCAATATCTAATAAATAACCAAAAACAGTAGTAAGCAGATAAGATTGCATTTCGTGATTGTTTTCTTATGATTAGGTATTATTTTAATTACCTAGTTTTCCTTTGACTATTGTCCTCAAGGCGATGTTGCCCATATGAAATTCCACACCATTGAGTACCTATCCGTCACGTGTATTTCCTTATCGTATACCTCTTAGCTGGACCAGTGACTAGGTATGCCCCGAAGGGTAGTTCGGTAACCTTAGAATAACGTTTTTACAAAAAAAGTGTGACATTCATTCTTCCATCCTTAGATTTTAATAATAGATTCATTTATAATACTATTCGGGTATTAAACTGGGAACCTAAAATTTTTCTCCTGTATCGACAACAGATGTGCTTTCAATTAATAAAATAAATAAATAAATTGTTCAATCATCTTTAATCAAACTTTAGCATTTGACCTTTCATACTTACCTTACCCAAAATATATTTTTTTTATTAACCTGTAATTACGAGTAAGTGCTCTTATTATCCTATAAGAAGGAAGTAGCCTAGCTGACTTTATTCCGTTCGGGAATAGGTAGACGAGATTTATTTGAAACACTTTTTTACATCATATAACTTTACATTGCCTACGTGTAATCTTTGATAAATTTCACTGTTTCGCCCGTTTTTCTTCTATAAATCTTATATAAAGTAATAGTCAGTAGTAGACCGAGTAATGTAATTTCAAGTTGAACGCGGCTTCTGAATTTCCTACTATTTTTAATTGCAGACCTTAATCAATCATTCCGTGCTCTTCGGGAATTTTAAATTACTAGTTAGTAGCAGTAGTAAGCGCGCGCGCATCGCTGTCTCTCACTAATAAATAGTGCTTAATCGTTTTTTATCTTATCGGAGTGTAAAATACTTAAACACTCAATAAATCGCGATCGCATTACAATTTTACCATTGAAAATTCCTATTTCGCTTCGTAGAAACGATGTCTACTGAGACTGAATTTCTTCGTTCTTGGGTATGTAATTTTCTTGTTAAACTGAGTCTTTCATGTACGAAAAACAGCTCCATATTTTCCAAATTATAATAAATCACAGTAATTTTTTCAATCGAATAATAATTCCATTCGCTGAACGTATTTATTCAGTTTTCCTCGTATTCCGAAGGCCACGTTCGTTTCATTCAAATGGGGCGTCTGAATGACGACGGCCTTTACGCAAATAAATTGGACGTATACCTATAACAAAAGCCGGCTAGTATATGTATGAGTTGGGGACTATGAAGAAGATAAACGAAAAGAATTTTGATCGGAAGCAGAACCAACGAATATTTCTTATTCTTTTCTTATGTGCTTATTAAACTAACCTTTGATTACGGTATTATTGGTCGTGGAAATGTCGAGGTCAATAGCGTTTATCCATTTATCGCGTTTTGATAGCAGAGGTCAGCCGCGATAAAAGGTCGTCGGTTTTAATGGTTCGGTAAATAGATGTGCTCCTACAAACGTACTAACGTGAAGTTTGCCTTTAAAAAGCGGAATACATATCTATGTTATTACCTAAATTCCTTTATAAGCTGTAGGAACTCGCCCAAGTGTTGCGTCGCCGATTTGAGATATATTTTTGTTAAGTCATTTTGTTATCGTCGCAAACGAAGGTAACCGCCGCTAATGTCATCGCACTGTATTATTACCTCGTTACGTTCTAGAACTTCTGGTGTAACGACGCAATTATCTTTTTAATAAATAATGATTATCCACTGCGTACATTATATACTCCGCTGTAATGTACACAGTGACAAGCTTCATACACATTTTAGATTTGACGAAAAACAATACTTAAACGAGAGCTTCAAAGCTGATGGGTCCACTACTGCAATTTCAGATTCGAAGCCATCAGAGAACTCCGTCAGGTTCTAGAGACTTCAAGGAAGCGACGAAAAGAGATGCCCTCGCTCGGTTGGAGGTGGAACTGGAGAGACTGGCGTCGACGCTGCCGGAGCCGAGGAGAGCTGGAGTCGAGAAGGAGTTTAAGGGATTTAAGAACTTATTTAGCAGATTCTTAGCTGAACGTAAGATATATCGTACACAATTGAGTCGCTCCAACAAATTTTGAGCAAAGGTTGTTATATCCTATCATAGGAACTAGTACTATGTATTTAATTTAAGTAATTTAACATAGTAAATCGTTCTTTTTTTTGTAACATTTATATAGCTCTTTTTATTTTTGTAATATTTACTTCAAAAGCAAAGACGTCGACACAATATAGCCGTCTCTGTCGGAATGCTTCCTGATGTAGCCTCCAGTCTCCTGGAACCGCTGGGATACTTGTTTCGCCCGGGTTCGGGTTCGGGTTTTTTCTTACCGGAGCTGTTTAGGTGTGACTTCTGTGATTTCTGGATAGCTAATGACCCATAATTAGTTTTTACCCCCCCCCCCCCCTTTTTATTCGTGTCCAAGGTGGCACAAGTAGTGAGTCCTCTAATGAGCTTTTCAGTACTTTTTTTTAAAGATTCTAACGTTTCGTGATTATTGTTTTTACAGAAAATAATGATACGCGTTTTTAATTTGTATTGATTGTGTTTTCAAATTATATTAATTTTGGTAGGTTAAGAGTCGCTTGGAGTCAAAATTTCAACAGGTGCGATTTTTTGGACGCAGATTGTATTATGTTGTTTTTACATATCATATTACGTGTAGCTTATACGACAAAACCAAAACCTTTTCAGAGGGACCTTCTGTAACATGGGAGAAGATTCAAAAACTACCCGAAGGCGCTGTCATAGACTACTCTACGCTGAGCACTCCGACCACAGATAATATTCATCACATGTTAGATAAGCTGGTAGTTGTCAAGTTGAATGGAGGTCTCGGGACTTCCATGGGGTGTAAGGGGCCTAAGTCCGTTATTCAAGTAAGAAATGACCTGACCTTCCTGGATCTCACGGTGCAGCAGATAGAGGTGAGGCCCTAGTACCTGCAACGCCTAGAATGTATAGAGTATTTTTCTTACTTGGCATTTTTGGTAAACAAACACACAATTTATATAAAATCGTGATTTCCTCACAAGGCTTACAGTGGTTCACACTGGAAACACTTTGACACACTGGATTACATATATAATTAATGCACTGCCCTAAATTCACTCGCTATAACCTCAATTTCATACTAAAATTAATGAAAATCTTAAAAATGAATTTATGTAAGGACAGATTAAAACTTCTTTAGTTTGACATTTACATACGGATGGGATGTAAGCAAAGTCAACGGCAATAGAAAAAAATGAGTGTGGGTTATCGTTATTTTATTATCGATTTTTTAGTTGATATAAATACAATATGTACTGTTGTTGTAGTATTACTTTCCTTTTGTTCTTCAGCATCTGAACAAGACGTACAAGTGCAACGTCCCGCTGGTCCTGATGAACTCGTTCAACACGGACGACGACACGCAGAAGGTGATCCGCAAGTACAAGGGTCTGAAGTTGGACATCCACACTTTCAACCAGTCCTGCCACCCTAGGATCAATCGCGAATCTCTTCTTCCGGTTCCCAAGAACGGTGACGTGCACAACGACATAGAAGCGTGAGTATTTATTTATTGCCAGCTGTGGCCGCAACTTCGCGTAGAATACTTATTTGGGCATCGCATTTTCTTTTCTGCTAATGAGGAGAACACATCTATATACATTCTAGCTGCTACCCACGGCGTCGGCCGCGTGTCGTAGTTCTTGCAAATTAATAAAAAAAAATAGCCTCATAGTTTTGCAGCCTTTTTTAAAATAATGTTCTCGTACATATTTTTTGGGTATCATGAACCGTTTTCGCAGAGCACGCAACGGATATCCACAAAGATAAATAATTTTCTCCGTTTCTTTCACGTTTCCCATCGTTTCTTCGCTCGGTCGCCGCGGGGTGTTTTATAACCTTACCCTCCCTCGATAAATGCTCTAACTCAAAACAAACAAACTCTTTAGCCTTTACAATATAAGTATTACTGATTGGCGAATCACACACATCTGTCAACTACTGCGCTACATTGGGTCAGGTAAAAACGTTGAATTATTTGTGTGTGCGTTTAGCTATAATTGCTTGTATTTTTCTTTAAAACCTTTTGCTGTTCTATTATCGGGACCGTCCTTGGCACTTCTTCTGCTATTCCAAGTTTTTTTTTTTAATTAATTAACAAAAATTCGACTAATATAGACTCCCTGTCCATCCATCATATAACTGGTTTCAACAAGTGCTTTATTTATTTACCTATTTTTAGTAATCTGATTGTAGCTTAATTTTGAGTTTTTCTCTCTCTGTTTTAGCCTGTGATTTATTAGTACTGTACACTATATTTGAATGCATGTAGCTAAACACTTCACATTGTTAATATTATGTTCTTCATATTTATAATTATACTACCTGTGTCAGCGACTTCGTCCGCGAGAGTCATTAATAGTTTTTGCAAACCTTCATCTTTATAAACTTACGTAACTTAAGTTACTTAAGTGTCACCCACGACGTCGGTCGCGTCCCTTCTCATCGTTCTTGCAGGTTAATCTTAAAAGATAGACATATTTACAGCGTCATAAATAATTATTTTCGATCAATATTTCCTCTCTTCAGATGGTATCCTCCAGGGCACGGAGATTTCTACGAGTCCTTCCACAACTCGGGCCTCCTCCAGAAGTTTATTAAAGAAGGCAGGACCTACTGCTTCATCAGCAACATCGATAACCTCGGGGCGACCGTCGATCTGAACATCCTCAGCCTTCTCCTTAACCCAGAACAGAAACCGTCAGAATTCGTCATGGAGGTCACGGATAAGACTAGGGCCGACGTGAAAGGAGGTACTTTAATCCAGTACGAGGACAAGTTGAGGCTGCTAGAAATCGCTCAAGTGCCGAAGGAGCACATCGACGACTTCAAATCTGTCAGTCAGTTCAAGTTCTTCAACACGAACAATTTGTGGGCGAAACTGGACGCAATACAGAGAGTGGTCGACCAGGGCTCCCTGAACATGGAGATCATCGTCAACAACAAGAGTTTGGCGGACGGCCTGAACGTGATCCAGTTGGAGACGGCCGTCGGTGCCGCGATGAAGTGCTTTGAAGGTGGCATCGGCGTCAACGTGCCGAGGAGCCGCTTCTTACCGGTCAAGAAGACCTCCGATTTGCTCTTGGTGATGTCCAATCTGTACAGCCTGTCGCACGGGTCATTAGTGATGTCTCCGCAGAGGATGTTTCCCTCCACGCCGCTCGTTAAACTGGGCGACAACCACTTCGCGAAGGTCAAGGAGTTTTTGAACAGATTCGCGACGATACCCGATCTCATCGAGCTGGATCATTTGACCGTCTCTGGGGATGTAACGTTCGGCAGAGGAGTATCTTTGAAGGTGTGTATACAGTTAAAAATACCTACTTTTTTAAGAAATTCAGTTGATATTACTATAAGATTCGCCGTTTTTATTTTTATTTGATCATATTTAGAAAATAAAGAAGTATTTTATCCATTTCAGGGTACGGTGATCATCATAGCGAACCACGGAGACCGCATCGACATACCGTCGGGCGCATTGCTGGAGAACAAGATTGTGTCGGGAAACTTGCGTATTTTGGACCATTAGCCATTTGCACCCCAACGGATGAGGCCACCCAGCAGTAGATAAGTCACAGTAGTTCCCGAAAGTAGACTTAGGCCACTCTCATTCGTTATAATACCGTCAGTGCTGGGGCCATTTCAAGGAGTACAATTTCGTTTAGAGTAGTGTAAATAATTAGGATTGTGCATTTTTAGTGGAATTATAACTTAGATAATAGGTAGGCACCGGTTTTAGGTTTTTACTTGTTAGCTTAACGGAGAGCTCTTAACTGGTTTCTTTTTAGGATAGTGTCGTGTGATATTTTTGATGAAAATGAATACTTTATTTTTAAATAATTTGCAAGTTAGGCCAAAAAGATTTGTTTTTCATTGTTTCTGTAATATTTATTTAATCAACTTACGAATTTATTGTTTTTATAATGCGTATCATTGGGTTTAAAAATAGTTTTTCTTTTACATAAACATAATATGCTCAAGATATATTAAGAGAAAGATAATTTATAAGTACAATCTTTAGAGAGTGACAATTTGTAATTTTATACTTGTTATTTTTTTCTAAATTAATTACTTATACATAAATAAATTTTTATTTATATTTTTCATGTTGTTAATGAAATAAATTAAGTACCATTAGAAAAACGCTTTTTAAAACTCATTTTTTAAAAAACCCCTGATCATAACCATATTTTATAATCACATACTAGTAGGGATCATCACATACTAATCTGTTGTATGTGATGTGAAGGCCACCGTCTTGGTGTGGCTCATATAATAAAATCTACTTAAAATTAGATCAAGTACAGTTGAATTAATAATATCGTTCACGGCCCAGCAACCGACGCAATAGTTGTTTGAGCAGAAACACATGAACGAAAATAGCGGTCAACGATTATCAGCTGACTCCGTTCAACGCTAACACTTTTGAAACGCTGGCGCGACTGGCGGCGATACTGAATATTGCTGAGAACAGGCACAGCACCACGCTGCATACTGGCATTACCCACACGATGTCAGCGTGGAAGATACACACACCGTTTTCTTTGTAAGCACACGTTAAATCTGAAAACGAAAATTGCTTACATTTTTTACTCGTTTTTTAGGATAGAGAGGGTGGAAAGCGTGGGATTCACTTTATGGAAGGTAAAATACCCCAGCCATTGACAAAATGCGAGAATTAGGGGATAGGCTCCGTTCTCATCCCTCCTCCGTAGGCGTCTGGGGGGGAGGGATAAGTATCAAGTGATAATTGATCAGTCATCGAGCGGCATAAAAAGTCAAAGAATTAATGTTAGGAGTGGATAACTCTTATCTCTTAGGGGGATTAAACATAGATAATATTTAATTAAAACAAGAATTATATTAACTACGGCCCGACGTTTCAGATGTGATTTACAACGGTTAAATATTGACACCCGAAATGAAGATAACACTGGGACCTATTTTTTATTATTAAAATTGGCAACATTGCAAAAACATAGTAACAGAACCTGTAATAATTATACAACAAAAACAGATAATTAAATTAACAGACAATAAATCAAATTCAACAACCACAGTCTATAATACCCATAGTCAAAACTGCTACGCTAGCGCCATCTGTTCCGTCGAAGTTGGCGTTTGCAGTTTGGCGAAACTGGCCGATCACAGAGCCAAAATACAACGGTTAATAATTAATGTTGACATCCAAAATTAAGACAACGCGCTGAGACGTATTTAAAATTATTACAAATGGCAACATTGCAAAAATATAGTAACAGATCCTGTAATAATTATACAACAAAAACAGATAATTAAATTACTAGACAATAAATCAAATTCAACAACCACAGTCTATAATAACCAAAGTCAAAACTGCTACGCTAGCGCCATCTGTTCCGCCGAAGTTGGTGTTTGCAGTTTGGCGAAACTGGCCGATCACAGAGCCAAAATACAACGGTTAATTTTTAATGTTGACATCCAAAATTAAGACAACAGACTGGGACGTATTTTTATTGTTAAAGTTGGCAACATTGCAAAAATATAGTAACAGATCCTGTAATAAATATACAAATAAACAGATAATTAAATTAACAGACAATAAATCAAATTCAACAACCACAGTTTATAATAACCAGTCAAAACTGCTACGCTAGCACCATCTGTTCCGCCGAAGTTGGTGTTTGCAGTTTGGCGAAACTGGCCGATCACAGAGCCAAAATACAACGGTTAATAATTAATGTTGACATCCAAAATTAAGACAACAGACTGGGACGTATTTTTATTGTTAAAGTTGGCAACATTGCAAAAATATAGTAACAGATCCTGTAATAAATATACAAATAAACAGATAATTAAATTAACAGACAATAAATCAAATTCAACAACCACAGTTTATAATAACCAGTCAAAACTGCTACGCTAGCGCCATCTGTTCCGCCGAAGTTGGTGTTTGCAGTTTGGCGAAACTGGCCGATCACAGAGCCAAAATACAACGGTTAATAATTAGTGTTGACATCCAAAATTAAGACAACACGCTGAGACGTAATTAAAATTGGCAACATTGCAAAAATATAGTAACAGATCCTGTAATAAATATACAAATAAACAGATAATTAAATTAACAGACAATAAATCAAATTCTATGACAGTTATTCACAGTTTGTAATAATCAAAGTCAATGTCAGAACTTAGTGGTGAGTCTTACAAAAGTCAGTTATGAATTATGATGTAACTACTAAATTGTAAACACTGTTCAAATCCCAAACAATGGTCTGAGTTTTGCCCCGGCGCCCCAAAAAAGACCTTGGGAATCAGCTACGTCAAGGAAAGTATCTTCAAGCGGAAGCAATACGGCAGCATGTAGGTATCATGAAGTTATTGTAAGTGTTGACATTACATTACTTTTACACTTACCTATATTGTATTGTATTAAACATTTTTAAGACAAACTCATAAAACACAACATACCTATAAAAAATGCGGATATCTTATCACATTGCTTAACAATCGGTTGCCTCTTTTGGAATGGGAATTTCTATATTTGAGTAGATGGGTTAGCCATAGGTTTTCCAGTTACTCACCATAATATTAAAAGTTCACAATGGAAGAAGGGGAAACACTCACTACCATTCTTAGACATACTGGTAATTAGCGATGGATGTAGTAACATTTGGTCACACTGACTTTAGAAAAACAACCCACACAGATAGGTACTTAAACTGTGACTCGCATTCACCATCCCAGCCAACTTTATTCTAGTGGAGTATCTTTGTTTTAGAGAGCCTGCCATCTCTGTAATGCTACCCACCTTAAAAGGGAATGTCAGCATGTCAAGCAGGACCTATCTAAGAACAAGCTAAGAATCCCTCTGAAGCATCCTAGGAACAAGAAGCCCACAGTCCAACCTCAGCCTACCTACCATATGTGAAGGATAGAATTAGCTGAATCATAAAAAATACTATTCACACAGTTTGGCTACTACTAAACCTATTTAATGTACCCTTTACAAGATGCAGCTCTTATAGACTAGATTGATTATGGCCTATTCTACATCGGCCAAACAAACTTTGACAAACCAAAAATCCTCTGAAAGAAAAATAATTTTTTGAATGATGGTAAGAAGAATGAATGTGTGAAGAATGGTATGTGAAGCAACCAAAATTAAGAAACACAACAATTTCTATAGGGAAGACAACATCACCCATGACCACGGCTGCTGCAAAGCATCCGAAGCGTCAGGCTGTAGTTAAAATAAAATTAAGTTAACTTAATACATTTCACTTTTCAAACCGTTTAAGTGTTTTATTTGACTCGTGTAATCTACAGACACTATAGTAATCAATTCTCAAACCTACTGAATATGCATATAAAATTTCATAAAACTCGATCTAGCCCTTTCAAATGAGTATGCTAACTAGAAATTTGACACAAGAATTTTATCTTATCAATGATTTCTAATAATATTAGATTGTATACAAGTTGGACCGGTGAGGATCGAACGCACGACCTGTTGATTATAAGCCAGACATTGCTACCACGCGAACTCTAAAGAGTTTACTAGAATGTGAAATGAGATCTATTGAGAAGTACACATGCATAATCGACATACTATTTTATGAAAATTAAGCATAATCTGCAATAAAAGATGGCGCTGTATATAACGAGACAGTATTAACAATAGAAAAGGTTTTCAAGAAGTTTTCTCTTGAGGAAACCCCATTTTAGACGAGCGTTGTGAGCGTTCAATGCTTATATTTTATGAAACCCACCTCCGTTTGCAACGTGACCACTAGGTGACGCTTTTGGCAAGAATGTAATAGTCAATTTTGTTGTGTGTAGTTTGTAACTCTACGCTAGATGGCGTTAATTCTTTTTCTTCAAAAACCTGTTGTATAATTTACATGTAGTAAAGAAGGAAAAAATTGTCTGTAGTGTAGTTGTGAAAAAAAGGAAGTCAGTCCACAGAATCTAATCACAGAATCAAAGGTACCGCTAAAAGATGAGAATGGAGTATAATATATACAAAAAGGCTTCTTACCATTGATTAACATATAGAGCAGATGTCCGAGAGCGTGGGCCACCAAACCCACTATCGAGAACGACACACCTATGGCTAGCGGTTTGTCAGAGCGACGCGTGCACCGTAGAATAGACATGCCTTGCATCAGGAGCGATGATGCTGGAAGTGTTCAATTAAACTTAGATTTAATCACTTTCCTGCTAATTATTTATTTAGTCATGGTTCGTAATAGACAAAGAAAGCAAATAAGTTTTACCTCCAGCGGCCAACATGACGGTAAAGAAGACCAGATAGATGTTATAGATGAGCGCGCAGGACGGCAGCAATGAGCAGCCGCCGCGCACGGCTCGTTGAGGCTGAGGGCCGCAGGTGCAGTTCTGCAAAACCCTGTCCGAAGTTTCATGGTTTTAGACAACTACATCTGCGTAGACTAAGATCTGCGTTTAAATAAACTATTTCAGCGTTCAACTCAGCGTTTTCATTTGAACGTGGCTCATCTCGATCGACGGGTCTTCGGTAAGCTCCGATGTAGTGTACGAGCGTCGTTACTTACAGGAATCCGTTCAGATCCTCATATTCGTTACACCCGGCGTGGCAAGGAGAGAAATAGGTGGTCTGCGTTTCTAAAGCACACACCGGACTGAAGCCATAGGTCTGCGAGTTACACCTGCGGCAATAAAAAAACACTTACAATGGTCTACTAGTACACAAACTTTTGCTTTCACTATAATAGCAAGATTCAAGGTCCAACCCGCACTGACGACTGCATTCTGGCTGCTGGTACTCTCCGTTTAGGCCCTCCATGCCCCCCGTGTTGCAGCTCAGTCCGGCCAACACGCAAAAGAGTACGGCGGCGAAGATGGCGACGCCCGCGCCCACTTTGGACGCCGTGTTCGCTTTCACCCCATCGTCACGCCGGCCTGAGAAGCGCATTCTGAATATCTGAGAAGAATCCAGTTATTATTCATACCATCGAAATTAGGGTAACACCTAAAGAATTTCAAAGTGCAATAAAAATTTAAATATTTCAATTAAAACAAATAAAAAATTAGGATCAATTCAAAATGAGTCGCTATTTTTGATAAGAATTAATAGAATAGCTTTAACTACGTGGTACTTAATAATAGTAACAAAAAAGGATGGGTTTACTTACCGACACGAAGAAGATAATGACTAACGATCGAAAAATGTCTATAATAACTCGTGACGTACGCGGGTCCTGTCGAATTGTTTCCACGTGGAATTTTGTCTGAAGAAGAGAATTTTAATTGAATAACTGGCTAAAGTCAATATTCTAAGCAAAATGTGAAAGTTAAAAAGCACGAGACTCAATGGCCCGATTGAGCTGTACACATACAGAATAGTAAGAATACAATATGTTCATTGGTATATTTTATAGTTTTTATAAAAATGAAAAATGCAAAAGGAACATACTTGTAGCAACGAAGTTTCGTAATTGTTAAATCCAAAAACGGCGGCAGTCAGGCAGGAGATGCCCAGCGACTGCAGAATCAAGGATTTGTTGCGAACAACACGGCCAAGGGGCTCGAACATACCTGTGAGATACGAACACGAACGTCAACGGTCGATGTTCTTCAGAGATGGCACTCGTAATCTATACTAATGTATAAAGCTGTGTTTATTTGAACGCGCTGATCTGTGTAAGTTTCCGATCGAATTGAAAAATCTTTACTAATAGGAGAGAAGAAACAGCGGGAAATGTGGAAAAAACTGGGAAAATTCATCGTTATCTTTGTGGGTTTCCGATGCGTAGGCTGCGAAAGAATGATTCCTCATTAGATGATCTAAAAAATGTCCGCGTCACTATATATCTATCTTTTAAAATAACCTTACAAGAACGACGAGACGCGCGGAATGAGAAGAAGGTTTGCAATAACAGTTTTTGTTGCCCAAATAAACTATTATACGTGGACGAAGTCGCTGATACAGCTAGCAATAAATAAGTGACGACTCACAAGTCCTCTCCACTGGGTCGACGTCTTTATAAGTAGGCATCTGCCTCGGAAATAGAGTGTAGAGTATACTGAACATGAGAGTGAGCATGGAGAGAGAAACGTGGGCCTCCCACCAGTCTTCTCTTACGGAGCCAGGTCGAAGCCAATTGGTACCGCTGAGACCCAAGGATAGACGGATGGATATGAGAATTCCTGAAAGAAAAATCATCAGTCTAATGGGGATGTTGCCGTATCTAATGTTAATTTCGATTCTGTTGGATGTTGTCCTGGAGAATACAAATATACCGTCGTTAAGCTTTTAGCGGCAACGGAGGATTACCTTTTAAAGCTTTAGTCTATCAAAAATCTTATTTAATTACCGTAGAAATATGTTCCGTTCTGCGGTTCGTGGTCGTCCAAATAAGTCACACCGTGTGCCCAAACGCTGATCTTCGTAAATCCACAGAGAACTGCCGTGATTACCAGAATTATACCACGCACGACGCGGTGAGGGTCCTCCACCTCTGTATATTCCGATATCGCACCACCGTTGCATAATTCTATTAAAAAAAGTCAAAAGTGTTCAGTTGTCTAAACCGCGCCAAATAATAAGTAGGTTTTAATTTAACTATGGCTACGAACTACTTCGACGGAAGTTCTGCTGCTCATACTTTTAAAGGTCCAAATGTTAACCACGTGTCGGATTCGTAATATCATAATATGCTATAATTATCTAAATCCTCCTTAAATGCTAATTACACGTGATAATTTTAAGTTAAGGCGTTAATGCGAAGGTCTTACAAATCATTTTGTTTTCGTAGATAATGCGAGCTACAATCGGCTTTAATCAGAGATGATCGAAGAAATTAGTTTTTTTAATGCCCACCGACGTCATTCAAATAACGAATGAGTCGTCCCTATTATCAATCAATGTACTCACTATCAATGTAATATCGATTGAAATATGCGAGTGCGGTAATAACGACGCGGGGACATATGGACTACTTTATTAAGTCACTTTAATCTTTATTCCAAATTCCACCTCTTTAGTGACCGAGAACTTGCTTTCGTTTCTTTGGCAGATTAGAAGGCATGGACTTACCGACCTCGGGAGCGCCGGTGTCGGGAAAGGGAAATGCGAGGACGACGAGACCCGATATAGCCGTTATGCCGAGCCAAAAGGACAGCGTGAAGTTGCGCCACGACTTTCCTTGCCATGCGACCAGGGAGCCGAGGAGAAATTCAAAGACTCCGACTCCAATTTTGACCCAGTCTGGAAGGAGAAACGCGGATATTTAACACGGAGCATAGTCGCATTCATTGAATCACATTAATCGGCAAGGACGGAACGGCTTTGGGGCAACTCGCCTTGATTGATGGTGTGGATGAAGCCGGTCCTGTCATTCCTGCGCAGTAATAAGAACACGTTGCTCTCTAAAAAGATGACGATGAGCAGAGCGCCCTGCAGGAACAGGTCGAAACGAGGGATCGTGAGAATGTACTTCCGCAGGAGCTCCCAGCCTTTGAGCATTACTGAAAGAAATCTTATTAGCGGCGAACGTGTTCGTAATCCTGAGTAGTATGACATTTATTATAAAAAATACAATTTTCTATTTAAAAAACGAAAAAAGAAATACCTGATATCATGTTTAAAAAATAATTATATAAACCGGAAACCCAAATCTCGAACTTAATAATCCAACGGGCGTAATAAATCAAATACGTAGTGCCATCTCAAGCACAAACAATCAATATGAAGGCAATAAAATAATAAATGTGTTTTGAGTAGTGATTGCGAAAGGCAACTGTTTATCGGAAAGCGGAACAGTGCAATCGGCGCATTATCTCTCCGATATTTTTTAATCAGTACTAATTGAGGAATCGTTTACTCTTCCCTTCGTTGGTCTTCAAACTGGACAACTTTCCAACTGGACGCAAAGAACAGATTCAACAGCAAGGAAGTTTGATTACACTTCGATATTACTATAAATCAATGGCTTATGTACCTACAGTTACCTATAATATATATATATATATATATAATATATAATAGCGTGGTGAAAAGAAATTATTTAGACGATAAAGTTGTAGTTCAACCTTTATTATTGATCTTTTGGTTCTTAGTTTTTAAATGTATAAATTAGGTATAATCGTCTTTTTATATTGTTGACGAGTGTATCTTATGAAAAAGTTTGAATATTTTACGATTATACATTAAACCGTTACTTTACTTTATTATTAGATATATTGAGTCGAATTTTTAAACTTAATACTCATAGTATAATACTTATGATACAATTTACAAGCATATTAAAAAGTTATCATTTTTGAAAACTAAATATTATACACACGATAGACGGTAAAAAGTATTTTTTGAGTCACAAAGAGCTATAGCTTGTACTGTATTCTTAATACAGACAAATTATCACATTTTAAAAATATAATTAACTTATAAGTTACAATAACTCACTGTCGTTACATAGTTATCACAAAATCACTTCACTTTAATTATAAAATATAAATTTCACAAATCTTAAGTAGGGTGTAACAAAAATACTTTGTTTTATTCTAAGATGGCGAGAAGAAATGACGTATTCGATCTATGCAGGTACGAGTACTAAAGATCTGATACGAGTTTAGTAGGTGTGGTGCGCCGTATACTTTCAAAAGAGGTTCAATATGGCGGAATTTAAACTTAAAAATACAACCTCAAAAATGCGTAAGAGAGTATTAATCAAAGAGATAATAGCAGGGTTTGCCGATTTATGCCGTTTGCCGTAGTTTTTATATTATTTGGTGGTCTGGTTATGTGCTCAGAATCTTCTCTTCCAGCCAGGGAACGAAATGCGTGACCCTCGTATAGACACCGGGAAACCCAGGCTCTGCACACTTCTTGCCGAACGATACGACGCCGATTTGGAAGAAGAACGTCTTGTACGTTTGCGAGTTCCACTGGAAGTAAAAAGGGCCTCTTTTATTTTTGTCTTTATTCAACATAGGCCTACTAAGGGATCCATAAATGTGCACTTTTAATATGCATGCCATATGTATGGCTAAAAAGTGAGGTGTATTGTTTGTTTAAAGAACTTTCAGATTTCTAAAACAAAAAACACTTGTCGGTTTTAAATATAGAGCCTATTCTTGGTCTATTCCTGCTTCTTTACAGAAGACGCAAAAAGCTCATCACTTGCTAATTTAGTAATGCGATATTTACAATAGGTTGCATCAGCGGCCCGCCGCTGTCCCCCTGGCAGGCGTCCTGCCTCCCATCCTTCCAGCCGGCGCAGAGCACCCTCTCGTCTATCACCTGCTTCTTGTACGGGCTGTACGTCTCTTTGCAATTGGCGTTGCTCACGACGGGCAACTGGGCCACTTGCAAGTGAGACGCGGAAGGTCCACCTGATAGTCGGAGATAGAGGTTCGTTACTTCCTATTACTTTTGATACTTGTTAAGATCGGCCAATAGGACAACCAAGGATGGACTTTTCAATTACATAAAAAAAACAATTTACAGCAATCCTTTCGCCTAATTACAGTTTGGCTATTAGAATGAATGAAATTTTGGATCAAGGTTCCAACTCACGATAAGCGACGTCCCCCCAGCCGGCGATGAGCGGATTATACTTTTCGAAGGTTTGCGATCTTAACTTGGCATCTTGTGGGATGCAGATCGGTTTTATTAGCTCTGAAAGATAATCACTGTGTGAAAACTAATACAGATTTAACTGATTGTAAAGCAATAAGTCTTTACGTACTCGTGAATTCGACGTCCCTTTCGAGAACTAAAAGGCCAATGTCGTTAGTGAAAGCCATGGAGTCATAGCCTTCGTGCATTATCTTGGACTTGATCAGGACGTCTACGGGACTGGCCCCATCGTTCGTATCGGCCAAGTCCAGTTCGCCGAGTCTCACCACATACCTAAAAAAATACCTTATAAGAACAACAGGCCTTTTGTAGGTACAATACAAACAGGTACTTATGAAGACCATTAGTCTAAATGTCGACACTTCGGAACAATATTATGTCAAGCGATCATAAAATGTGGTATAGAATACGTTACGCAATAAATAATAATCATAGCAGTTACAGTATCATCCGCACTGCTATTATGTGCGGTTGAATCTACACTTTGGATGATCTCATTTTATTATTTTTTTGTAGCAAAAAGTAGATACGTCTATTTTCAAATAAACAATGGCAAACTGCCGTACATCCTTTTCATTGTGACTTTGGTCTATAATTAAAATAATTTTATTAAAAAAAAGTTTAAATATTATTAACACCTCGACCGTCTAACTTCTAAGAGAAATCTACCCTAGAATCGGTATTTATTCATAAAAAGTATTAAAGTTCTTAATTTATATGGTACATAAGATGAAGTATTAAACAATATACTTAACTTATTCAAATCTCGTTATCACGGATGTGACTTCTCAACTTCTTGTTTAAAGACATTACTTAGTTATTCTCAATGAATATATTTTAGTCATCATATTTAGATTACGAGTGAGGCAATACCCACGGTACGCACATTGCATTATGTATTTATATGAATATTTAAACATAGGTATATAGTAATGCAATTGAAGTTGCTGAACATTTTAGACAACCACCTTAATTATTAAAACCACTCACTGTTTGCGTGCGTGAGATATATTGTGATCATTTTACAAAAATAGTAACTCGATCTACTTTTGAGTCGATTTTAAGAAGCCAGCCTTCTTAAAGTCGACTCATAAGTACACAACTCGACTCACAAGCTGTCTTCGCGGTTGTAGATGCAGTGAGCGGCGGTCAGCACGTGGTGAGGGCTCACCAAGGACCCCCCGCACAGCCAACGAGTGGAACTGTCTCTAGTGCCGTGGTATCCTAGCAACGCCATCCACGGAAAGTCACCTGTAACGATAACGTTAGGAAATCTTTACGTTGTTTATTGTTTGTTTGTCATTATTTGTTTTAGTTTTTTATTATTAGTGAAATATATCTTTGAAACCGATCACTTAGTATATGTTAAGAACGACTTACTCATTCGACACAACTAATAAAAAAAAGTTGACTTTACGTAATGAAACGACCTTCGGAGGCGCTAACCAGTATTCTTCGCGCGAACAAACACTTTATTTACAATGCACTTAAGCTGGAGCCCCTTAATCTTAGAGTTAGAATTACTTGAATAAACTTGTTACTCGTTCATCACTGTAATTGTTCTTGTGAGGGCACCAACAACTGGTTATTTCCGAGATGTAAACAAGTGAGTAAATAGAATGCGTTGTGAGAACATTAAACCAGATAAGTTCGTCCTCCTACATACACATATATCATAGATAGATACACTAGTATTTACGGCCGGTTTTTGTTTCGAGGCGGTCCGACGCGAACCGATCTTACCAAATGGTTCACTTAACGAGTTATCGCGCGCGAATTCTTACGCGTAGAAGATGTTCAACGCTCACCGAGCTTAGCCGGGATCCCATTGACTACTCTGCTGAAAGAAGCTTCGCTGACACCGCAGACGGGCGGCTCGGGAAGAGACGGCACAGGTGTCAAACCGGTTGAGTCACTTTCCGTCACCGATTTGCCCTGTGGATTAGGAGTGGTTTCGCTCTGAGGCGACGGAGGTTCTTCTGGGAATCCGGGCAATGGACAACACACCTAGGCGTAAAACATTTATCAGAAAACTTAAAACGTATTTTGTTGTTTGATACAATCTTGCAATTAATGTCTATAATCGTAAACTATTCAACTTTATTTCTGTTGTTTATAGATGTTTCTATGTGTTTATAGATAACCTGTAAATGTTAAGAGTGAGCGCGTAGCGTGAATGACATATTTCCATGCATTTCGTGAAAACTAAGAATATCGATATTAACCTTAGGGTCCTGTCCTTCGAAGCCACACTGAGATTTTCGCAAAATATCGATGACCGCTTTGTCTCTCGGGTTCCGCAACAATTGGTAATACTGTTCGCAGCCTTGAATTCTGACACAGGTGCCGTCGCCGCCGTCTACGGTCTTACACGTGTCTTCTGCAAAAAGTAACTAGACTTCAAAAATCATGTCGTTACCAAAATACAGATAGAATACAGATATCCGTTGCTGATGCGATTGACCACAAAAATAGCGGTAATCGTGCAAAAAAAGATTTGATTCTTATCGGTTGTAAATGGCATGTTGTTATATACAAATAGATGTTTATTACACTTAAATGTTTTAAATTAGTGTAATCCATTCACTATGCGACATAAAACGTAGTTATTTTTATGACCATTACTGTTAATTAATGCTTTTTTCTCTGACTACAAACCCGCCATAAAAATCTCAATTAAGTTTTACGTGGAATATTTTTTGCTGGCTTTAGACCGTGCCAGCGCGAATCTAAAATAAGAAACTATGTTACCGATCGGTCTGTTGTTCGTTTGTTTGAACGCGCTTTTCCCAGGCGTACTTCCTGAGAAAAGCGGTCGGTAAGACCATTTATCGAGAAAAGCTTTAATCTATAAAACTACGAAAAAATTTATTTATCGCCGCGTACGCTGCGAAAATGGTTCGATATATCGGCAAATGGAAGTTACAAAGATATTTATTATTATCCTTAAATTAAAATTAATTATCGGATTCTTTGTATGCAATTATTGAAATATTTTCATGCGCGAGACTGCTATATATCACTAAGTAACGTATCCTTTATCATTATATATCTATATCTTACACGATTTAAACTTAAGACGTAGGCATCATAAAAGTTTATGAACATCGATTATACAATCCGCGAGATGCTCCGATGGTAATATGTAAACGAGCCGTCACTTACACTGTTAGAAATAATTATATTGTCCTAAAAAGAGTCAGTCGTCTCAGTAACGGAAGTATCGACGGAATTTTAGATATGATAAATGAGATGTTATTAGTCGCAGTTAAAGCGTGCTACTGCTTAGACAATAACTTCGCAGATATCTCTTATGTTAATAGTTAGCCTAGAGTTCAGAACGAGTGAAGTTTAAAATATATGTCCTTTCCTAATGTTTAATCATAAACGTTCTTTCGATCCATACCATACACCGAAATTCGGGGCATCACCTCGGCCTTCGATACACAACGAGGCCTCGATCGGTGTAATAGGCGGAATTACAAAGAACACACAATTTGACCTGGACGATGACCACTGCGCGGCCTTCGATCGAGGAAAGGACTTTTGGGCATTAGTGGCATTGACGGTGTTGATTGAATGTATTTCGAATTGGATTAGTTATTTATTTAGTTTTGTCCTAGATTAAGTTATATACTATAGCTCTATTGAATGCAATAATTCTGATTTTATTAGTCGTAAAAGTTTTTTTTTTCATATGACGAGGCTATCGTGTTGTTTAATCGGTTTTTTTTTTAACTTTGAGTTTATTGCAATAAAACTCCTTAATAGCACGGCTGCCATTGAGGTACATACATTATAACGTACTAAGTAGATCTAAAACATGCAGTAATTGAGGTGTAGGTGCTTAAAATGATATATGATGCGGTTTAACGTTAACGACTAAAGCTATCCATGCAAATAACTGACTGTAAACCAATATTCCAATAGTTCCACCATAGCATATATGCGAATATTAGTGACAAATAGATAATTGATATTTACTGAATAGTCCAGCCGGTCCAAAGTTCATATTCTGCCTTGAAGCTGACGGAGGTATCGGCGTTAAAGTTGGAAAAGTAGTTTTCTCTTCTTCACCACGTCTATCTCCGAAAGAGATAGTGGTTAAAGTTAATCCAGGTTCCGAACTTGTCCCAAAAATAAGAGGACCAGAAGGATCTACAGTCGGGTCTGGAGCTACGAAACCCGTTATAAGTTTATTTTCAAACACTGGTGCGTCTGACACGGTTCCTGCAATCAATCCTTCGCTGTGGTTTGAATAACCTGGCTTAAAAACTTCTTCAAAAATATTGGGAACATTTGTAGTGATATCAAATCCAGGTCTTTTAGTGCTTGGTTCATATTTTTCATTAATATTTTGGTCTGTTATAGGATTTCTTGTATTACCGGTTTCTTCGCCGCCAGACTTGTGTTCCGTAGATATGCGGTCTCCGAACGATGGTTTATTACCCCTTATGAAATCTTCAAATGTCAAACCACTTGTATGTTTAGGTTCATTTGGATATAGGTGGCCCGACTCAAATTGGTTAAAATTTGGAATCTGTGGCCTATTATAATTTTGATATTGTCCTTCATTAGGAAATTGAAGGTCATTAAGGGGATAATAATTACTGTCACTGTTCTTATAAGGATCTGTGACGACGGGTCTCTTATTATTGAAGGGTAAAATAAATGCTGGATCACTGTTTGGAGTCTCCGCCTGCAGATGTAACAAGGAACTTAACTTTTGCTGAATCCGCCTCGGGCTTGGAAAGTTTTGGCTAAATCCATACGCTCCAGTCTGGTCATTTTGAAAAAACCCTATATAAACAATAGGTTGAGTATGAAAATTATCTTGCTAAACAATAACGTTAGTTCAAACCCTAAACATCACTTGCTAGAAAATATAAGTCCTATAATATTTTATTTTAATTTTTTTGCTATGTCGTATGCCCTAGTAAGTGCTCAATTTATACACAATTAAAACCTTTTCGATTCAATCAAAATTAAGATAAATTATAGCTGATTCGTTGAACGTTAGTTCTACAAGTAGTCACAGACAAAAGTGACCATGTCCTAAAAGGATTATCATCACACAAAAAGGGAGGTTTTCCTCGTAGCAAAATTACAATAATAATGCACACGCTATGTTGGTCTTATAATTAAGTAATAAAATAATGTTATGTTATTAAAGCTTATCAGGTTGGTTCTTTTATATTTGAGAGGATTATCCGCTCAACGGGAAGTCCGAAAACAAAATTATCGAACCTACGAAATGCTCAAGGAACCCCACAATTTAAAGACTACTTCGCATAACTTACTTCCATATAAGACAGAATAATATAAATACGATAATCCAGATTACTTCCATGATAAAAATATCTGTTATTAAATGATATCGATTGTCGATGTGCGAGTTATATAATTTAAAAATCTATTTACACTGAAAAATATTTAGTACACGGGCGGGACTAGAACCGGTTTCTAAGGCATAATTGGTAAAACAATTGAGCTGCCATGTCAATTACTTGATTTTCGTTTTCAATACATTTTTAATTAATATGATGCCATCGTGCGCAATAACATGTGAGAACTATAAAAGTTTTTAAGTTTTCAAATGAATTAAAGACGTTTACCCATATTAACAAGTACGTCCCTAGTGATTGTGCACTTAGCGTGGGTTAAGACGTAGTAACTTTAAGTGTTAAAACAAATTAACTTCTCGAGTACAAGTCGTCAAGTTAAATAATCTAATTATTATTGATAGTTTAATGCGGCCCAGACTACGTCATTATGAGATTAGGTATTTAAAAAATTCGCGGCAAAATCACTAAGCTTAAGTCGTTTATATCGTCGAGCGAATCAAAGAGCTGGAGCTAAAGTTGCATTTCTTTAATATATCATTATTTTCTTTAAAAAGCAAATCTGCTCAAGCCAAGTCCACTTGAAGAACCAAAACTCTCCCAAAAATGAAAAAGATTAGAAATGAAATCCTATGGCTGACATTTAATTTGCTGCTCTTTCCACCACTAGTAAATGGTGCTTATATGCGTGACCGTTTTCGGTGAATTAAACATATATTTTGTATAATTATTCGGAACGACAATGTTCCGTATCAGCAAGTATACATAGAATTCGTTGAGAACGTTCGACTTCATTTAGTAAAGAGACAAAAAAGATTTTATGATATTTCTTGTTCAACAACTCTAAAACCCGACTCCGCCGAACATCAAATAGAGCTAGAATTGACAAAACTCGTCAGTGCTTTCCGCTGTTTGCACGATTACGTTGTCTTTTTACGACCGACGAAGTACAAAAACGATGCTATAATTCGTAATTCGTTGATGCGTACTCGAATATTGCTACTGATTATCTTCTGCTCAAGTCGCATATCTTAGGGCAGTTAAGGAATCAGGTCATTGCCGGTGAGCGACGTTAACATTACGTGAGGCTGCTTTAGTGGACCTTGATATATCAAAATTTTATCTTACTTTTATCATCACAGGTAAACCATCCTGAATTTCCAATTCGGGGAAAACCAACGAATTATTAAAATAGAAGCGTTCAGCGAAGGGAAACAATTTATAAAACGTTGGCCGCGTTCAATATAAAAGGCTCTATAAAATTAAGAAACAAAGTAAAACGACGAAGGTGTTATATTGCCAAAGAAATATTAGTTCAGACCTAATATATTACGGTAGATATAAATAATTAGAATGATGTCGAAATTTTAACACGCAAAAAATCTCCTCACCGAATTGTCCGATCACAGTTTGCACACAAAAACACGTACACAAAAAAACTTGAATACGGTAGGACATTGTAAGTTTGACTTATTTATTTAAATGAAATAGCTTTATACTTTTGGAGGCGTGCTTCTTTTGCCGCTCGTCTCGTGAACTGAGATATTAAGGTCTCGACCGAGTCAGTGTTGATATAAGGAAGGCTACGCTGACGTCACGGCCGACCGGAACTTCAGCAGTCCGAGCGGAATCAAAATTTCCCCCACGGCAGCGCCGGGCGTTCGTCACCCGCCTTTTCTATCGCAGGGTCACATATTAACGACCCTACGTAATGTGACAATCTGTATATCGAATTGTATATTAAAACTCAGACAAATAAGAAAAACCCAAAGTCAAGTGAATGAATCAAAAATTTTCTCATGTGTAACACGCCTTAATATAAATAATTTGATTCGACCGGTTCGACATTTGCCCTTCGAGAATTCTAGCCTATTAAGAATTCCTTAGTTAGTCTTGACACTATTTTAGCTTATGACGTCACCGACGGTGGTCAATGCGACTGAAATTGCAATGTATAACCTTAAATATATCCTTAAAGTACGAACCTCTTTTCAGCTTCTGCGACCGTTTCTGTCCTTTGCTCTTAACGACGACTTTGACCCTTCTCTTCACATTGTGTTTCTGATTCGGCGCGTAGTCACTCTTATACACGTACTTCGTAATATTCCCCACTAATCCCTTTCTCGTGAAGGCTAAATTTTCGTCCGGAAAAGAGGCGGCGTATAACGTATTAGAATCACTCAGATGACCGTGGCCGTAGATCGGGTATTCTTGTCCGTACGTGGGATACCCGTGCGCGTAGGCTGGAGTTTCGTGGCCGTAGATCGGCGTCCCGTGTTCGTAATCGCTGGGATAAGCGTGGCATTTCTTGTCGTGTGTTTTTTTATAACAGTCGTCGCCAAACAAGTTTTGGATTAACGCGTCGTAGGCCTCGTAATACTCGGGAGGGTGGGTCGGACTGGGCGGTTTGTAAACGAAAGGAGTTTTCAGACATTTCTCATGTTTTTGAGCGAGAATTAGCAATACCGGAAACGATTGAATCAATTTGCAAACAGTTTTGCCGTCTATTGTCATTTTCCCGAAACTGACCGCACTGAAGCGCGTCTAAATCGGGTTAAAGTTGAGCCGAAAATGTCGCAGACCTATCGTGAAATCTGTTGAAATAGCGATCGACACAAACGATTAGCTTCGATAATGCCCTAATTTTGATTTTATCTCGTAGCTCGTAGCTTTCTAAAATCGTCACTAATGACGGGGCAGTGCTCGCAACTGGGTTAAGGTAATTGAGGTCGTTTTGCTCCCGAGCAATGATATTTGTTTTTTTCCTCTAAGAAGACTGAGTGACTACCTCTTTTTAATCCCTCACCAATTAATAAGTCGCTTTGCGATAACGATATTTCTGTGCATATCATTTATCTACTATTTTAAATCTCATGAACCCGGCTGTCCGCGACAGAGTTGTGTAATAGTTGACCAATGCATGTTGCTAAATATTTAATCGCGCTTTCGTGAATTTATCATTACGACGTGTCGCTCGGCGGGTAGACAGACAACGATCGAGTGGAGTTGAAACACCCCGCCCGCACAATATGCGAACTAGATGCGCTGTTGACTCTGAAACCGAAAAGCGCTTCACTTCATCGCTTGTTCATCTGCGGACGATGGTTTGCGACACGATATGCACGTATTTCAGCAAAATCATAAATTAATTTCAGAAACATGTTGAAGCTGGTGGGATTCGAATCCACGACGGATGATTATTATAATGAAATTTTAGCAGGGCCTAAATCCTGTCCCATCCAAAATTGAAACGTCGGTTTCTAGGAGTAGATACCAAAATAGATTTAAACTTAAATATTGCGTATATGAAAGAACATACACATTGCAAAGTTGCGCCAAAATTCTAGAATCATTGTAATGGCGAAGACTAATTGACGTTTGAAGGACACCATTTCGCAACAAATCAGCTAAAAACGTGTTAACACTAGTGACTCGGATCGGAGACAAATATTTCGAATGAAAATGTATAATTGTACTTAACGAATCACAAAGATGGAAGCAAGGCGAGGAAGAAACTCCATTGATGCAACACAATCGCGGAAACTGTTACTTTTTCACTTTTATTTCATCGTGTTTACTTTACGAGACACGTCCGGCTCTCCCGTGACATATTTATAGCGCCGTAACGGGAACACTCAACTACCCCCGAAATATACTATATATTTCGCTATCTACACTCTACTCCGATCAAACTACCTTTTCGTTCGCCGCGCGTAAATTGCGCTTTCAAACCGGTGACACTTCATCCGCTTGTCATTTTGACACTTCACTTCAATCACAATTCAAGGCGTCAAGATTAGTTTTCTATTGAGTCATAAAAATATCGCTTACGAGGTCGGTTTGTATGATTCAACGATTTATATTGACAATGAAACAATGTAGTGAAAATTCTATATAAATTTATTTCCTTAAATCGATTAGCTTATTTTATGACTAAAAGGCATACTATGGCTCCCTTACGTAATTCGAAATATTCACAAAAGACTTTATTTACATTTTGTTCAACTTGCTCTCCTTTCAATAACCCCGAAAATGAGCAGTTTCAATTGTGCAAGTTGCGAACTAATTTAAAGTAGACGTTAGAGAAGGAATACTTGTTCTCTTCTTTTCGACTGACCATCGATTTGAGTCGATCTGAATTTAAAGATGGCCTTGTGAACTTTTCATTGCAGAGAAGAAAGAAGAAGAGAACAAAAGTCGCCTGTAGTGTATTTTTTCTAACTTGGCATTTTTGGTAAACGAACACAAAATTTTCACGAAATCGTGACTTTCTCACAAGGTTTATATTGATTTACACTAAAAACACTTTTATAGACTCGATTATAAATTTAACTAATAAACTCAATAAAATGCCCTCAATTTCATGCTCAAATTAATTAGAATTCCAAAAATGATTTATGTTAATGGAACCACTAAAATATCTTTAGTTCGACATTAACAAAGACATGAGATGTGAGCAAAGTCAACGACAATAGAAGTCCCACTCGCGCTCGATCGCTGAAAAGCGTTTGTAAAGCTCGAGTTAAATTATAATGACCTACATTTAAAAAAAAGGTTTTCGTCATAAAAGCGATTTTGAATATTGAGGTCGTTTGGTCGATATAATCGACGTTTCTATATCCCTGTGTGTGTGGCAACAACTTCACATTCTAAAAGGTCTTTCTCCAAGTTAGAAAAATACACTATACATCCTCAACGTGGCCGCTGGACCCCAGAAGAAGATGAGCTAATGTCGTCCATAGGCCAAAGGCCACAGGCGGGCGTTCCGCTCTCCCCTTCCCGAAAGTTGCCAAATTAACCAAGAGTTGGCTTCTGCTGCGAAATGTCTTCTCCGGATTTCACGTCTGCACCGAAGCAGTGACAGTGGTCAGTTGGAGTGGTTTCTGGCCGGGTGGGGTGGCGGCAGCGGCTGCAAGGCCGGGTTCGCTACCGCAATTATGCTGTCGCCTCGCGCCGCCACGACTTGAGGGCGGGATTCTTCCGTTTCCTGTAATTGTCGCAAAAGAAGAATATTATCGTATCTTCCAGATCGAGCCCGAGTTCATTTCAAAAGGCGACTCACAGGAGGTGGCGTGCTAGCACTGGAGTATGAACACCTCGAGTCGGCGTCGTCGCTCTCCGTCTTCACGCCCCACCACCTGCAGACAATTATCCGTTTACGCTCGTGTTGAACATGTGCTTCTACCCACATCTATTTCGGTGATCGAGTCTTACCCGTGGTTTGAGGCGCTCCTAGCGTCCGGACTGGCGCGGACTCCGTCTTCGCCGTCCTAGAATTATCGTTTCTCATTTAAGCTTCACAGTTTAGACTGAGGAGGATAGCCTTTGCAACAAAAAGAACGTAGAGAACTACACTATATAAACATTATACAGGAAAAGAGGTGATCAGTCTTCAGTACCCCGACCGGCAGACTCATTTTAAAATACCTTTCGGGAGTCGAAGTCGTACCGTCGTGTTTATGGGGATAAAGGAGTAGTAGTAAGTCACAGCGGTCCCTGTGTAGTTACCGAAGCCAACAAGACCGGGTTAGCAGGCAAGTACATTCTTGAATTAGGTCAAGCCTATACGGCGGTTCGAGGCCGTCGCAACTGAACAAAAGCAAACCAAAAGATTACCCGTCACAGCACAGTGCATTACGAAGCGAACAAATATGCAGTAATGTTGCCACACTAACTAACACTAACAAGTGCCACTAATTCCACTATTTCAATAACCCGATGAATACCTTTTGCTACCGTGTGTAGTATGTACAATGAGATTTTAGGCAATCACCTGAGCGCCTTCTATGTTCTAAATCTTTTTTCCTGTTCAAATCGAACTCGATTTCGACTTATCCTGTAAGCGTAAGGTATTCTAATAAGTCTTATTATTAAGTAAAAGTTCTTACTTTAGGCAGGTTAGGTTAGGTTAAAGCGCGCTCGTTAGTCGGTGATGCAGTGTAGAAAATTATGATCAATCGTTGGAACGATATCGCAAGGTTTTTTTATAATTACGTTCATCCTCAAAGGGACTCAGGCCGAGTTAGATTGGTTAGTAAGAGAGCAGCCGGGAAGAGCAGGTTTGTGTCAAACAGAAAAGCTGTGCTAGAGATTAGTCGTGCGCGGTGAGGTCTACGTGCGTAGTGACCTGGCGAGGCCGTTTGCTGGGTGTCTCGTCTTCGTCTCTATCCCGTTCGTCCGCCGAGGGAGTGGGGGGTAAGCTGGAAAAAAAAGCAAACGATTCATGAATGCGACAATATTGATATTATTACTTCAAGCCTGTGTATGGCTGTTTAATTTAAATTAAGATAGGTGCGTAGGTTACCCGTGTTTGGAATAATGCAAGCCCGCTCGTCGCACGAGCTGTCTGGCGAGGGGGAACAGCTCGTCTCTGCGCGTGAGCAGGGCGGGCACGCAGCGACACATCTGAGCCGCCGCTTCGTTCACCATCACCTACGACATACGTAACGCGTTCACTAATAATAAAATCTTATTGGATAATACTTGAGACATACCTAGCGTTTAACTAACTATGTTTTACAGATACGGACGCGTTTTACAAAACTCGTGTGAGTCGGAGTTTCAATGGATGTAAAAGTGTCATACACCAGTTACCTCGTGCAAGGTCAGTGGCTTCTCCGGTTTTCTTTTACAATCGAATCGTCCGTATATGGCCGCATACTTCCGTATCTCCTCCATCCTCCTCGGGTCCGATTCCGGCATCATCATCACCAACTCCAAGTCTTTGCACATCTTTTTCTTGGTATTTTGCGGCTTCGGCTCCAATTGAGGCAAATGCTTACTCAACTTCTCCGCAGCCGCTGCCAATTTTTGGACGTGGACGTCTAAGAGGACGGGAGTGAGTAACGGCGATGTGCCGGACCCCGGACTGGATCCGGAAGTCGGAGGATTGCTTTGGGGGGAAAACGACCGCGAGGACGGAGCCACCGGCGAAGTGGGTAGGACGATCTTAGTAAATGTGCTGGCTTGATTGTGGACGGGACTGGCGTTGGGCGCCGACGCCGCGGAGCCGCAGCTGTTTTCGGGTGCGCCCGGCGAAGGGCTGTACATAGGCCTGTTATTGTCCGGCGACGCGACGGTGCGGGGTAAGTTAGGTATAGTGGGGATGTTGAGTAGTCTTTGGTTACATTGTATAAAGGGATTCTCCGTAGGACAAATGTTAGGAACGATTGGAATTTGAAAGAGAGCAGGATTGTTGACCCATTCCTGAAGCGCTTTCTGGAGTCGCCTGACGTGGAGGGGCTTCGACGCCATGCCCACCAAGGCCATTATTTCTAGGAATTCCTCTTCTCCAGCGTCACACAGCTGTTGTACGTCGTCTCCGCCTGGAACGATATTAAGGTGGCTACAAATTTCTGCCGTGGCGCCTCATACAAAAGAATAAAGTACAAGATAGGGCATACTTTCACTTCACAATATACCATTCCCGATGCTTAAGTTTTTTAATCGTCTTAACGATATTAATATGCAAAATACGCAACACTCTATTGTCGCAGAAAAGCAGCATTATAACCTAGGTAAATATGCAAATTCAAACGTGACCATATTTCGAATAAAAAAAACAAAAGCACCGAGACCGCCGGTCGAACCCTTCTTTACATCGGTAATTGCCAGCATTATAAGAAAGGGAAAAATAATTTGCATGAGCTGCTCGCGCAGTTTTTTCATTTCTTTCTTCGAAGATGATGAGAAACCGTTTTTTTAAGTGTTCCTACGATATGCATGTCTCATTTTGATCCGATGAGATGGCTGCTTAGGACCGCAGAATAAGTTTTAACAGACGATTAAACTAATGCTATAGTCAAAGTTATTAAACGAAAATATGGCTCTTCCTTTTCTTTATAAGGTATATAAGAATAAGAAGATAAAACAATGATGAACCCGAGGCTCCATCGACTCCTTACCCATTTCCAGCAATGTGTCGTAATACGCGAGGAGACTCGCGCGCTGCATCACCCGGTACAGCTGCAGCTCTGCTTCGTTGGAGGGCGCCGACGTCACCACCACTGCAACAGGTGGCAAACTGTCAACGTGAATTATTACCTCGCAGCTTCACCGTTCACTAGAAAATTTCCGACGGCGTCGAACGTTGGAAATTCTCTTTCAAAATCGATATGAAAAGAAGCCAAAACTGAACCCAGACGTTGTGCGTGCGAATAATAATTTTCGTTCTGCCTCGAATCGCGTGCGAGCAAAAAACACCCCTCTATGCCAACCCTCATTATTGCCGAAAAGAATCGTTTCAACCGTCGAACGAAAAAATAGATGAACAAGAATACATAAGATCCCTTTGTTAGAACGGGTTTGCATCCCGCCAATGCGATGGAAAAATATTGATCATAGACGAACGGCAAAAAATGTTGCCACCCTAAAATTCAACCCTCGAATACCATTGGATTTTACGCGATAAAAAAATGTGGGGTGTGATCGCGCGAACAGGTAAAAAAATCATAGAAGAAATATGTGCGGCCGTTTATATACCACGTACGTATTTAGGTCTGTTTTAATGTATGTAGTTGTCAATATGTCAAGAAACTGAATTTTATTTAATAACTAGACGTCGTCCGTGACTTTGTCTGCGTGGGAGACTGTAAAGTGACATTAGACAGCTTGGTAATTTTGTAGAAAAGGTATTTTTTCAAGGAAATCTAATAAAATTAAGATAAATAAAATACCTGAGTACCTAGTTACCTACCCTTTTGTTGTTTTAGACTAGAGATTTTGACTTTTTCGTAATTAGGTCAATGCGACGTGCAAATATTATTTTTTTCTAACGTGACGGGCCGTATTGTATCGGAACATATTTTACATAAATTTAAATAACGTTTAATATACTATCACTATACTAATTACTGTTTAATTTGAAACATTTATACTTGTATTGCGTGTCCGTTCCGAGGTCTACGGTCGTGTCGCATCAGGGCCGGAGCAGTCGAGTTCTGTTCTGTGTTGATGAACGATTTAATTAAAATTGTAAAAGTTGTAGTGTCATAATATTATTCATGACGTTATAAATTTCAGTCTACAACGACCGCTGTCGTCGTCTCCTTTATTTGTCGACGATGTTATGACGAGTAATTGAATATCTTCTTCATAATTTGAATCAGTATCGGATATTTCGAGGAAGAGCGACAAACGTGTCTCGGAAATAGTGCCGAGCGACGGCGGCATTATTTCAAAATATCGTGAGAAGTCTAGAGTCTAGAAGTCGATAACAAAATCCCAAAAATGTTAACACTAGGCAACTACCACACTACCGCTAGCCAATAACGTCACAACTCGTTGAACACATTGTGAATTTTAATTAAACTGCGAATTATTTGTACAAGTATTTATCTAGAAAAGGTCTTATGAATTATTATACATAATATAATTTAGTACTTTAAGACAATAACTTCTGTGCGAATGTTTTTATTTGAACGAACGGTTTCTTCGACATGTAGTACTGACAGTAGAACGTTTCTCATGGATTTTTTCAAAACGAAATTTTTATAAGAAGAAAGTCTTCACAGACGTAAAAAACGGTTCTCACTATGTAGTGATGACCAAAAAACACATTTGCATAACCTTTTTGCATAAAAAATCGCCACCAGCATCCAATATGCAAATTTAATTTTTACTAGATGAAGGGGTGTGAAGCGGCCACACGGCGGCGTCATTGTTTTTTTACATCTTTTACTTATAAAAATTACACACGTAGTCTCTTAGGACTCGGTTTGAACATCGTTGGAAATAAAAAAGTATTTATGCACTTATTTAATTTTATGCAGGTCACACGGTATCTTTTTTTCGGCAAAAAACTGATAATAATTGTCTTGCGAATGTGACCTATTCAGATTTCCTCACAATAAACACTTTTTGCTTTAGCGTTTTTTACAACAGTATTCGTGGGACTCAGAACACTAATTGTTTTATGTATACTCTGTTCATACGCAGTAAACGCAAAATAAACGAATACACGCCTAGAAGAGAAAACAGTTCTTAATCGAAATCGAAAAATATTGAAGTTTTGTAACGGTCTCTTTTCAAAGGTATTTGGTTCAAAACAATTGGATGCGAGTGTATTAAGTCCTAGTCTGAATGTGTTCGAAATGCGTTACATAAGGAGTTAAGTAAATATATTAGTTTTCATAGTGTTGGGTGGTACGGTAGTATCTCAGGCCTCAGCCTTCCCGTTTTCGGGGGAACCTAGGACTACTATTACTACTATACTTATATTATAATTCTAATAAATTAAAACTATCTACAATCGTTTTAAAATATAAAAGATCATCCGCCCTTTCGTTGCCGTTATCGTTATAATATAAGTATGTTGTTTCTGGCATAGCGTTTTTGTGCGGTGAGAATATGTATTTGTAAAAATAAGTTATAAGCTACGCAACAGAATATGTGCTATTTTAAACGCATGAATTACGAGAGCGTGCGAAACGTGGCTAATTCAAATTCGTCAGTAATTAGGCCCCATCTTCCTGCCTCTAAGAATACCACCCCTTGTCTATGCCCGCGCATAATAAAACCACGTTCGCCTCTCGAACATAAACAGAAAACAAAAAGACACAAAGGACTATCCGAAATTTGAATCCAAAAAACCGCTAATGACACTGGCAGTGAGATATAGAATAAGATAGCGGATGCTCGTTTGAATTTGATTAGGTGATTAACACTTGCGGTGATTGATATGCGTAATGTATGTTCTTTATGAATATTAATACTTACAGGTTTACCCGTGAAGCGAAGGGTGCCGCCGTGCAGAAAACGTAAGTTTACGGATTACAAATATATGAGAACTCGTCTGAGTATTCTTTAAGCAGCTCGAAAGCATTATTTGCAAACCGGCGAAGAAATGTCGTCTTGGTGCACGTGGACGACTACTAAAAAGAAATTCGTCGTTCCCGCCGTTGCTGCTCTCGGAATGACTAGACGATTTACATACGAAATTGACCCAAAAAAGCACCGGCTTACTTTTTATTCTTTCCTATCGATCGAAAGTGATATTCCGGCAGGTGGCCGCCTTTTTCTAATTATTGTATAATCAGTGCTGCATCTGTTTTGTAATTATACAGAGTGAAGGGTTTTTAAATATAATTAAGAAATTAGAGATACAAGACGTTCGTAGGCCGAGTTTCCTTTGCTCTACTGAAACTTTGGAGCATAAGGATATTGTTTATTTTTATGCACTTTCAACGTCGAAGAATCTATTTTTGTGTAGGATGGCACACAAAAAAGTAAGTAGTCGTGATTACTTATTTAATGTAGATGTCTTAAAATCTATAGTTTGGGTGAACCAAAGTAAAAAATATTTAAAGACTAACAAAATAATAATAATTTCGTCTACCATTTTATTTGTGCATTCGCCGTATACAATTCTGCCCGAAGCGCCACTTAGACCCTTAACACATGTTTTCATTAAGATGAAATTGTCTAATTGTTATCTTTCCAGAGCCTCGGGCTCCGTCGTTAGCACCTCGGCCCTGCACCGTGTTTTTTTAATCGAAAACCTCAACCCTACAGTGCAATGTAGGGCTGCGAGTTTGACTAGAACGTAAACCGTGCAATGAGAGCAAGTCCGTTCAACCCTCCGTCACCGACCGCGACATATAGTATCAGTTAGAGAAATGAGAAATTTTTTTCACTAATATTCAATAAACGTCTCAGACTCAATTCTATCAAAACTAAACTATCGCCCAGTACCTAGACACTTGCATCTTAACAGATGTACGGTCCAGTTCTTTTTATTTTATCCACAATCCATATCCTCTCATTAAGAACGTTTAACATCTTCCCGGAAGTAAAAATGTGGGGTCATTTATTCCCACAGCGAGCACCTTACTTTTAAAACAAACTAATAATTTTGATACTGGCAACCCTTCCGTAGTTTTTCATCGCGTCCATTCAATCCGTATTGAACCTCTTCCGTGAGAACGTCAAACATGACCGTAGACAAAAAGAGGACTCTATAGAGGTCTAATAAAAACTTTAAAATGGGGTCGGGAGTGGACAGTTGTTGTCTCGATAAAGAGTCGCTTTAGGAATCTGTAATAAAAAGACTCGATCCCCTATGACCATAGTAGAATTGCCGAACTACAGTGTGAAGGCGGCTCCGTTCGGTTGTACCTGGCCCGTACTTAGGAAAACTATTAGTCAGTACTTGCTGTTCTTAAAACGACTACGAGGTAGAATCGACTTAATGACAAACGAATTTGTACGACACATGTTACTTCCGATTCAATAAAAAGAATGTTATTTAGAATCCCATAAAAACGCATCCTCACCCACTTCTCAAACGGACAATTAAAAAGAAATAAAACAAATCTCCCGCGTGTCAAAAAGGGCGGGAAAATAGGCAACCGACGCTTTTTACGGCAACAGGTGGCGAAGGGTTAACTCGACTGATGTGCGCGTATTCCTGGATTAGAGAAAGCGTGAAAAATGAAGTCCAAACATGTGTGGAGTTCGATAATTAATTAAGAAAGAAATCGAAAGTTTACCCTACCCTTCACGCGTCATAGGATGCCGCAATACTTTCGACGCTGATCTATCCCTGAAAAGAGACTAAGCTTCGCGCGCGTATTTTAACGCCTCGACATGTCGCAAATCGGTCGTCACCGTCAGCACCTGTCGAAAAAGCAAACATCGATAGTGTTCAATCTGTATCAGAGGTCGATGACCTCTTCTTGGACGATAGCGAACGAAACTCGACGGTCGTTATCACTGAATAAAATCTATTTTTAAATAGCCTCTTCGCCTTCACCCACGAAACTTCGTCTCCCGAAGACGATCATAGAAAAACAATCACAGTATCGCTCGTACAATAGGGTGTAATGTTGTGTGGTTACAAAGTGCGGGTCTTTCGGGACGATTGTCCGTCAAAACGATAGAACATCTGCCGAGCAGCTGCCGAGATTAGATCGGACTTGTCCGTTCCTTTAAATCACCGTGCTCGCGGAAGGGTTAATTTTTTATGCGCATTTAATACGAATGACTTTTATCAAATTGTCCCACTTCGAGGTCACGAGCGACCCGAGATCTACCCTCACAATAATAGAATTTCACGTCGCCAAGTAATGCGCTCGTAAATACTGTTCATAATATTTGTACGAGCGCTGACCGCGACCCTCGGGGCTACTACCCCGTCGGTTTGTTGTAAAATCAGTGAAAATACTAAGTAAGCAAGCAAGTATGTACATTGACTTTTCACAGCCGGTATAAGGAGATACAGGCCGTGTGCCATAATTTGTCAGTCGAGAGTATTTTCAATACAATACAATATATGAAATTATATTTTCCAATACAATATTCATATTATATTGAAAAATGTGGAGTTTTGTTTTAAAAATCATATATTTTAAAGTACAAGCAGTGTAAGATTAAAATTAGTCGGGCACGCCGGTGGGAGTCGAAGCTGCGACCCATGGCTAGTAGGCATATATAGGAGGTAAGAATCCTTACTAAATTACTGAACGGATGACGGATAAACGCCAAAAGTACTGAACGGATTTAAATGAAATTTGGTACATTTATGGTCTAGACCCTGAGAAAGAACATAGGCTACGTTTTATTGCAAAAAGGGGGTTGTAAGGGGTTGAAAAAGGGGATGAAAGTTTGTGTTTAAGTTTGCGAGCACAGCTAGTGTAATATAGAACTCGATGCGGCAACACCCTTAGGTCAGCAGTTAAGTTTTTGTGGGAGAGCTGCTTCATTCGCTTCTCTTGATCTCCAAAATATGTATATGTTTTTCCCAGCTTCAATTTTCACGAGAACAATATTTAAGAAGTCGTAATTACACAGCGACTTGTGCTCTTCTCGGACGCAATATTAGAAAAATAATCGTCTCGTTAGATATTAATGTACCGTTTATGAGCAAAGACGACACGACAGATATATTACTCGTCGTTGATAACTTAGTAGTTCGTCTTGTCCGTCGTGTCTGTCGCTCTTCTCGCGCCGCCTCAACATAAGACATATCATTAATTATTTATAATAGCGCTAAGGGAACGAGTCGGTACGAGGTAACTTGCATCTGCAATTTTTTCCACTGAACACGCCATTTTTTGCCCGGCAAGATTGTTAATAGGCCGAAACTAGGTCGCGTCAATCATTAACGGGGAAAAAATTAATAGCCACACATAAATTAAACCGTAAACGGCAAAACTGTGTAAGAAAATAAATTTTATTATTAGCTCATATAAAATATTTTTGTTTTGCAAACGCATGCGTTCCTGTCTCTCTTTACAAAAATGAAATATGAAGTATCCTTAAAACAATATTCTAAAGCGAAAATGCATTTCTTCGTATTTCTGTGATGTCATTTGCGAGACATGTGTCCTCCATTAAAGGAGTAAAAATATCAATAAAAATAAATAGGTTACAAGTATATAGTTTATGTTCACCGAGACATTTAAAAATACCTTGCTGTGGAAGGATATCGATCAGCCGTCGCTGCAACAACTGCGAGGTACAAGGAGGGACTCAAGTGCACATTTAGAGTACCCTAATATGCAATAAAAATAGATAAGCTATGAAGGAAAATTAACTAACCGTATAAGATGATTCACTAACACGAAGATTAGGTTCCGAAAGGCGCCAATGCTCGACGCGTTTTACACTAACTGCCCCCTTATACGGTACGATCGACGGCTACTCGTCTCTTCTTATCATCTATTCTTTCATTATAAACCACTCCGCGATGTGAAGCCGTTTGTAAAAATTAATAAATCGGAATGCTGCAGTTACATAGAAATCCAAAGGTGCGATCGGACAGATGCCTCACGGCAGCCACAGACTAAAAAACTAAGTATGAGATGAACCATTTGCATATTCCGTAGCGTATTGTTATGAACGAGTCAAAACATTAGTGCAAAGGACAATGCCTCGATGCCGCTCGGTTGTATTTCAATAATGAAATCTTTGGGTCCCGTTCAAATAATCCGTTTGAAAATATTTGCTCCGTCAGTATACCCTTTTCTCGCAAGCGAACAACGGTCGAGGTATCATTTTGAGACGTGTATTGTACATTGCACAGGAATAGGAATTACTAACAGTTTCGTGGAAAAGTAGTAGTGCTTATTATAATAAACAAAAATTCGCGCCCGACGCCTGAAATACCTATGTAATTTTAATTATTTGACCACATTAACTCATCGTACGTGTTTGATTGAAGTTAAACTCCTCTTACCTAACTGACAACGAACAATTAATAAACCATTATGCCGCAGAAAATTATACTCTACTATCTAGTTTTTTTTAAACACAATGCACGCAGTGCACAATGGTGAGTTTTTGTTAAACTGCATGTGAGAATCGTTTTTCTTTCATTTCCACGGTTTTTCCTTCATTGCCTACATACTCTCCGTTTTTAATGCATCGTAAGTGTACAGTTGTACAGTTAAGAAACGACTTGATACTATCGACATTCATCGACTTAGAATATTCGCCGGCTTACAGCGTGACTCGAGTTAACGCGGCGGTCGAGTACGAAAGAATAAAATACTAAGACTGTTCGGTCCCACACGACATGAAGACAAACAAAAAGTCCATCGGAAGACAAAGAGGCGACGGTCGTGTAAAAACGCAAATTACACCGGTAACGGCTTCCCATCGCATCGCGTTTCTTTGAATCGATGCGTTTTTCTCGACGCGATTACTCGTCGCAAAACATTGGAGGATCGTGATGAGTTCGCGGCGCGATCGGTTTTCTTACGACTTTCCATTTGCACTTTGCATTTGCGATTCGGGGCGACGAGTGCTAGGAAAGCCATTGTATTAAAAATTAACCGTTTTATTGTGGGGCTCTACGTCACTTAGGGCCGCCGATGATCGAACATACATATTCATTATATTCGTTGATACATAAAAGGATAACAGCTTGAGCGAAAAAACTGGCCACGGCGAGCAGCCCATTAAGACGATTGTAAACTTTTTGCCAAACGTCGTTTTCAGTTCTTATTTGCACTCATAACTAAGGTTTCGTGGAAAGAACTAAATTATTATGTCATAACGAACGAGTGGACGATATTTCTCTAGAAACCGACGGAGACGAGCTTCATCATTGTGTAGGTGTTCAGCATTTACTGTTTACACCGTCGCCCATATGCGAATTCACCCGGCACTACTGATTACTGATATGAGTAAATGTTTCGATAGCTGTAACCAAATGAAAACAAACAACACGACATTTGTAACGTTAGCTCATTAGCGGACTCGAGTGCTGGGCGTAGATATAGAATACATATTCGTAAAATTGTTACCGAATAACTAAAAAATAATGCAGTCAGGCCAGACACATAATAAGTTTTTGGATTGCCTTTCATTTGAGAAGTGGGTTTTAAACGTGGGTTCTCGAGTAGATAGAAGTGAGGAGATAATTCGGAGTGTTCGGTAGTTGGACGAAAAAGCGTATGAAATGGAAGCGGTGGCTTACTGGTTCCATTCACGTTTCTTCCGATGATCTTATTGGAGCCGTTGGGCTGCGGTGCGGGCTGAGCCGCGCGTCCCGTCTCCTCGCCCGGGCTCTCCATATCCCCCTTCTCACTTGCACACATGAACTCGCCCAACTTTATAACGACTATTTCCGATTTAACATGACCGCTCGGAAATTTTAAACTTAGAAAATTGCGACGATAAGAATTGAAAGGCGCTCGTAATTCGATTCGAATTTGGCGCGCGGCGAGCGATCGTATCGATCGAAGTGACGTTCGCTCGTCGAAGCCGACGACTCGACTGAAGGCAGCGGGTCGGCAGCGGAGCCCTACGCTGTGCAGCTGCAACGCCCCGCCCAGCACCCCACGGCCCCTCCGAACGACCCACACCTTCATATAAAAAAGGATATAACCGAATTTGTGCGTGTAGTTACCTCTCTATGTAGGGACAGAAAGGGTTTGCAGGGGTCCTTTAAAAATTTTTAATCGCTCTTATCGATCGCGACGCAGGTCTAAGGAACGATACGATTACATTCGCTATGCTCCGCTCTCAAATCTTATAGCGTTTGGTTTTTCAAGTTGAATTTTACCCGCTACAGAGGCAAGGAAAATATATTAATGGTATTCTGTTTTTCCGCTGTTTCAAACAAACCCTTCCAACTCGTCTAATATTTATGACGAAACGCGTGGCCATAATAGAAGAAAATAATTCCAGACTTTCGGTGGTTCCTACTGAATGCCTACAGTGGTTCCTACAAACTCTTCCTCATTAAGAGCAGACTTAAAAGTTGCCGGCTCAACAAGATCGTATGAGAAAGCGTGCGATCGCATAACCTATATTTATAAAACATTGTTTTTTGCAAATCGGATCGTACCGTTGCCGCGCCGCCATTTTTAAGTTTTTTAGCGTTTCCGCGAACCACTTTGGGCCAATCCAAAATTAAGCTTTTGCAACTAATTATCATTTTTGAGTTGATTCGGCACGAATGGCTTTCATCGTTTGGCGCACGTTTGCCGTCCCGATTCCCGAAACGGGCGTAAGCTGTGCGTTTGAAAACAGAAATGAAAAGTGCGCGCCAATAAATTTTCTAAAACGGTTCTCATAGTTTTTCCGTTGTTTTCACAAAAAGGTTTCCCACAGTACCGGTCGGCGAGTAGTAGGTTTATCATATCGACATATTTCCAACCGGCCCGCGTCTCTACAACCTTTCACCGGCCGAGGAAAAACCTACACTGCCTTAATGGTCCCTTGGATATTATTTACAGAAAAACTGAAGCTACGAAACTAGCGTCTATGTTGAAGTGAACAACAATGAGTATCAGAAACCGTCCAACTTTTGCGTCGATGTACCTATACAGTAGGTGTACTGCATAACTCACAGGTCATAAGAAGCAGTCTTTTGCCTTGAAGCTACTTGAGCTCTAATACAAACAGTAGAAAACGCGGCACCGACCCCTTGAATAACAACTATTTCCTCTGATGAATTCATAACTTATCACTCACCCGATACTCGTCGGTCGTGCTCCGCGTTTGGCGTCAATATAATCGCACATTTCTTAGCCCCAAACACGGTAGCGGACTCTCCAATAGCTATTTTCTCACGATACCTCGCATTAAACTTTTCTTCACTAATCTCATAACGACTCGTTCAGGGTGCGACCGATAGGAAGTCTAACCTGAAGTAACATAATTGTCAGAATATGTTAATGTATATGTCTAACAAAAAATTATTAAAAAGCTTTAGATTGGCTCGATATAAAAAGTCAAAGTTAGTAAATAATCGAACTCGATATGAAAAAAATATAACTAATTAGAAACCATACCAACCTTGTAGATATTTCGAATAAACCACTAAAGCGAAATATATTGTATGTAAATTACATAAATTCCATTAAGATTTACACATAAATGTGCATTAATAAAACAAGAATTTCGCCGAATACTTTTTACTCAACTGTATTCGGAACGTAACGTCATTTCGGATGCGCGGGAAAAACTATAAAATGGCGGCGAACGATGCAAATGGCACTGAAAAAGCGGCAACGCAGTAAAAACTTAAAGGAACTCATAGTATTTCATCGCCGTCGTCTGTTTTCAACCACTGTTAGGCTTGGTACACACAAATTGTTAATTTCATGTAAAATAAACTTGAACGTAAGTAAATGAATAGGATATACATTTGATTGATATCATTTAATATGCTATTTAATAATTGTGATTCATTAAAATGATCTTTCTATTGTAATGGAATCTCGTTGTAGCTTGTAGATAAATGCACAGAGTAGTATTAGCGATATTTTCAATATCTATCAGCGTATTTCAGGTAAAGACAGATTATAAATTTGTGTATAATCTATAAATACGCAGTTTTCATGCAAATATAATAGGAAGTTTTATTTTGAAATTTCGAAATTGTGTAATCATATTGGTGACTTCAGCGAATTAAGGCAAGCCTAAACCTTATGGTTTTTACTCTAAATTCCCCCAGCGGCACGTCTAGTTTTTGTGAAGAGATGGAGTCTGGGAAGCACGACGCTGCAGCCGCAAAAACGTTCCGCCATATCGCCAGCTAACAGACAGAAAAACTTCGTACAGAATGATAAAATTAATGCGGCGACTCTGTAATTTTCAAGAAAGCGCGGGAAATGGTGTAATGAGTATTGCCAGCAAAAAATTACGAGAGCCCTCATTTATCCAGTTTTGTAGTGCAGTTGAAGTGAAAAACAAGTTATAAAGTGCAATATAGAACAGTATGCACATAATTTGTATTCGTGTTATTGTGAATTAAAAAATAAGATGAAGCTTTCCTATGTTTAATTTCACAGATGTGTTGCGTTACTTTACTAGTAACCGTTCCAAATTATACTACTTATATCTTTATTATTAGTCCGTAACGTACGTAATAAAATTTTTGAGAGTACATTGAATGATACTTAATTATTTTTAGATGCCGACCTAGTTTAATAAATTAAAGTAGCCTGTAATTTATCTATAATGTTAGAAAATATAATATATGTCAATAAAACATATTCTTATTGGCAGTCGTCGTTCATGTATATAATATTAGTCTCATGTTAAAGTTGGTCTAGTTGTAACTATTTTAAAATATATAAGCAGCGCCATCTATCTATATTTATATTTAACTAATAACCGTTCCGTAAAGGAAAGGTTTAGAATGTATGAATGCAGTATATAATAAATTTCTATTGATTACCCTACGATGGCATAGGTTAAAATATGATTAAACAATTATTTATAATACAAACATGCAATTCACTTTAAAAATTGTGACAAAAAATTTTCAATGTCTGTGGTCAGAGTGTTGGATTGGATGCTGTACTTAGCTGTACGACAATTGTTTACTTGTCTATGTCAAATTTGAATTTTAACGAATAGTTTTCTAACGACCTCTGTTTGATGCGATAAGTGCTTCTGAATGTTTTATTAAATAGCGCGATTCTTTTGTGAGATCAATTTTCAAGACAGTTCTTGTTTTACGTCGGGGTGCCCACTTTGCTATTGCGTTGTGTCACAATGGCGTCAGAAAGAGGCAGCAGAAAGGACAAAAACCAGAACATTCAAGTGTTCGTTAGACTAAGGTGGCATCGATTTCCAATTATCAATATTGTATTTAACTTGTCTCAAACATGATTTCTTTGAATGATGATGAAACTTTTCCTTTTCACATTTGATAATGCCTGCAAAATTTTACTTAATTAACCCACAATAATCACGCCCACTATTTGACTTTTGATTCAAACAGTTTAATCAGAATTTACTATTATTTTACATTTCACGGCTTGTTAGTAATTATAATTGTAAAATTAAATCTCGTATTGTCATGACAACTTCCTATAAAATGCATTACATGTTACTAAGAAATATTTCAGACCATTAAATCAACGTGAAAAAGATATCAGATCTTTAGGTGTAGTTGAAGTTCTTAACGGAAGAGAAGTGATAGTCCGTCAGTCCAACCAGAGTTCACACAACAAGAAATTTACCTTTGATCGAGCCTTTCCCCCGCAGAGTAAACAGGTATATAAAATGCCTTTTAAATGATTGCTTTATACTTATTTTGTTAGTCTTTTAAAACTAAACATATTTTTTGGTAATACAACGAGTGTATTGTTGATTATGATATAGTCATAAACCAAACTGAAGATCTTTGCTACTAAATCAATTTCTATATTTCACTGCCTATTTTTAAATAAATGAAGAGTATATTGCAAGAGTACCTTTCAGGTTGAAATATACCAGGAAGTGGTGAGTCCCTTGATAGAAGAGGTGCTAGCCGGTTACAACTGCACTGTTTTTGCTTATGGCCAGACTGGAACTGGTAAGACACATACTATGGTGGGAGAGGCAGCACAGAGTGAGACTACATGGCAGAGTGTAAGTACATAACTAAGTTGTTATTTACATCATGCTTAGTATATATGTGTTAATAATTGAGTCAAAAGTGGGGGTCACTTAGAACCACACATCAGGAAAGCACTAATAGTTTTCTTATTGTTTAGTGACAATGATATATAATGAAGAACTTGAATACTATCCCCTTAATGCCTAGATGCTCTATACTCAGCATCCAAAAATTTGCTTCCCTTAAATGTATTAAATTCATACAGGATCCTCAAGCTGGTATCATTCCACGAGCTCTTAGCCAACTCTTCGATGAGCTGCGTCTCACAAACACTGAGTACACAGTGCGCGTATCCTACTTGGAACTGTATAATGAAGAGTTATTTGACCTACTCTCATCTTCTGAAGATAACTCTAAGTTGAGGATCTATGAGGATGTAACTCGAAAAGGATCCAATATTGTTAATGGCTTAGAAGAAATTACTGTGAGTATAAGTGTACTATTGTTTAATGATAAGTATATCAAACGAGTTTTAAAAACTTTAATTTCACTTTGTTATCTATGAGATTATTTTTTTATTCCTCCATAACATCTCCGTGCATTTAGAATTAAATATTGTTGGATTTGAGATAGGACTTAAGAAACTTTTTTTATGAAAATATAAAAATAGGAACCAAAGTCAAAACATCCATATATTTACATATAATTAGAGAACATATACTTGCATCAGGTGTACAATAAAAACGAAGTTTACAAAATAATGGCGCAAGGCCAAGAGCGCAAGCGAGTCGCGTCCACCCTGATGAATGCTCAGTCTAGGTAAGTTATGAAAGAGAAGCTTTTTAAATAGTAGGGACAACTAGTTTTTAAACGGAGTACTTAACAGGGCTGCAATTTTACGAAAGTTTTGAGTCGATCTGATAATGAAGCCAAGAAACAGTTATAAGAATTCCTCACCCATTCACAGCAGCTAACTTTAGCTATTTTAGGGAACTAACTTATCTTCAACTAAATTTGTTTTGCATGGTAGTCTATGTAAGCTTCCATAAGCATGATCTATCTTAGCTTAAGAATAAAATAATCATTGTTTTATAATATACATTTTTTATTTTACTGTTTGAAGTTATTTTTTGTTAAAAAATATTTTTGAAACGTGTCGTCCAATTTTCTAGAGAATCTTGATGTTGATTCATAAGCAAAGAACGCAACCTTAGCCTAAATGGACCACAGTTGTCGTGTTTATATAGAACAAAACGGGACTTGTGACAAATTTAAAGACACAGTAGTCGGAGAAAGTTTTAAAGATATATAAAAAAATTACGCCCAAAATATAACGTACAGTCGGTGGGTATGATATTATGAAACGAATCAACAGTTCGGCGTGCATTCATAGAGTCAACACTACTAGTTGATGGACTAAATATAATATATATATATGTATATATTTTGTATTATGCATTGTTCACAACTCACATGTTGAATTTGATTCCAGCCGCTCCCACACAGTATTCACAATTGTAGTGCACATGAAAGAGAATAGTCCTGAGGGCGAAGAACTCGTGAAAATTGGGAAACTAAACCTGGTAGACTTAGCTGGATCTGAAAACATCAGTAAGGCGGGATCTGACAACCCAGCCAAGAGAGAGCGCGCCAGAGAGTGCGTTAATATAAACCAATCGCTGCTGACCCTCGGAAGGGTCATAACTGCCCTGGTAGAAAGACATCCGCATATCCCATACAGGTGAATGTGATACTCTTTTGGCATCATTTTTGTTACATTTCTAACTTCTGCTGCATGTGCTGTTTTTTGTATTGACATTTTCTTTTACAGAGAATCAAAACTCACGCGTATTCTTCAAGAATCCCTCGGCGGTCGAACGAAAACCTCTATTATTGCAACTGTTTCGCCGGGACATAAAGATCTAGAAGAGACTCTGAGTACACTAGAATATGCGAACAGAGCCAAGAATATTCAGAATAAGCCAGAGGTTAACCAAAAGATGACAAAGAAAGCGATATTGAAAGAGTTTGCGGAGGAAATCGACAAACTCAAACGGGATTTACAAGCTGCCCGGGACAAGAATGGTATGGTATATGAGATTTCTTTTTATTTATAAACCTTTGAGCTCAAACATAATTTTAAGTATAATATGCAATTCTTTTACAAATGTGTAGCCAGTATTTGGCCAACAATAGTCAGTAGAATGTATTCAGTAATAACCTTTAGGGGTATACTTGGCCAACGAGACATATGCCGAAATGACATTCAAACAAGAAGAACAGAGGAAGGAGATACAAGATTTGATACTGAAAAAACGGGCCATGGAGGAAGAGAAGGACCGAGCTGAGAAGTTGTTCAGCGAGCTCAATGGACAGCTGTCTGCTGAGAGACAGCGCAGGGAGGACGCCTATAATCGACTATGTAAAACTGAGACTCGGCTCGCTGATACAACTGACGTAAGTATTTATTTATAAAACCATACATTTGAAAGGTGAGGCGATAATCTAGAAAAAAGTAACTTTTGGCAGCATACATATATTTCATATTTCTGTTCGATTTACGCTTAAAACGTCAATTACAGATGCTAGAAAAAACAAAACAACACTTCCAAGAACAAAAACATCTGGTGGAAAAACATCAAGAAACAGAACGCAATTTGTCTACTCAAGCGCACCAAATACTGCAAGCTGCAGACTTGGCCACCGACGACGCCAACCGCTTGCAGGACTCAGTCGATAAACGAAGGTATGGCAGTTCACACTCACATAAACAATAACAATAAATATACCAGGTTTAGGATGTGTCATTTAAAAAAACTACTGTATTTCTTAATTTCATATGAATATAGCAGGGCACATTTTTCCTTGAAGGTCTTTAGAGTCCACAAATTTAGAAATCACTCGTACCTACCGGGAAATGTCAGCGCAACACCGACAAAACATCGCGCGTGGTTCAAAACGACATCAGGCTGACATTAATGCAGCCTTACTCGAAATACACGACGCCGCCGGTGAGTATTCGTCCGTCTTTACTCTTACTCCTGTCTTATTGAAAATTTTCTTTTGAATTCTTTTTTTAGATAAATACACAAGTAGCAGCTGTCAAATAATGCTGCAAAATAAGCAGCATCTCGATGATATTACTAAATCAGAGAACGATACGCGTGACAAGGTAAAAATCTAGAACATTGCTAATTCTGTAATTGTTTATTATTGTACTGCTAAAAGATCGTTGAATAGTTTTTTATCGCGTCTTACAGCTTACATCGCTCACCCGAGACCTCTCCTCACTGCTCGACAACGGGACGTCTGAGGGCAAGCGACGCTCGGCCTCCGCCTTGACATCGCATCGAGAGGAAATACAAGCAGTATTCGTCGATTTCTCTAGATGTCTGTCTGTTTGTTTGCAACGCGCTTCTGACTTCGACATGTGCGGTGATCTAGATAAATTCCTTCAATATTGGGTGAGATATTATTATTGGCATATTTGCAAACGAAAGTAACCGTCGAAATGAGCGGTCCCTACGACACAACGTATGCATATATTAGGGTTAGGGTTGAGCTTTAAGAAGACTTGACGTGTGAACCTTTCAAACGTAAATAGAAATTTCCAAATTTTTGCTTCAACTAATGCGAGTCGATATCAGAAAACTCGTGCTTTTACAGCACAGCGGCACGAGCGGTCTCACGTCGTCTCTCGCGGCGACGACGTCCAGCTGGGTGCAGACGAGTCGCGACACGACCCACGTCGTCGCCACCATGGCGCGACGTCTCGACGAATTACTGCAACACAGACGCACCGCCTTCGCTCGACGGGTGCAAGAGAAACTTACTGTGAGTGTTATTCTGGAGCCCGTGGAAATTTTACTAATTGAGATTATAGTGGTCCGAGTGTACCAGTATCGGGATTTAAGTGCATCCTCGCGTTTCAGCAAATAACAGAAGAAAAAAGAGAAGCAGATCGACGTATATCTAGGCGAATATCTATAATTGAGAGTGAAAAGGACGAGTTGGAAACGCGTTTACTCGCTTGGGCGGAGAAGGAGAGGCGAGACATGGAAGAGCGAATAGAAGGCTTCGCCGCCGCGCAAAGAAAAATACTAGAAGAGAAACACGCCCAGGGACTGGAAGAAATTGAGGATGAGCAAAAGTGGTATGTGCTCGGCGATTCAACTTATTTGCTACTACATTTTATCATTCTTTATCATTTCACTTCCACTCTCAGGTTCCAGACAAAAGTTGACAATTGCGTACAATGGCTGGATAACATGACGAAAGAAAATGAGAAAGAGATCGAAGAGATCGCAAACTCCTTGGAGGTGTGCAAGAAGAAGACGCAAAGACATGGAACGTCCGTTGAAGCGATGCACGTGGACTGTGAGAAAGGTACGTTTTCATCGTTTTCAGGAAAATCAGAAAAAGATAATTCAAGAATAACCTCTCGTTGTCCTTGCCCTCAGCCAACGTCCACTTGGTGGCTGCGTGCGACGATTTGATCGTAAACGCTCTTAAGATTGTGGAGCAAGTGAAGGACAACTTTGTGAATTCCATTCGAGACACACAGGGATATGTGCACGTGAGTACAAGAAGTTAGGTGAAACGGATTTATTTGAGCGTATTAATTTTTATTGTAGGAATTGTTAAATTTCATAGCACTATACATTTTTTCATAGACTGAAACCGCCAAAGCCACGACCTCAACCGCAGAGAAATTTTCAGAAGTGACCTTCGAGCTGGCTAGTGCTTTAGATGCGCATGCACACTCGTGCTGGCAAGCCGTCTGCGACCTGACACAAGAAGTTCAAGTGAGGTTACTTTGACAAGTAATAAATAAATAAATGAATCGCCACAGGTTATATCCGTCGACAGAGCGACGCTGCGCCGTCTGACGCGATTTGATTCTCTGTCTTTTCACTGAAGCGCTTAAGTAACTGAAGATATTTTTTCAGATTAAAACTACAAACAACATTACTACTCTGTCCACGCTGTCCACGAGTAGCAGTGACCTCGCGACCTCAACGCAGCAGCAACAGAACCGCCAAGACGAAGCCCTCATGAAATTGCAGCAGGCCACGGAGCTCCACACCAGCTGCATCGCCGAAGAAATTTCACGACTCGAGAAACTTGAAAGCCGCTATCTCAACGAAGAATACGTCGTGTACACTCCAAGCGGTGAGATGTTCGTTCGAAGCGCGCGTAACCATCGAAGATCGCCTCAATCGTGACAAATGATTCGGTAGATGGGCATCGTTGTTGCAATGGTCAAGGTTAATCGCGTTGCGACTTCCGAATATCCAAAGATATTCTTTATCATTAGAGATCTCGTTAAGCCGTTTGAACCCCACGCTTCTGTCCCATCTGTCCTCCTCTATCATAATAAAAATCCGTCTGTCCGTTTAATGTAAGATGAAAATTCCAGGCCGGACCCCAGCACGCAAGGAGTACAAGTACCCACGCAATCTGACGACGACGTCTCCGCACGACAGAATCCTGGCGCGGTACAGGGCCGCGAGACAACGGAATCTCGACGACAGTATCACAACGATAAATGTAATTATTCCGAGTCCCTATTAAAGTCGACCGACCTCCTTCCTTTTGTCGCCTCAAACATCAAGTGAATTGGCGAGAGACAAGGCTCATGTGCTCGTACTTTTCAGAGCGACTCGGACTCGGCCGAGTCGGAAGATTCGGCCGGACAGATCCCGCCAACGCGCGCCGCGCCGCCGCCCATCGTCAAGTGCACCTCCGAGTCCGACATATTCGCGCATCGGGTAAAGAGCTTTGGCCTTACGGATCGTTTTATCGCATCCATTATATATGTATATACAGAGTTCACTTAGAGGATTTACATTTTCAGACGGCGACGCTGGGAAAGGAAAACATGAATCGCTCGATGACGTTCAAGAAGCCCTCGAACATTCCCTCCCTTTCCGCGAAGAAGTCCACCCTCTTAGGGGACAAAAACTGATCTACGATAATATATAAATATAGCTTTATATTCAATCGCTACATAATTGTATTGTTACATTAGGTGTAATACGAATAAATTTATTTTAATTAGTTTCGTTGGCTTCTCGGATTGTATTATTCAAATTGAATTAAATTCGCTGCAGGTAGTGACAATTTCATAGTCTATCGTAGTCCGGAAGCTCGGAGATCGAATCTGAGACGTAGACTATACGATTAAAGTATAATATGAACTAAATATGGCTTTCATTACCCACATCGTAACGACTAGGATAGCTTGCGTCTGGTTGCAAGGAGGACAATAACACACTATTTTTCTCAGACATTTTAGTAATTCGTGATGAACACGGTAATATTGTATTTGAACAGTGACTCACATCACCATTCCAGCCAAATTAGTTCTGTCGAAGTATCTTTGTTTCAGAGAGCCCGCCGTTTCTGTGATGCTGCCCACTTAAATGAGGAGTTACAGCATGTCAAGCAGGTCATATGCAAGAACAAGCTGAGAATCCCAGGAACAAGAATAAGCCACCCACGGTCAAACGTCAGCCCGGAACCTACCATATGTGAAGGGAACAAATAGAATTAGCAGAGTCCTAAATCGAGCTTCTATTGGCACAATTTTCAAGCCACACAAGAAGATTCAGCAATTCCTGAAACCAAGCAAGTGCAAGTACAAGATGCAGGCGTTTATAGACTGGATTGTGATTGTGGCCTATCCTACGTCGGCCAAACAAAGCGTAGCATCTCAAACAGAATTAAAGAACACGTCGCGGATAAAAAACATAAACGTCTCTCCAAATCTGCTGTATGCCAACACTCATCATTACATTCGCTTTGACCAGCCAAAATCCTCGCAAAGGAGAGTCGATGTTTTCCAAGATTGGTACGCGAAGCAATTGAAATCAAAAAACACCGAAATTTCAATAGGGAGGACGGCCTCGAATTATCAAACACCTGGGATCCCATATAAAAAACTCTGGATCCCAATAAACAGCATACCGGCAAACGCGAAGACACCGTTAGTCAATTCTGTAAGGACCCGGCCAGTTTCGCCTAATGCCAACTTCGATGGAGAAAATGGCGCTAGCGCTAGCGTAGCAATTTTTTACTTTGACGTCAGAGACATCCTCCATCTTTAGTCTCCCCGTGACCACGGCTGCTGCAAAGCATCCGAAACGTCGGGCCGAAATAAAAAATCATTTTCAAATAAGTTTAACTAATATATCGCGGTTTAAACCGTAAAGTGTTTTATTTAAATGTGTACTACTCGCGTAAACTATAGACAGTATTTGAATCAACTTCTTATAGTATATGTATTTCGTGCACTACGGTCCCTACTTTCCAATTCACGCTGTAAAATGTCGGGTCCCGGCTGCGGGAAGACATCGCTATTGTAGCAAAGTAGTAATAAGTCAACGTCACTCTATAGCGTAGAAACCACATAGTCGTAGAAAGGATTCATTGATTACAATTTCGTCGGCAAAGCGGTGAGCGGGCAGCCCACTTACCGTAACCGCCGCGCAGTATAGACTAAGCGAGTCGTAGATGTCGTGAGGATCCACAAGACTCGGGCTCGCACGCTCCGATACGTTCCTATGTTTCGTTTTAATGAGATCAAATAATAAATATAAAATAGAAATATTAATATCGGTATCCGACATAGCTATGTTAATTTTTGGGCGCCCTCGAACGATCCGCGCGTGAACACTGAGGCACGAACCGGGTAACGGTTCTGCGAACGCGCCTTAATCTTTCCGAGGTCTGCGCGGGCGCCTTTCTTTCTTTCACTAGTGCTCTCGAACGCGACGCGGCGGGCGCACGCCATGAGAAACCTCTGACGCGAGTGCACCATGACAGTGATATCTGTGCTTCTCCTGCTGGCTTTGCCTCGCATCGACGCGCAGGATGACTCCTTCGCCAGCTCCTTCTTATCAGGTAAACGATGGCGACTCGAACGAGTTTGCTCTTTTCGTCTTCATTTCAATCGGTGCCCGTAATCTATTATCATTTTAACGAGTGAAACGTTATCAATTTCGGCAAACGGAAAAAAGATTGGATACATTTGGGGTCACTCTTTGACCGACTTCCAGAAGAAGGTCAGGTGCGGACGGAATGAATAAATTCCGGACTAATTTGGCGAGTGTGTACCGTTAGCACCTGTGGCTGCGGCTAGTGGGTAACGGGGAAACTTAAACTCTCTAGAAGCGCGTCCGCGTATCGTGTCGGTATTGTTTCTCTCACTCGTGAGACGACATTTTAACAGACGACATCGCACGACGAATGCTCACCTAAGTGATATAATGCAAATGGAAAGGAGAAAATGTATTTTTCAGACAGCCTTCGGTAAAATGCCCATCCTATAACAAACGGCTACTGGTCGGGCCGCCCGCGCCGTAACGGTACTGTCATACGCAGTGTATATTGTGATATTCGCGTCTATTATTCATTTTTCACTATAGTATAGTGCGTGTTCTTTCGTAAGAAAAGTTTCGCGTCTCGATGTGAAAGACGTCGACGCGCTCACCTACTGTTCTTGACTTCTTGTTTACTTTAGACATCGATGGCGACAATAAATTGTATTATTGTCGGACGGGTGCTCCTCGTCCGACATTCGTATAAAAACTGTTAAAGACTTTGTCCAATTCGGCGACCTAATTTCCAAACCAATATAAACAATGCAAGCGGCCACTGCAGTATCTAGAATGCCACGCGATACAAAAGAAATATCATTTTATTTAATAAATTCGTAAGCGACATCTCTTACAAATATCTATAATAATAAAAATGCACGTGTTAAATCGCAGCGCATACAATATATGTAATCTAATATGTGGGGATTTCTCCCCGTGGGCCAGAGGTAGGGCTCACGACTAAGGGTCGTCCCTAGCGCAATGTGTCGATGTATTTCAGGCGGCTTGTGCGTACTGTGCGCCCGTCGACTGCGATGCTCGTCTGCAATTAAGTAAAGTACAATGTGCTAGGTGGACTGTGAAGGCGCGTGTACTCACAAATATGGAAAAATTCATCGCGAACAAATGTAACGCACGCGTAATATAATTCTCGAAGCCGAGTCGAGTTACAAGGACTCGACCGCTCGAGGGAAAGGGGTATAGAGAAAGTGCCATTGGTGACGTCACGGCGGCCTCACTCTACACTTGGGAGGCGAATGACGCAACGGCGAAAAGGCCTCAAATCCAATTTTAGGCCTTTTCGCCGTTGCGTCAAAATATAGCGAACGACACGACGCCACAATCGATCGACACTGTCGCAAATAACGACAAACGAATAACATAAATTATAAAATTAAATCGATCGAATGTTAATTGCGATCCCCTGAAGTGGAGTCCGTAATGTTCCTCAGAATTTCTGCTTTTCAGCATCTATCGCTGAACGCGCGGACTTCCATGCTTTCTCGAGGGGTCAATGGCCGCGATGTCTCGCCGCTAATTACTACTTGGCGTCTCGCTTTGACTTAATATTGAATCTTAACGGTGTTATATAAGATGATAAATGACATTGTCATCGGTCGATCGTGGACGAAAATACACGCAGACGACTAACGACAGGGCTGGCTCTATTTCATTCGAACGCACCTTTCTTTGTAATCTCATGATATTTGTCAGCGCACATTGTTGGTTTAGCATTAATTAGCACAAAGTAGGTACGAAACTGGTCCGCAGTAGAAAGTGGCTTCTCATAGTGTTCTATGTTTAGGCCGGGTACTTATAAATTGTATGATTATATTATATGATTTCTCTCCTCCGAGCGCGTTAGGCCATCGATCAGCGGAGGAACTCTGCCAGATTGATGTGTCTCTATTGGATGCGCAAATGTCCCCTGGAAGGGTCGGATTATGTCAAAGACGAAACCCCCCCGATGACCGATAATGAATACCGGTAACGGTCGGCGGAATGCGGTCTCTCGACATAAGTGTTGTAAGGAATTGCGATCTGGCGATTCTATGGCTTCCAGTCTATAATCAGTGCATGATCCATTTTTGGAGGCATAGTAATTTGAATGAATGGGGTTGAAAAATCAGTGGGTATATTTATAATATATTTGGGGTACAAACAGTGAAAAGAAAAATGAGAGAGGGTTCGATAAAGGGATCATGGCAATTCTAATGTTTGTCTTCATTATTTCAGGTCTATTGGATACACTGGATACGCAGGTGGACGCTAAGAACTGTCCTGGCGTGTGTATGCACGCTTTGACTTCACTTATATGTTCCAACGTTCTGGATGAGGTGGAATGTCCAAAGCCATCTATGAAATGCTGCGTCGACGAACCGCTAGGTGAGGAAAAAGCTCACCTCTTCTATAAATATCATCATAACGTTTAATAGTTCTATGTATAAACGTATTGAATGTTCGCACAACGAATGGCAGGCAACGACACCATGGCGACCACCCGGCGACCCTTATCGACTCGGTACACGACAACCGAGGGCTTCGACGACGAGGAGACCACCAGCAGGCCACCAGACAAATACAAAGACAGTGGTAATTATTAGGTACACCCTATTTAGTATTAGGATACCTATCACTTCTATTCCCGAAGGGGAAGCGTTGAAACTTAGTGTGAAAAGTAAAAGCGCCGACTTTGACAACATTTTTTTTTAGTAGCTCTAAGGAAAAAGAAATTTGTAAAATTGCAGGAAACGTAGCCTGCCCGGGAGTGTGCGTGGAGTCCCGCCTGACCCAGTACTGCGAGGCCTATCTGACGTCGGGCGATCTCTGCGTCTCCGGACGGCTGTGCTGCGTGTCCAAAGATGGCTACGGGGACCGACGTCCGCCAGACCTCGTCGTTCCTAATGAAAAAAAGCATTCCACTAAACGCCCTGCCACTGCAGTGAGTAAACGATACAATTCCGATGTTTTAAGTCGTACATAAGCTTTATCGTTAATTAACCTAATACTCGTAAAGCCGGAACGACACAGTGCGCCTAGGCCTAATACTCTAGCCATCTGTATACGGACATCTCTATCGGTGCTTTCAGCTAACGACGACGCCTGTGCCGAAAAAGGGGGGACGTAAATGTCGCGGGGAATGCATCAGCGGTCTGTTCGCGCTGCTCTGCGACCACGTAGACGAGGACGCGATTTGCCCCTCCGAGGGGACCTGCTGCATCACAGACAACGCCGAGACGACGACCAGACGACCCACCACTACGACCACGTCCAGGCCGACGACCCCGGTATAATTTAGTATATTAGTAACGGTTACCTGTACCTACTGCGGTCATTTTGCCTTCTTTAGAGACGGATGCGCAAACAGAGCAATGTACTAAGAGCACATTCCATTGTAGGCTCCCCTTCCCCGCTGCCCCGGGTACTGCCTGTTGAACATAATGGCGGCCTTCTGTGAACGGCCCGCTGTACTCCTGTCTCATACGAATTGCAAACTCAGCGGATCCATCTGTTGCGACAACACGAGGTATATATAAGATCCTGCGATGATAATATCATATATAATAGTGAATGCGAATCGGGATACTTTAAATATTGGATTACAAATATATATATACACGTATTCTTTAAAATGCATTCACTCCTGCGTCTCACACAGGATCCCACCGCGCACGACTCCTCGTCCGACGACCACCACGACGACGACGACTCCCGCCCCGGTAGACCCGAGGCCCGACTGTCCGGGTTCCTGCATAGTGTCTCTTCTATCTTTCACTTGCTTCCGTGAGTCATTCTAGCTTGTTTTGTGTAATGATTGTCGGATCGATACGTCCATTAATTTCCGCGATAAACAGGCAACGCAGAAATGACGGACGTGTTCAAATGCAAGAAAGCCGGCACGCAGTGCTGCGCGCCCAAGTCCAAGGTGCAAGAAGTGATGGGAGTCAACAGGAACGACTCGTACCCCCTCGCGGTGACTCACCCCCCGCACGCGTACGTAACCCCGTACACGTACACTCCGGCGCAGACCCATGCGCCGCCGCACACGACGCCGACGCGTGAGTACTTCTGCCACTATCACGTCTCGCGGATGTACTTGTGATCACAGAAAGGACGTATATCGTCTCATTTATTTCAGCGTACGAGCCGAACTACCCGACGTCATTGAGAACCCCCGAGAAGTACAATAAATACGTCTGCGGCGTTAAGGGTAAGTTCCTTCTACAATGCTTCTGCCGTTTCGCTAAAGAGCTAAAGCGAGACTTATCGCGATCTTTTAATTTCTCCTCAAATGCCCCATTGTGAGAAAATGGCAACATTTTCCTTTCAGGTACCTCCTCCCGCGCCGGTCGCGTCATGGGAGGAGAAGACGGCGAAAGAGGCGAATGGTGTTGGCAAACGGCGCTGATTAATTCCCTGAACCAGTACATATGCGGCGCGGCGTTAGTCGGCACACAATGGGTGCTGACCGCAGCGCATTGCGTTACCAAGTTAGTGGGCTTTTTCGTTTTCCTATTTGCGGCGAAGCCATTAATTTAGATATTCCTAACGAGTATTGAAACGCTCGCTAATCTTTAGTATCGTGCGTTCCGGGGACGCGATGTACGTTCGCGTCGGGGACCACGACTTAACGAGGAAGTACGGATCGCCCGGCGCGCAGACCCTACGAGTGGCCACCACCTACATCCACCACAACCACAACAGCCAGACCCTGGACAATGACATTGCGCTTCTCAAGCTTCACGGAAAGGCGGAGCTCAAGGAAGGTTAGTATTTCGAGAACGTACACGGGGCCACGTTACTTTTACTTTGCGCATAAATACCCTCGTTTCTATGCGACCAAATTAATAAAACGGATTTCGAGAGATATAAAAGTAATTAAAATTGTTTGCAGGTGTGTGCCTGGTGTGTTTGCCCGCCAGGGGGGTGAGCCACGCGGCGGGCAAGCGTTGTACTGTCACCGGGTACGGATACATGGGAGAGAGTGAGTCATCTTTTTTATCATTATTTTTGACGATCCGATAGATTAGAATTTTAGGCACGCAGCTTAATACGATATTTTTCCTCAGGTGGTCCGATACCTCTTCGAGTTCGCGAGGCGGAACTTCCTATAGTGAGCGACGCGGAGTGTATTCGCAAAGTTAACGCTGTCACCGAAAAAATCTTCATTCTTCCCGCCAGCTCCTTCTGCGCGGGCGGAGAAGAGGGCAACGACGCTTGCCAGGTACGATGGCTTCAAAGGAGCGTGTGATGTGTGAATGCGGTGAACGAGTATCGTTTATTTTCAAAATTAATTGGTAATTTTTCAATGAAGGGCGACGGTGGCGGACCTCTCGTGTGTCAAGACGACGGCTTCTACGAGCTGGTGGGTCTCGTGTCGTGGGGTTTCGGGTGCGGTCGAAGAGACGTCCCGGGAGTGTACGTTAAGGTTTCGTCGTTTATCGGCTGGATCAATCAGATAATCTCTGTCAACAATCTCTAATCGATGGACCGCTTATGTGCAACTAGTAAAACCTTCTATGTTAGAAACGTTTCAGAACGGCGTCGCTCTTTACCAAAAGTCACATTAATAGTAAGAGGTAGCTCTTCTGTGTCGCGTGAAGAACAATTCAATATTTAAAATAGACCACTTAGGAGATTCGTCTCTATTCGAGGAGTGCTCTCAGCATCCGATCGCATATTTAGTCAATATTTATACGAAGCATTGTGTGTATTTTGTGAGTTCATATCTCACTTGCAGCATTTACCTTCTTTTTATTTACGATAAGTAATATTGTAAATACTCCATTCCTAATTTAATTATAGATTAAATTATTTAAGAATAGTTTTGGTATGTAAGCATATAGTTATTCTCCCACCATGAGTATTCACATTTTCATTTCGACCTCGTCTTCTGTTACTGACATGTACATCCGGAACATACGAAGTCATATACGCGCACAATATTTATAAATATCAATTAATCTATTTTTTATTATTTTAAGAGTATTTTGTCTGATGATTAAGGTTTTTGTTTTTATTTCCTTCGGCGATGAATCTATATGACGAGGTTGAACTTAAGGTGTATTGTTTTAGCCCCGTTATACTTAGTCCGTCATCACCCCAGTTGTTCTATTATTTAGGTAATTAAGGTCTATTTAAGATTTGTAAATACATTACATTATTATTTATACGAGGTTATTTTCTAAGTGAATTTTATAGTCTGCGGGAGCCCATTGTAAAGTTTACTTTCTGGTTTCGAAATTAAATATTAAAATTATTTAATTTTTTTTTAACTCAATTTAGCGCCACGTCAAAAAGATTCTTAAATCATTAAGATTTAGATGTTTCTAATGATTAAGAGCAGAGGTAGGTATTAGATATAATTAATACGAAAATAAGGTGAGCGTGTACAAAAGAAAACTTTTATTGTTGCCAACAGCCTTATTGACTAACTAATTTACAGGACTGACTCTTCTGAGATAGTTCTCAGATACGAATTCAAGTAGGACGTTAAGTCTTCGTTAGAGACATCAGTACAGTGTCGTCACTATATTGATGTCTCTGACCGTCGCTAAATCTCATGCTCCTATTATAAAAATAAACGCTTAGTAGGGATATTATATACCTAAACATGTTTCCAAAAATGTATATTTCAAACGGCGGTGACAAGGCGAATATTCATACATATGTTGAAAATCCAAAAACCCCGAACTATTGATTTTAACGAATTGTAATAGAAATTTACTTAAATACTGTCTATAGTTTACGCGAGTAGTACACATTAAATAAAACATTTTAACGGTTTAAAACGCGATATATTAGTTAAACTTATTTGAAAATGATATTTAACTTCGGCCCTTGTTTGATAATTTGAGGCCGTCCTCCCTATTGAAATTTCGGTGTTTTTTGATTTCAAATTATCAAACACATAGGATCCCATGTTAAAAACTCTGGATCCCAATAAACAGCATACCGGCAAACGCGAAGACACGGTTAGTCAATTCTGTAAGGACCCGGCCAGTTTCGCCCAAATACCAACTTCGACGGAACAGATGGTGCTAGCGTAGCAATTTTTACTTTGACGTCAGAGACATCCTCCATCTTTGGTCTCCCTGTGACCACGGCTGCTGCAAAGCATCCGAAACGTCCGGCCGAAGTTAAAAATCATTTTCAAATAAGTTTAACTAATAAATCGCGTTTTAAACCGTTAAAGTGTTTTATTTAGAAATCTATTTATTGGTTAACATTTTTGGTAACATCAGATTTCAGTTTTACAATAGATGCAGCACTGTTTCCTGTCCATAATCTCATGAGAATAACAAAGGCACCAAATTCCATGAATAGTCTACACTGTCGTTCCTTTAATGTCCATCAAACTTAGGCACTGTATCGTTGAATCACTTTTAACATTCGTAGTTTTATCATTAACAATCACTCGCATTCCATTGCAACTCTCATGTAATCATCCAACTGCTTGTCTAAAGCTGACTTAGTGCTCGACATGTATTGTTCTAACTGAAAGTCTAACTCTTCTTTGGTGGGCACAGTCTTCTTCGGAGTTATTGCTCCTAGGAAAAGAATTGCAAATTAAATTTTAACACACTAACAAACAATAATTTATAAGGTATAGTATAAATCAATATGAAAAATAATGACAAAATTGGCTAGTTTTATAAATTACTAAAAAGAAGTTATACAAATCCACTCTTACTTGTGTTTTTATAAGAAAAGTAATAAAAGGGCAATTTTACGAAAAATTTACCTCTTCCCTGTGCCCTGAAACCACCCCTACCACGAAAGTGACCTCTTCTCATGGTATGAGGAGTATTCTGAAACATCTTTCCCGTTTGCTGTTGACCACCTTTGCCCCTGTAATACGAATATATAATAATATTAAATAATTAGTATAATATTTAATATTATTATATACATATGTATAATTAAACTAAACTATAATATGCTACTTATAAGTATATAAGTGGGTTCGATAACTGAACAATCAATTTCTCTTTAAAACAGAATTATTTACTTAAAAAATGTGTATAAATAGTTACCTGATCCTTTCACGAGTGAGCCCCACCCGTGCACCACGTCTCCTGAAGCCCCATCTTCTCCATGTGCTCCCAAAGTTATTAAATAAAATGGCTGAACTAAAACAACAAATACAATTACTTTAGGGAAACAATCAAAACTAAATTGGTAATAATTAATACATTTTAACTACCTTTTTAACCTGTTACTCTTATCAAATTTACTTTTGGTATATAACAAAAGGAGGATTATTATACTACCCACCAATTTTTTGTGATTGAATTAGAGTACTGCCAATATTTCATTTAAAATATAATACAAACTCAGAATATATTAAGTCATAGAATAACTTTGGTGTCACAGACGACACTTGAACCAGGATCCACAGGGAGGCTCTAAGCAATTGAGTTATGTCCAGGCAACTCATTGCAGAAGAAATTACAGAGCTTACATTAACATTTAAAAACTAAAATAGATTTGAATGTTTTTCTCAATTTAAAATATACAAGCATTATTTTACCTGAGGCTGTTAGATGATTGTCTCCATGAGACTCTGTCTGTTACAGACTTAAGATTGCCAGAACTGTTTGTTCTCCGTTGGTCAAACAAGTTACTTTCGCTACCATACCTTCGCAGGCCCAGTCCTTGCTTCACAGTTTGCTGTAAAGATAAAAATAATGATTTTATTTCGAACTGTTACTTCATAACATACCCCTATGAATATATTACTTACCTTACTAGCTTGCTCCAAGTGATAAGCTATTTGTTGAATAATATTCTTATTAGCTAAATTGTAGGCTTTGTTTAGTGACTGCGATACGTTGCGTTTTTTAGGCTTGTTAATACGGCCTGGTGCTTCGGCTAAGAAAGTGAACCGGTCATTGAGGGTTATGCTTGTCGCATGGAGCCCGTGCACCTTTTCAATCATTGCGATAGCAATTTGCGTTATATCACCCAGTTTATGCTATTCTTAATAATTTTTTGAACGTTAAAACAAATATAATAGATTTGTATCGGACAAGAAAACAAGACGACATGCGTTGACAGGCGTTATGAAGGGTGTACGCGCTTGCTCTCTGTGGACGGCAGCTCTTGTCAAAATGTTACAGAGCAAAAACATAACAATGCAAGACTGTTATGTTGACATGTCAGTTCATTGACACGACATGCCATAAGCAAGTAATAACTTTAAGAGTAAAAAATGTCAAGTTATAGTTCACTCTTTTTCTACTTTAAGGTATTTGAATCTCTCTCTATGTATTAGCTTATTACCGAGGGCCGAAAGGTAATGAATATGCATCTCTGCTTTAAGTTCCGTCGAAGATATTAAAGTAGAACAAGATATAATAATAATACATTTAAGTTTGAAACTGTCGAGGTTAGAGAATCACGCAAGATGTTGGTCGGCTTTATAAACAACGGTGGTTGCGATGAACGCTTCATTTCGATCCAACCGACGATGTCGGAGGTTGCTAACGGAGCCCCAGTTGAATTAGATCGCCTTTTCGATATGGACGCATGTTATGAAACATTCGACAAAGATGGGTATGTTGTCCTGAAATTCTAGCTTTTATAACTATAAGTTTGTAAAATCTTAAATTAAAACTTAATCAATAATATTATTTACTATTATCTATGCTATATGGAACTGAATATTTTATTTAGGGATGGGAAGTTAAATTTAGAAGAGTTCCGGCTAATCTGCAAAGCCTTATTCCGCAATGATAAAGGCCATATATATCCACTTAGCGAAGAACGAGCAAGACATATATTCCGAGTGTTTGATAAGAATGATGACGGTTTCATTGACAAGGAAGAGTTTACATTCTGCTGGAATCATTGGATTAAAGTGGTAAAGCTAGTTATTAAGAGTAGAAGTATTGACTTAAGTGTGTTTCTAAGACCTGCATCTATAGTAAGATGACCCAATCTATTTCTCCTCTTTATAGATATTGTACCTTTATTTTAAATCTTCTTTTAGAATATACACTAAAGCAGAAAAAATAAGGTATGTACATTCTTGAGCAAAAACTTTTCTTACAGATTGTACGTCCTGTCAGCGCTTTTCTTATAGTTGATGTTCAAAATGACTTTATCTCAGGGACTCTCAACATAAGCGAGTGTAATGCACAGCAAGATGGAAGTGAGGTAAGCTATTGTATTAATGACAAGACTGCCTGGCAGTAATATGAATTGCTCCTGTCAATAAATTTATAAAAATGTATTAGTTTATAAGTTATATTAAAAAAAAGCCAGGCTAAGTTTCTTGGGTTCTTCTTAGTTATATTGCTCTTTTGAACACTCTGTAGAAACACAATGAACAGACAAACAAAAAAAAATTTGATGAATCTAAATAATTTTTTATATATAATATTTTTTAATAAGTATATTTTATTTTATTTTAATGACATACTAAAATAATCCCACCTTAAGATTGAACATCTGTGTACAAAAAAAATTGTCACCAATGGCAATATTTTCTGAGGGTTTTTTTGGGCTCCACCACATTTGAAAACTTTATTATTTTTTACATTTTATTGCACATGAAGGCACTATATAATTTAAAAATCGAAAATAAATTGAAAAATTTTAGACTCGGGCAGGTCTTGAATTTGTAATTCCAACCTTAATACGCAAGTGTTAAGGTTGAAATTACATTGCGCAAGAGGTGCATTTATCAATAAGTTAAAAAATTCGTCGGTAAGGTGTAGGACTCAGTAGCTCAATTGGTAGAGCAACAGCGCGGAAGCTGCCACAGAAGCTGCAACAGAGCTGACGTTGCCGGTTCAAGTCCTGCCCGAGTCGAAAATTTTTTCAATTAATTTTCGATTTTTAAATTCACCACATTTTTTAAATTTGATAGATTTAGGAGTCCCGAGAGAGGAAACAAACTCATTAGTTCGTTATTTCGTCAAAATATGGACAGACAAGGATTGTACATTCGGTTAATTCTTATTATTTAGTTTTTTTCTTCTTAAGTAAGTATCGTGTATGAAAAAAATATAACTTATTACGTGTGTCGTGTCGGAAGTCAATTTGTCCGCTATTTGCATAAGGCGAATTCGCCGCATTGCCTCGTTAGCTATATTTAGCTGCGAGTATGTCGAGAATCAATGATAGGAAGGTACAATGATGTCGAATTCGTCACTAATTAAGGGCTTTCTATCGGCTACAACCCGTGGATTACATGATCTCTACGGTCGTTTATCAAAGGGCGAATCTGTTTGATCGATCCGATACAGAGCTATCGTTATCGCACACTTCAGGTCGAAGGTACGACGCTTCAAATATGTGTAAAGAAAAAGTCTTTGTTGGCTCTTTTAAATATGTGCGCAAAGGGCAGTTGCGCAATTTAATTATGGAATTTCATTAAATGTGAATTTCGTCATTAGGCACTATGACTGATGAATCATATTTTTTATTGTCGTCGTCGTCGATCTCGTATGGTAATATTTGGAATTTACATTGTAAATTGTGGCTTATCCCACGATTTAGCGATACAATCGAACTTCTTGCCCTTCATTCCGAAAATTGATTTAAAGTTTGAAACTTGCATGACGTTCAGCCTGCAGGCAGCGCAGACTACCACAAAAGCAGTGATTCAAGTCAGTTTTTTGGGTGGAATCCAAATAAGAATTCATATTTCAATGCTAGTACTTATTTATTTAAATATCTCTAAAAGTAAACAGGGTTTATCGACCAGCTGTACATAATATTTATTATTTTTACAGGGGTTACTTTAAAATTCAAATATAAGCAAATTATTATATAAATCTTATTCAAAATTATTTTCATTGGCGACAAACAGTCCTCTGAAACCCGAAACGTTCGTTACCAACCCAGACTGCATAGACCGAGCTTTATGACTCGGCGCTGAGCCTTGCTGGAAGGACCATTCTTGGTTCAATAACCGCCGCAGCGCCATGTTCAATAACATGGCGCTGTTAAGTGGCTTCACTACTTTCTCATGAATGGTACCTTGATACACTTGTGATGATATGGCTCAGTCACTCCTTCTGAACTTACACCCCGCCAAACCATCACTGAGGACGGATAGTGCCCATGTTGAACTCTGTCTACTAATTGAGAAGCTTCCTTAGAGCTGTGTGCATAAATACGGTCATTTTGTTTATTAAAATGTTGCTCAGTAGTAAAAAAAGTCCCGTCCGCAATCAATGTTTTTCTGTGTGTGTTCTTAAGTCGGTTGTTCACCCTATTCTTTTTTAAATTATCAGTTCGGAAGTGACCAGTACGTCTCTTACAGGCTGCAAGTCCTAAGTCATCTTTTAAATTAGGTGAAATGGTTCTAGGTGCTATCTTCTTCTCCTGGGATAAAATCTTTTGCTTTCGGACACGTCGTACACGTCGTACGAACACTACGTGGAAGCCCAGATCTTTTTCTCTCACCGACACAGTACCATTCATAGTGCAGTACCTACACACACATTTCATTTATACGAAGCTTATGGAGAGATATCTATCTTGTGTAATGTAATCGGAGCGATTTAATTCTATTTATCACCCCACTCTTTTTTAATAACGAAAAATAGTGTAAAATTCATTGGCGCCAAAACGTGATTACTCATTGAACAGTAATATAGATATGACGGATTCCAAATTCAAATATAATATTTTGATTTTTTTAAATTGTAACAGTATTCACGGCCAGACTAAGTAGTTATATTTATACAGTTTAAAATAACAATCCCATTCCCTTATCGGTTGCGGCGACTAAAACCTAAAAGAATGATTAGTAAGCCGTAAGTAGACGAAGCAATCAAATTAAGCCGTGCGAAGCTGTCGAGAATGAATGCGGATAATGACAGGCGTCGTGAATGGAGCGAGGCGTGAAGTGATGATGGCTCGGCTCGCAATTAAGGTGCCAGGCACCACGCGAACCGATTTCAATCGCTCTACTTAATAGGATTTATATTTGGAACACCTTCGGGGTTCTGGTTCCCGGCGGCACTCGTCCGCGTCACGTGACTCTTCCGAACTTTAACCCTTTAGGCGGCTCACGCCACCAAAACTTTGAAGACTGCTTTGCGTTTTCAGCGGTCGACCTTTCCGGATAAGCGCGCTGCACAACTGCACGAACGATATCGTGCCTGCACATTCCATGTTACTTTTCACGGCTCTGACGACTGTAGACAGAGCCGGTTTACACGTAGTTTAAAAACATATTATTCGTTCAATTAACATTTGATTAAACAGACGCTAATGCGTGATAACTGTCTGTTTTACAATCGGTATGTGAATAATGATATACTTAAAATAATATAAAATTAAAAACATGCGCAGGCACAACGATGACGTCTGGAATGATTATTATGCATGTATATAAAAGTAGATTTTCGTACCTATCGACGGAAATCAGGCGTCGCGGCTCTTCGTACATACTCTGTTCGATTCCATTATATATGCCCCATTGTATATTGGGCCATTGTGTTCGCGCTTCAGCGATCGGTATATCTTTATTAGACTATCGATTCGCCGAACGCACTGCGGAACTGCACCTTAAATAATTTGCATAGGGCCGGCCGATTCACGGCGTTTGAATGTAATTTTTTTCCGAGCACTGGCCATTTGTAAGTAAATGTCGTCATTCCGTTGCGCAGGTTGTGGAGCCGATCAACGCCCTGCTGGAGTCCGTGCCCTTCGACTGCGTCTTCTACTCGCTGGACTGGCATCCGCCGGACCACGTCTCCTTCATTGACAACGTGCACAGGAGGGAACTCGATCCTTCTAGCCCCGTTAGTGTCTTCATTTTTTTTTCTTTGACACGTTTGTCAATACTGACCGTAGCGCAAACCTTTAATTCTAGCGATTTTTAGCTAGTAACCATAGAATAGTCGACCGATTCGATACCAGAAAGCCAATTAAAAGTTTTCGCTTTTAGATTCTGAAATACAAAATTATTCGTGAGATATTTAAATGCTATAATAATATTGCAAAAACGACGATTACGGAACTCGGGTAAGCTAAAAATAAGGTACAATTGGATGCAGTCTCGTGTAGCGAAGTATTTTTAAATTCGTGTATAATATTATTTACCTACGCTTAAGCAGAAGTCTCTTGCAGTGGAACAGTTTGTGCAGCGAGAATGAATTTGAATAATAGATTTTATTACTTATTACGTTCTCGCATCATTCTCCCGAGTTCGAATCCAGTTGAGCGCTATCGGTATCGACTATCCGAAATCGGCTCTTAAAGATATATCGCCGCTCACCACGAGAACGACCGACTCCGAGTATGTAATAGGCTCTAACGCATTTACTGAACGAACGCAAGATCTACTCTCTTTGTCACAAAAGTAGCCGCGATTTAGTTAATGCCGTGCTTTGATGTTTAAAATGGAGCGCAGGCGGTTTACAAATCGTTAAAAGTTTGGGGCAACATATTATGTAGCGTCGTTGCGAGAAAACCGGATCTCAGGGAAAATAGTTCAACCAGTAACATTTGAACATGTATTGAAATATAACGATTTGGTCTAGTAGGTATCTGTCACTAAGGATACGAAGAGGTAATAAATCGTTCTTTGACGTGTAGTAAATACTCATTTATAGTCTTTTGTTTTTAACCGCTGTAAAGTTGAGTCTTTCTGCTCACCTTAATCAAAAAGATTTTCAGCGCTAAAATGAACATAATTCCGAATGTCCCTTTTTGTGTGTATGTGTTTCTAATTTATCTACTGGCTTCTGACGTTTCGTCGGTTAAGGTGTCGGCGGACAAGGCCCAGGCTTACGACACGGTGGTGTTCGCCGGCCCGCCTCCCATGAAGCAGCGGCTGTGGCCCAGACATTGCGTTCAGGACTCGTGGGGCGCCGAACTGCACAAGGATCTTAAGGTGAGGTCCCGTTGACTAATCATCGCAATCTGGTTAAGGTATTACGGCGTCGAGAGTTGAACCCAGGAGTTCTACAGACCTTACACTTGTCTGTTCCGGACCGATACGTGTGGAGGCGATTACGACCACCGTTAAGTGCGTTACCGCTCCAATTCGCCGATGAAATCCCCTCGTGACCGGGCTATGCGGGTTGGTTGTCAACAAGCTGCAGGAGTATTTAACATTGGTATATTTGATTAAAAAAAATAATGGTTCCAAACGCGATCGGTTAGATTAAATTTTACCGACCCAAAAAGAGGATTGTTAATTAGAACGTTTCGCATTATTTTTACCAGTGCAATATACTCGCTCTGTTAAAACTATGTACATACTTCCAAACCCAACATTTTTTTTTATTACACACAACTTTGTTCTGTGTCGATATTATTTATCGGCGGTTGAAAATGTGGAGAATTTATTAGTAACCATGATTGAAAACTAAAATGGCCAATAATAGAAGATTCGTTACTGCTTGCTGAAAAATAACATTTCTTTGGACTTACGCTGCGGTGGCGTGTCTGGCCTCATTACTATCCACTATATTACACCTTCGAGTTATCATGCAAATTAGCAGAGATGGGCCGAGTGGTCGGCGGGTTTTTTGATACTCGTACTCGGCCGAATCATTCGGTTATGCTTTTTTATTTGATGTGGCTATACTTAAAACAACAGTGTTAATCCAAAAGTATTTATTAGTAATTTGAGAAGTATTTGAAAATTTCAATGAACAAAATCAAAACTAAGATAATGAATGAGTAGTAAAGACACAAAACTACGAGGAGATGAGAGCGAGCGACGTCTTGACCGGCGCGAACCTGTTTGCACTTGTTTACGCTCGCGACGTGAGAATTTGATTGAACCGAGCTACTGGGCCGTGTACTCGGTTAAAAACAAAACTGGAACCGAGTGAAACTCGTTACTCAGCGCATCTCTTCAAATTGTTATGCATAATTGATAATTTTAATTTCAAATAGATAATTATTCTATTGATTGTTTTTTTTTGTATATGTAAAAAACTCTTTATCTGACTGTTTAAGTTATTTTTATTTTTCAATTTGACCACTTTGTTACACATAGAGCATACCTACCTTCGTCGGCTTCGTTTATGACTTAATCTCAGTTCGTCATTGTTTCCTGTATTACGTACTAAGTTCACGTGTTCTGGCACTACTTTGCGTGTAAGCTTAATTTATTTATAATGCTGACTGTAACATTTGTTCTCTCAATTAACTGTATAACTACGACGTTTCGGATGCTTTACGGCGGCCACGATCAAGGGGAATAGAGATGGGTTCCTAATGTCGAAGTTCAATTCTACGCTACTACTACTAAAACACTGCGCTAACGCCATCTGTTAAGTCGTAATTGTTATTTGAAGTTTATAAAGTACTTTGGTCATTTAAATTTAAGAACGTGGTTTTTACAGGTAGTACAGAACGGAATCAAAGTATACAAAGGAACGAACCCCGAGGTGGATTCGTACTCCGTGTTCTGGGACAACAAGAAGTTAACGGAGACCAGCCTGAGCACGCAGTTGCGCATGCGCGCCGTCACCGATATATACATCTGTGGAATCGCATATGACGTCTGCGTCGGTAGGTTGTATTTCTTTCACCGGGGACATGCTCGATGAGATAAAGGATAAACATCGTTGTTCATGTTTTCAGGAGCGACTATCGCGGACGCGCTGGCCATCGGCTACCGCTCCGTGCTGGTGGAGGACGCCTGCCGGGGCGTCGACCTGTCTGACATGCAGCGCACTAAGAGCACGATACTCGGCAACAACGGGCTGATCGTCACCTCTGAGGATGTGGGTATAGTTTTGCGTTCGGTCGGTTGGGCATATGTGTTGCAATTGCGAGACATTGTGCCGCTTGTAATTCTCAATAAGTAACTTAAAGCTCCTTTATAATCGAGTGTAAGAACTTGTGTTTAAACTTGAGTGTAAGTATGTTTTTAGTAACGTTATGAGGGATTATCGACAGGTACTGGCAATGGTGGAGGGGCGCGATCGAAGACCAGAGCTGGGCTACAAACTAGCAATGGAACTAAAGACCGCTATGGACGAACAGTAGTTCTGCGACGCTTACCTACAAAGATTCCGACTTCCAAATCTCGAAGAGGTCTCGTCTTACCATTTATAGCTTTAACTTATGATTAGTGAATAAAAAAGTAGTTCTGTCTCGTTTCCACCAAATTGAGAAGACATAAACCTCAATGTTAGGTCTAGGTCTACTTATACTAGTCGAGGAGTCGGTCTCTCCTTGCAAGAGCTTATTTTATGTAATGCTAAAATCATCTCATGCTCATCCAGCTAAAAGCTCTCTTTTCGCTTCATGAGTTCAAAGGCTATGTGTGTGGCCTTTTGATTTAGCGCAAGGAAGTACCGTGCCGGTCTCGTTTGCTTTCCTATTGACAGTATTGTGATTTTACTGAAAAACAGAAAGCACCAAGTATTCGTAAGAAAAAAGAAACATCACCGACAATTTTAAATTAAGATACTGCTTTTTTAAGGGAATTATAACTTAAGATTTTTTGTCTCTTTGGGTACTTCTATACCGGGTTTAACTTAAATGTATTTCTTATGGGGTTAGTGAGTAATTTTCTTTTTGTCTGAAGAAAGTGATTAATTTAGGTGATTTATCTTTAATAATCGATCTTCTTGTAATGGAGTGTTTACTTAGAACTAACGCACACGATGAACGTATAGATAAGCGCGTTTCTGTACTATTTGGCGCTATTGAAAATAATAGATTGATCGGTGAAAGTAGGATTAGATATTGATAATACAAATTATTTGTAGATCTCCATTCCAGTGCATACAGAAATCTCAACGCTATGACTTAATAGGGAGTATGACTTAGGTTGTTGTATTTTAATGCTTTAAGCTTAATTAATAATATTTATTAAGGAACACATGAACAAAATCACTAGAGGCATATTTATTATTTTATTGTCTGGCATTTAAGCACTTCTTAATGATTAAAATTGTGGTATTAGTAGTGCCCTAATAAGCTTAGTCATTCCTGTTAGTTTTAAGACAATGGCTAGTGAGAAGATTCCTATTTACATCCACATACATATTTTATTTATTTGTTGAAGCTAGGCTGAAGCACTAGTTAGTAAGTAATATACAAAAACAGTTACAGTTATATCAAATCAGAAATGTGTACTAATCTCAAAATAAAAAGTATTTATTTAGGTAACATATTTTTTACATCAATCTAATTTTGACCTGGAAACCTTTTAAGTGAACGACACCCGTGCCAGGCTTCCCGACTCCTTCCGAAAGATTAAATTAAATTACTTGCAAATGTGATAACATATTGCAACTAATTGTACACTTTTCAACTATTTACTAGCTGCTGTTTTAACTTCTACTAACCGGTATACCTCAGTGCCTTCAAACTAAAGTGTTCCAGCACACAGTAACACACACTTTACCAGTAATTACGTACGATACCGAAACATGGTCTCTTACCGCGTGCGGGTTACCCTGCGTGATCGAATCAATAATGAAAACACTGGCGTATCCCATCGAAGTGGCAATGAGCTTGGCGCATCGCTCGTAGAACTGACGGCCGTTGGGGCAAAAAGGTTCCGGAGTGGAGACCACGTACCGGACGTCGTACACCTGGACGACCTCCTACCCGGTGGACCGAAGACCTGGTCATGGTAGCAGGGAAACGCCGGATTCAACTAGCGAACGACCGGTGATACTGGAAGTCTACGGCAGAGGCCTATGTCCAGCAGTGGACACCAAAAGGTTGAATCGTATTAACTTCTAGAAGCGTGAGTGGGTATGCGTGGAATACGCAACACATGGTTTAGCTGCAATCTTGTCCACAATCCTTCCTTCTCTTTCATAAATAACTTTATCAAAAATAGAGTATGGTATTTTTAAGGACTGTATATTTTAGAACATATAGCTTTCTAAAAAAGCAACAGGATTTTTTAATAACGTGCTTCAGTTAAGAATCTGTATTTCAGTAAGTTCATTACTTTTAAGAGACCCCTCTATCTGTGTTCCAAATCCGTTCGTATATTTATAACAGGAAAATAGCAAGAAGTGCAGTGGCAAAAAAAGAACAGCTTTTAGGTACATAATTTAATATAATGCAAACTACAATATTTCAATTGAGATGATTAATGAAGAACTAAAGGTAAAAAAGGCGGGCATACTTAATTTATGATTATTATGGAATTACAGCATAAAAGGACGGAGCATAATAATCACATTCTATGTAATAGATAATACTGATAATTTAATTTTTTTTAATTTATTCTTCATAGTTGATCCCTTAAGTTTTAATCATTTCTATCTAAAATCTTACACACTGATTGATTTGGTTGGTTTCGTATAAAAGCATAACCACAAAACAATATATTACTGACACCCCTGCGTACTTGTTCTTTTAAGCGGCCGTTAAGCTTGAAAGCACTCTTGTCTCAAGTTTGTCTGCAATGAAGTTTAAAATCATATAAGCCAGTTCTCTACGACTCGATGTGCAGGCCATCAGTGCTCGAAATGCTTGCACATAATCCACAGGATCAATGCTGCGTAAGTAATTTAACACTATGTATATGAGCTCTTCTAGCCTTGTTCGAATACTCTCCCAGATTTTGCGTAGGCTGACAACTTCTAAAATAAAACTTGTTACTTAGTTAAAATAACACACACACACATTTGTTAGGCTGCTAGCATTATAATTTTCAATAAGGAGGAAAATAAATGCCCAGTTAAACTAAGTGAAAAAGAATTTGTGTTAGAAAATTTTGTCATTTTTAGACTATGAAAATCTCTAAAACTCAAGTCTTAAAATTGCAGTTAGGATAATCTGCTGACCATTCCATACATTTCCCCTTGTATATACTACTGATCTACTAACTTGATACTCCAAACCCACTCAATCCTGCTGTGCTAGCACCGAGAATAGCTCCACTTTGTCCCCTCATATAGCCACCTATAATTCCACCAATTATAGCACAGGTTCCGGTGATGAAGGCAGACTCTCTGTCCCAAATCAATTGAATGTTGTACATATCAGCTGTGAAACATTTATGAAGCATTACTATTACACAAAAAAGCATGTCTTGTTGGCTTCACATACTGTTGCTGTGCCTTTTTCTTCATAATAAAAAAATGGCAGTTGACTGCTTATGATGATGATGATATGTTATTAAAATCCCTTACCAAGTTTTAATATAATCCTTTCTATCCACATTCTATCAAAATGTATCTCAGGTTCTGCTAAATACATATTGTTGTTTGTGTTTCAGATACTTATCCCAGGCAGTGGTAAGTCGTAGGTCCAGGCAATTTCTGTAACTAAATTTTTCAGTAAGAGATAGCTGTGACAAAAACAAAATAAATGTTAATAATGTATATTGACATTTATAAGCACTTTTTAACAGATTAATATTAATACAAAAAATCAGGCATTTAATATATATTTTTCCTTTTGCTCATTTCATATACAGAAAATATATTTTAACTTTATACCATTATTTATTATTACCTAATATTCTTCCAAAAATAGACCTGCATACGCATAGTTACTCTAACACAAGCCCAAGACCTCTACGATGATCGATCTTATTGTCAATTGTCAAACTAAATTATTCGGTCACAGCATATTCATTTTTCCCGGAACACAGACTTATTCCTATAAGTACAACACCGCTTACAGATTATAATTGAGCGGAAGATATTGAAAATATCTCTATTATTATTTTTTAAGGAAGATTATGTAAACCTGCAGTCTAAAAAAACTAAATTAGCTAACGTATGTGTGAGAAATTTAATGAATACTATAATGTTTATGTATTAAGATTTGAGGGTAGATTAAAAATAGATCCCAATGTATGTACAGAAAAATAGATGGAACTAGATTCCAGTGGGTAGAAAGAAAAAAATTGAATAGGTCTTGTCATATTGTTGAAAGTATTTTGCTAGCCATTATATATTAGCATTTGCCGACAACTAATATTTTTTTTAATTTGTTTAATTTGTACAATAATATAAAAATTTACAATGTCTGACTCCGAATATTCAGATTTAGACCATGAAAGTGAATTTGAGGTGTGCTGTTCAAGAGGAGCTCGATCATGTGGCATCACGGGCGCATGTACTTTACCCTTTGATCCTACATCCATAGAAAATCTCATCCTGTCCGTCACCGATATGTTCGATTTCCGCGTGTTAATGAGTGACAAGAAAGTTCAAGGCGCTGTCCTGGTCACCACGGGGCTGTCGATCGCTGGAGCACTAATCGGAAAGCATTATGGCGGGAAAGTTGGCGCTGCCGTAGGTGGTGCTGTAGGCGGTGCTTGTGGGCTTGGAGTAGTTGGTAAGTGAGTACTTTCCGGTCCGAGTGTAAAAATCCGGGGAAATTTAAAAAGTTTGTAATATCTTATTACATTAAACCCAATTAAATACTCTTGTGACTGGATTTACAACCCTTATAATAAATACTAAAAAAAAATGAACTATCATCTAAATGTTCATAACCTTTGCAGCTCACACTATGCGAGAGATTTGGCAGGACGTAAAAGGAAAGCTTGCGGAGTTATTTGACATAGTTTACGACTATCTAGCCGGTCTAGGTTTCGAAGACTATCGCAACGCAGGCAAATTTATAATGCAAAACAGCAGCAACAGTGCGCAATTAGGAATGCTCATACTTCAGTTTACATCTGATGCTTTGGGGAAAAAGATAATATCGAATCTTAGTGCCAGCATCTGAAAACTATATCACTAACAGCTAATTAAGAGATTTATAATTGTAAGATTAAGATATATCAAAGGAATGTTATATAATCCGGAAAGGTTAATACGCCATACAAACACTTGACCCCACTGACTAATTAGTATTATTATAAAAGCGACGTGATATGCGACAAAAAACGACAAATGTTTAAGAAATTTGTTATAACCATAACTGAACAAGTTCTATAAATGTATTTCCAAATTATAATCAAATCTATGACTGACTTCATTCTAGTCTTATTTCTTATTTATGCTATCTATGTCTGTAATTTAATTGTATTTATTATCACTTTGAGTAAATAAAGATTGAATGAATAAAGTTTATCGTCAGTAAAATATTGTTTAATATTTCATATTCATATGTACAGTTATTTCCTGAACAAGAGCAATGCTCAAACAAGATTTTTAATGTTTATTTTTTTATTGTAATATCTACTTACAATTTGCTAGCTGTTTAATTATTTTTCTACCTGCATCGTTTGAGAATGAACGACTTTAGCAGATTCTATTAAAAGCTTTAATAAAGCAAAAAGAGAATTATTTCTTCTTAAAAGAAAACCAAACTAACTGTGTTAGCTAGATAATGTTATGAACAAATCAACCCAATATCCTTATACTTGTATTTATGGATATTATTCATTAAGTTTCCTCCTTGCCTCTTCTGTTCCAATATTTTGTGTGTTTCGACATGTAGCCTGAAAGAAAAAAACATGTAACAATAGTATTTTAAAGTTTCATATAACAATGTACATTAGAGATTTTAATATAAAATGAAATATTTGTCCTAATTTTTATTTTCACCTAACCTACAAGCAACATTGCTCCGTGTAAGTCAATTCATAACTCTCCTCATATATACAAGAATTGGAGATGCGAACAGACCCAAAACACATGTGTGTCTTCCTCGATACACGCAGAGAAAATGGTGTCCACTGCTTTACATAAGATCACTGCTGTTGAATTTCTTAAGACTTTTCATTAAATCTATAAAGCTGGTATAATATGTCTAGTTATTTCAACCTTTTCTTTCTTTGAGATGGTCTTGGATGGACTTCCAAAACATTACATCAAGACATTGATTTAAGTACCTCAACATAGCTTTGATATATTTTAGAAGTTAGTCGTTTCTTATATTTTCTATTGAAATGAAAAGACGATAACGAAATATACCGGAAAGCAATTTCTTTCCTTTTAATTAAGACTTCCATTCACTACTTTTCTGCTAATGCGGTCAACATTCTTAAACGAACTTTCAATATATTTTAGACAGTGTAACTCATTTAAATGATTATTTACCGTATTTTTGTTATATTTGCGCTTTATTATTAGTAATAAAAAGTGACAAAATCATTTACAAAACTATGCATTATGAAACATAAGAAGATCTATTGACTACTTAACAATAACTTAAAGGTGGATATAACTGAGCGAGTAAGTAAATAAACAATATTATATAACTGCAAATGGATGAAACGGGCAGTCTACCTCAATACCAACCTAAAAAAAGCAAAACCAAAATTGCCAACATAAACAAGAAAATAATTAGGGATGCAGTATAAATAGAAAGAGTATTTATAATAGATAATACTTTAACGATTTTAAATAAAATATGGTATGATTTTTTATTATAATTTTATTTGTAAAAGATCACTTGACAACACTATTCGAATCAACGTTATTTTTATAATTTAAATTGTTATGCGCTACTTACAAATAATAATGTTGAACGCTTTAAGTTTGAGAAACAATGTGATACAGACAGGATCCGAAACTTAATTACACTTGATTGTTTTATTGTAAATGGATTTAGATTTATTGATTATACATTGTAGGTGACGGGTTACAGGCTTCGACATATTCCCCGCCCACCGTCGGTTCGCACTCGCGGTGGAGGCGTAGGTTTTTACATTAATAAAATGATGTCTGTTCGTTTATTGTCACATCCTGCTGTAAATCTAGTTGAAAAGGCCGCGTAACGTTCTCACCGACCCCGATGACGACTTAACCAAAGCCGTCGACTTACTTATTGCTATGCGATCGGCCGACACCGGTGCCGATCGCCCGCAAAACCGCCTACGCCGGCGTAGGCGAGGTCATTCGCTTCGCGTACCGCTCACCCGGGTGAGCTTCCGTCCAGCTCTTCTAGCTCCCACCCGCATTGCGGCGGTCCAAGCCGAGACCGATGCCCCCCTCGGGGCACCCTTGGTCTAGCCGCAAACACGGCGAGCGCTATCGCGCTCGCCCAAAACGCCCGGTTAGTATTCGTGGCTCCTTAGGAACACAATACGTAAGAGTCCAATCAAAAAAAAAAAATAGTTGAACAGATGTGGGTGAGAACTACCATTCGGGGCAAATTGCTTATAGACCGCCTTGGTTCGATGTACAGCTATTTCTTAATAAAATAAAAAATAATAAAAATAAAAAATAGTGAAACTTTAATTGACGTCGTTTTTAGCAAGGCTCCGGTGTCGGAAGTGGCAGTCGATCACATAAGAGATTTAAGCAGTCATGCGTTTGTATTTTGTATTTTTAATATAATTAAGCAAAAATTTAAACCTAGTTGGATCTCGTTCCGCGCTTTAAAGGATATTAATATGGAGAGTTGTAATAATACGCTTTTAGCTACTTCTCGGGAGACAATTCGGCATTTAGCAGACGTGGACAGTAAGATCTATTATCTTTTTACGTCTTATCTCAGCACATTATTCGATTTTTATGCACCTCGTAAATGGGTTTTTGCTAGACAACGTCACTATCCATGGGTGACATATAATTTAAAATGTATGATGAAGACCCGCGATGAAGCATACATTAGGGCTAGTAAGAGTAAATGAGAATCACATATTAATCATTATAAAGACCGCAAAAAACAGGTGAATGTGGCACTATTTATCGAAAGGAAGTTTACTTCGATAAATATGTAAATAACTCCATTAGCCAACCAAAAAACCTATGGATACACATTAAGGCTCACGCACGAATTAAACCCCCTAATTTAATTTAATTTTATGTTTTTTCACCAGATGCAGCCAATTGGTACTTTAGTACTGTCGCTGTAATACGAGAAGATGGTACGAGTACGATTTCTCTCTCTATTTTGGAACCTTTTTTATTTATTCGTAGTTTTAGTCGTTTCCATAATATGTATGCTGATGATATACAGCTCTATTACTCTTTCTACTTCAAAAGCTATTTCCTACGTTAATTCGGATTCGTCGAATTCTCTTATTCTAAATCCCACAAAAACAAAAATTTATGGCGTTGGGATCACAAGATACAAAATATCTCGCCTATCATTGCCCATTTCCATAAATAGCCAAGCCATTGTGAACGTGTCCATGAGTATTGAAGTCTGCGTATACTTTTTGACGAAAATCTTCGATTTGAAAACCAAATTTAATTATGAGGATGCTGTATATGGGCTTAGACTCTTCGTGCGGTCAAAGCAGGCCATACAAAGGGTATAAAATGCTTGCATTTCGTTGGGGTATACCCCCCGAAGCCATATAACTCCATATATTGTCAAGGCGAACATACTCATACATGGAAAACAGGAGACGTTTGCATATTGCTGCCCTACTCTATGACGTCATCTTGTCCAAGGCGCCTCAGTACCTACTTGTACGTACATTTTTAATGTAATTTTTTTAATAATTTTAATTTAGTTTGTTTTTGTTGCAACACAAGTGTGTTCGTAACATTATGCTCAGTGGCTCCTGTTTTAGGAGTTATTATTATTTTAATTATAAAAGTGTCATATCTAAGTAAACTTTTTAAAACAGCTAATTTAATGTTCAAACCTTCATTCTCTAGAAATAAAATAAACTAAAGGTTTTGCATTCATTTTAACTAAAAAGCTACAAATTCACAAAGAAAATTCGATAACATGCACTTTTGCTATATATTTTTATCAGGCGCTATAATTTCTAAAGAACAAAAATCGTTTAAAAATTGTGTTTAGCTGTCAAAAGTGTTATATCAAACCGAACTTTCTAAAATAGCTATTCTTATTTATGTAGCTTTATTCTCTAGGACTAAAAAAAACTTAATTTTTAAATTAAGATTTTTCTATACTACTAGAAATCCTCCGTGCTGTTGCTCTGGGCAACGCTGACGATGCCGGTTCAAGTCCTGCCCGAGTCGAAAATTTTTTCAATTTAATTTCGACTTTTAAATTATATGGTGCCTTCATGTGTAATAACATGTAAACAATATTAATGTTTTCACAAGTTTGTTTGTTTGAACGCGCCTATCTCAGGAAGTTCGGGTTCGAATTAAAATTATTGTTGTGTTGGTTAGAGCATTTATCGAGGAAGATACAGGGAGAAATGTGAATAAAACGGGGGAAATTTTTCATCTCTCTATGTTTCAGATGCGTACGCTGCGAAAACGGTTCGAGATACCTACCTAAAAATTGTGTAAAAAAGAATCATTCCCCTTTAAATGATATATGTCTATCTTTTAAGATTAACTGGCAAGAACGACCCGAACGACGGGATGCGAATATTGTGGGCAACAGCTATATACACTAATATTATAAAGAGGAAATATTTGTATTTTGGTATTTTGGTATGTATCGGATAAACTCTAAAAGTACTGGCCCGATTTTAATAATTCTTTTTTCATTAGAAAGCTACTCACTATCACTGAGTAAAATAGATCACGATAGAAATCTTTAGAAATTTCTATTAAAAGCATCGGGAGGTGTAAAAAAATTGCCATAAAATGTCTTTCATCGCATACGCTGTGAAGAGTATTAATGATAGGACAAAAAAATGTTTGAAAATATTATAGAATATATCAATATCTACAAAAAAACATCGCGAGACTTATTAGTATAACTATTGTACCTACTTACATCACTATAACTACTTTTTTACATATTTTAACAAAGTGATAGAAATGCCGAACAAAATCAAACCGTGTTATCCATACCATTTATACATTTTTATTTAAATAAATCTATACTAATATTATAAATGCGAAAGTAAGTCTGTCTGTCTGTCTGTCTGTCAGTGCGGCTTTAACCCGAAACTGCTGAACTGATTTAAATGAAATTTGAAACACAGAACGGCAGAGGGAGTGGGATTGTAGCGGCAGAGTTAGATTAGCTGCCATAAATGCGCCCTTACATAAATTAATAAACAGCCTGAATAATTAAAAATTCTGCCCCAAGTCACTACTCCACGCGGACGAAGTCGCCGGCACAGCTAGTTATTCTATAAGCAAAGTGCTTTATACAGGTTATATTTTTGTAGTGAGTGTTAGTAGCACGTAACTCGTTGTTTTGTGTGAGATAAGAGACTATATTGAAATCAGCTGTTTCGTGTTTGACAACAAGTGCCTTTGGTTGATGTGTACTGGTTGGTACTGGTTTGGTTGATGTGACAAACAGTTTGGACTTAAATTATCTTGGCGTATCGAGTGAAATCCGCAAAAAATCACTAAAGTGTTTGGGTAACTTTGATTTTCGGGCGACCCTAACTCGACATTTTTATTAGAATTAAAATGAAGTAAAGTGTTATGACTTTTTCCGCATTCAGAACAACGAGCCGTACTATTACAGTTAATAATCGTATGATTTAACAATACTATATCTCTCTGGAGAAGATTTATTTAAAAATATTGGCCAATTATTTATTAATAAATGATTTTTATTGAAACGTTAACGAAAGTATACGTTAATGAATTATAATATAAATTTGTTTTAGTATTAAAATTACGATCTAGATAAGATCGAGTCAGCGGTTGCTTAGATTTACCGCCGCTAAAAGAGGGTAGGGCTACAGAAGCTGCTCGAAGTAAAGTATGAGAATGTTCTCGAACGAAGGAAATAAAATCCGTACATTTAGGTTCCGACCTACTACTATCGTAATGAAGCTCAAATTTCCGTACAATATCAACGTTTAACTTTTTACAAGCTATATAAATGAATATAAAATCTTCTAAATTATTAAATTTTAATTGTTTTAAAGCTAAATAATATGCAGAAAATTTAAATTATGTCTATAAATTCTTCTAAATTCATATCTTTGTAATTAGGTAAATTAAATATTTCATCTAAATATGACGAAGCTAAATCAATTCTATCGTTATATTTATTAATTAAAGTATTCCAAATTACAGAATAATTTTCAGCGGAAGGAATAATACCTTGACGTATATTAAGTTTACCTAACAAATTATGTATTTTTTCACCGTCGGAAAAGTCGACGCTGTCGTAAATAAATGTTTTAAACGTTTTACAAAAATAAAAGCCACGAATCTAACTCGCCATCGAAAGAACAAAGTTCGATGGGTGGCAATTTTATTGAAGGCTTTCTTGTATTCTCGGAATTTATTTGCCTATTTTGTGCAATTAATTCTGAATATTTCTTAAATTTATATTTAATCTGAGCGTATAATTGCTCAAACGCAATAAGTAATGAATAGTTGGGTACTTGCGTCCCTTCATCACTTTGCGATAAAAGTTGGTACTCATTACGCTCATTAACACAGTTACTAAAATCTTCCCTTAATTGATCAATTGTATAGGCTATAGGCGTTCGCTAAAGACTCTTCACCGATTTTAAGTCGTCACCGTCAATATCTACCGACGAATCGCAAATCTGTTGCACCCGACCAAACAATGCACTTAGCTTGTTTTGGTATAACTTAAATCTACGATCGTCGAAACTGGCTTTAGACATTTTTATATTAATTAAATAACTAAAAATCCGTGTTCGTTTGGATCAAAAACGATTGCGCGCTGGTAAAGTTATTCACTTTTAAAAATATGAAAATAATTGTTTGATTACCCTCCAAAATTGGTCGAACTATTTTGCACCTAAAAATGGCTAATTAATTAGGCAATAGGCGAATAATAATTTTAACTAAAAAGCTACAAATTCACAAAGAAAATTCGATAACATGCACTTTTGCTATATATTTTTATCAAGCGCTATAATTTCTAAAAAACAAAAATCGTTTAAAAATTGTGTTTAGCTGTACAAAATTGGTATATCAAACCGAACTTTCTAAAAAAGCTAATCTTATTTATGTAGCTTTATACTCTAGAACTAAAATAAACTTAAGGTTTAAATTAAGATTTTTCTATACTACTAAAAAGCAACAAATTACATGCACTTTTGCCATATATTTTAATCAGGCGCTATAATTTATAAAGATTAAAAATCGTAGAAAAGAACTTTAAGTTTAAGTAATAAACTTAAGTTTATTTTAGTTCTTTTCTACGACTTTCGAGTCAGAAGATATAGTGAATATTGTGAAGTGAAAAACTAAAAGTGAATGCGGCTCGAAATTTAAAGCGACGACCAATATTTTTCATTTGCGAATTCAAAAGTGCTTATCAAGATACAACTAAAAACATAAAGTTTTTGGCCATATAGTTTTTGAGTTAACAACTTTTTTCACATTTTTGGTCATAGTAATTTAGTTTACGAATACGATCTTAATATTAATGTAAGTGCACTAGAAAGCCCTTTAAATAGGCTTTCTAACGACATATCGTTTGTTATCCTACGATAACAACATCATATGAAACCAGCGTCTTCATCTATTTGCGGTCGAGCTGAAGCAGACGGAGCGTTCGAGTCCTCATCAGGGGTCAACCTTCTGGAGCACGCCTAAGCGAAATATTGTAATATCAAGAGAACGTCTTAGTTTATATTATTTTAAATTTTCATTAAATTACGTGAAATAGTTTTTAAGATATAAGCCATAGCATCTTTTGTTAACGGTTTGGGATACACAAATAAAAATATCACATCGATAGTTAATAGCCAAATAATACATATTATATATCGCCATTCGATTGATATTTTTCTCCTCATATAGAATATAAGGAGAAAATTAAAAAAGTTATAAGCCTTTAAATTTCTTAAAATTTTCTAAAATTAACATTACTTTTCAGCGCTTATAACAAATAATATATAATAGACTCAGTAATTATATAATACTTATTAAAAACTTTGGTTCTTTAGCTATCGACTGAGCTCAAAAACATCAAAATCCATCAACTCTAAGTATTTTTAAATAACGTTTAAACATTTTATAAGTATAAATCTGTAAAGTTGCTAAAAGTTTCCAACGGTTCTTAGTTTAAAACGGTTCTAATTCAAACAAAAATGTGCCAAGAGCGATATTTTTAAAATATTTATTTAACAGCTGTACTTGAGTAAATTTTTTTAGTGAACAAACATACAAAATTATATTTCTTAAAACTTTAATATAGTATAACTTCCTTTATAATTAACTTAGTCGTGGTCGTCATTGGACGAGCTATAGGTTAGTGCATTAAAAAAATCCCCCCCCCCCGCAAAAAAGAAACCCCTCACCCCCTCAAAACCGGAAACTACCCCCTTAGTCCTAACAGCCCCGAGTTTGGGCTTAAACTGTTCGTCTTTAAGAGAGGAATATTTTTGCCCCTCTAGTTTCCCCCTCCCTCCACTTTTTTAATTTTTTTTTTCAAATTTTTATATTTTAGTAAATTATATGTACTTCTATAATAATTTCAGCCACAATAATTTAATTTCCCTATTGCTCGGGATACCCACCTAAACAACACATTTTTTCTGAGCACCATTCGCCTCCCCACCCCCTAAAATATTTTTTTTACCTCACCCCCTCTGGGTCTAACTCCGGTGATCCTGGTCCTAAGTCGTCGAGATTGGGCTCAAGGGATCCGTCTCAGCACGGCGAGTCTTTTGGCTCCAATAGATTTCCTCATTTCCTCCCCCTTCCCCCTCCGAGATCTGATTCTGTGTCTGTAATCGGGAAAACAGGTTAGGTTAGGTTAGGTTAGGTTAGGTTAGGTTTGTTTTTTTTTTTGTGTTTGGGTCCTACTAAGCCTACCATCCCCGGCAGCATTGCTCCGGGGCCGAGGAGGAGAGAGAACCCGAAGACTTTAGAATCGGCGCTAATGGTTTACGCCAGAATTCTCGGGGTGTGTGTGTGTGTGTGTACATTTATTGGTGTATAGACTCGCAAACAGGGTTTTTATTAAGATTACAATATGAACTTAAAACTAACTTATAACTAATTTTTATTATTAACAAAGGTTAACTTAACTTAGCTTAGCCTAGGTATTATTAAATGCTTTGAGGTTATTTACAATATTTTCTATATGTTTAGTGAATAGTTCTGTTGTTTCACATTTCTTAATTACTTTGATTAAAAACTGGGGCTGTTGTACGTCAATTTTAAAATTATTACAAGAAATATAGAAATCTAAACGGGTGTTACTAAAACGTGGACAAGAGAATATTAGATGATCAAATGTTTGTTTCTCAGCACTATCACAAGGGCAGAGATCGTCGGGCGTTATGTTGAATCTATGGAGGTAAGATTTGTTGAAGGAGTGATTTGTAAGAAATTGAGTTATGGCAAAGGAGGGTTTAATAACGGAGAGGAATGCGGAGAGGTCATCAAATGTCGGAAGGTATTTTTTAGTATGACAAGAGGTAAGGGGTTGTTCGTAGAATGATTTCCTAGAGTCCATAAGTGAGTCGCGTAAACGGAGTTTAATGTGGGAAATAGGGGTGTGGATAAAGTCAGGTGATTTATGAAGGGAGGCAGCAGATTTCGCAGCAATGTCAGCGATCTCATTGCCAGCTATGCCTATGTGTGCCTTGACCCATGCGAAGCCGACATTAATATTACTAGACGATAAAGTATGTAGGAGGTGAAAGATGTTAACGGCAAAAGTATTATATGAATATGGGTTTGATAATTCTTGTAAAGAAGATTTACTGTCTGAGAAAATGATACAGGAGTTAATGTTATTACTATTGGAGGCAATCCACTCGCATGCTTTGTGGATTGCAAGCATTTCAGCTTGAAATACAGAACAGGAGGGGTGTAATTTAAATTTTTTAGTGACGTAAACTTCGCATGGATCAAATGCCACAAATGCCGCGCCAACAACGCCATCGTGTTTACTGCCATCTGTGAATATATGGTAGGAATAATTTATGCTAAGGGATGAGAATTCCTCCATCGAGCTAATCTCGGTGAAGGTGATAGGGGTGCGAAGGGACGGATGTAATAGAGACGACGGGGGAGAGGGTTTTTCTAGTGGAATATCAGAGGGAAGGAAAGAGGAGTAACCAAGGTGTTTAGAGGTTTCGATGGTTGCGACGGACTTTATCTTTTCAGGGAGAGGGATGAGTTGAGCTATAGAAATAGAAGTAATAGTGCTGAGAGTGCGGAAACCATGAACTATCTTAATGGCAAATAAACGTTGAAGTGACAAGAATTTTTTAACAATGAATTTATATTTTAACGAATTAGACCAGATGTTAGCGGCATAACATATTATAGGAATTATAACTTGCTCATAAATAGTCCGTATATTTTCGGAATGTATTCCCCAAGTGGGCCGAGTAAATAATAATAGTTTGTGAAATAATTTCTTAGATTTTTCGATTATATACATTGAATGCTGAGTGAATTTAAACTTATTATCTATGATTATACCTAAATACTTAAAACTACTTACAAATTCTAACTGTACATTATTCATGATAACGCTAACTGAGTTTGCTTTATTGGTGAACGCGGTTAGGGTTGTCTTCTCAGGGCCAAAGCGTAATTTAACGTTTGAACCCCAGTTATAGATTAAGTCAAGTGCATTGTTAGTTATAGTCTGTAAGTCGGAGAGGGATGATGAGTGAGTGATGAGTAGGACATCGTCAGCGTAGGCCTGAATATGGCAGCCAGTGGGGAGGTCAATGTCAAGTAGTTCGTCCATAATTAGGTTCCACATAGTGGGACCACATACGGAACCCTGCACGCAACCCCTGCGCATAGTCTTAGTCACAGATATGTCGGAAAAGTCGATACCTACTGTTCTATTTTGTATATAATTGAGGAGTATATAATATATATTGCTAGGGCAGTCATAATGTCGTAGTCGGGCGAAAACAGCAGGCCACCACGCGTTATCAAACGCGGCTTTGATATCGAGGGACACAGCGATAACGTGCTCCCCGCGTGCCTTCTTAGATCTTATTAAATCTAAAGCTGTAATGATAGCTTTAGAAGTGGAAGTCTGCTGTTTAAACCCGAACTGTCGAGGATTGCTGAGTCGTAGTCGATTAAGGTGAAAGGTAAGTCGGTCAATTATAAGTCTTTCGAGTAATTTTCCGAGAACATTAATGAGTCCGATAGGGCGAAAGGAGGATAGTTGAGAGTAATTATCTTTGCCGGGCTTAGGGATGATTTTGACTACGGCGTGTTTCCAGGGACGAGGGAAATATAATAAAGTAAGGCATCTATTGTATAAAGTTGTAATAAAGTCGGGGAAACAAGTAGCAAACTGTAAACATATGTCAGAGGTCAAGTGGTCAATTCCAGGGGCTTTTTTGTGATTCATTTGTCGGAGTCCATTAAGTATTTCAATATAAGTAAAATTAGGTTCGGGAGGTGTATTAATAGGTTGACTCATTAATGTCCTAGTAGCGATTTGAGCGTCAGTTACGTCATTAGAGTCGTCGGGGAAAAAATTTCTAATTAGAGCGTCAGCAGTGTCGTGCGTGGAGGTGGTGTAGGAGCCGTCACTGAGACGGAGGGTAGAGGGTGGTTGAGAGAGGGGTTTAATTTTAATTATACGATTAGTTACCGACCAGACATCCTCTTTAGTTTGTCTGGTACAAAATTCTTTAAAATGTTCGGTCGAGGCGGCGCAAAAAGCGATTGAATAATCCTTTCGAGCTCTATCCCTCTCAGCGATAACGTCGTTAAGGGGTAGTTTGCGCCGTACGAATCGGCACAACCTGTGGTGAGCGTGAAGTACTTTTTCCTTTAATAATTGTAAATTTTCGTTCCAGAAGGGAGCTTTGGGAGGGGCATGACGGGACCGGGGGAGGAATTTATCGCATGTTCTTTGCAGAGTCGAGGTAAGTTTATTAATAATTATATCTAGATCGTGTGAGTTCGCGGAGTTAATGGTCTCTACGGAGGGGAGCTCCCTCCCGACCTCATCTGTAAACTCGTCCTGTATGTCCTTCCAACGAATAAAGGATGTGTTATACCTAAATGTAGAGAGTTTTTTGTTTTTTGTGAATGCAATATTGTTAAATGAAACTTTAAAGGTAATTGGAAAATGATCTGAACTAACTATTAAACCCGAATTAACTGACCAATTATTTATATGAATGTGTGAGCAATTACTACTGAGAGTGAGATCTATGATTGATTCGCGTGGAAGTTGATGTGTGACAGTGTGGAATGTTGGTGAGTTGCCTGTGTTGTGTATGATGAAATTATTATTACAGATAAGGTCAAAGATTAGATCTCCCCTACCATTGTTGGTTCTAGAACCCCATAAACCATGCCACCCGTTAAAATCCCCGCAAATTAAAAATGAAGCGTTATTATTATATAAAATAAATTGTTCTAAGTTAGTTAAAGTATTGAATGTGTCATGTCGAGGTTCTATGTACACAGAAATAAGAAAAATCTTTCTGTTAGAGATACGATCTCTGCATTGAACAATGCAAAGATTAGAGGTGGAATGCGACGAAATACCAAGGGTGGAAACAGTGTTTTTTCGGATAGCAAGGGCTGCAAGGGTGGGACGGGAAGTAGGGAATTGATAAAGTGTATAGTCAGAGTTAGTCATTTTCATAGAGTCAATGTTGCTAGTATATGGTTCAGTAATAAAGACAAACTCAGGTGCGCTATCTGAAATATAAGTAAGAAGCTCGTGTAGAGCGTTTCTACTACGTCCAAGGTTGATTTGTATGGAATTTTTATAATTATTATTGTTAGGGATATATGTAGAACTAAGGGTGTTATAATTGAAAGAACTATGATCAAAAAATTTTAATTAAGGCGGGGCGTTGGGGGGGGTTGGCAGGAGCGGGGGGGGGGGGGCCCCCCTTTTAAAACCGGTAAAGGGTTTTTTTTAAATGTGTACTACTCGCGTAAACTATAGACAGTATTTAGAACTATGATCCATAATCAACCTTGGACTTAGTACGGCCGACCATAAACTGCTTCCTTGGACAAGCATCTGAAGCTGCCCCGTGATCTAGAGGCCCCTTGCTTCCACCGTTCTTCTCGTTGTTATAAGCTTTGCAGTTAAAACAGGTTAATTTGGATTGTTCTTTTTTTGACTGGACAGTCTTTAAACTCGTGGTTAGAAGCAGCGCAGTGGGAGCAATGAGTCTCTTCGGTCTTGCAAAACTTACGGGTGTGTCCGAATTTTAAGCATTTAAAACATTGCAAAAGCGGGGTGAAATCTTCAACGTGTACACGTTGATGGTCGATGTTGAGCTTAAGTGATTGAACGATATGACGCCAAAGGTAAGGAGCAGAGACAAATACAGCATTATAGAGGTTTGAGTTTCTATTGGGTCGTTTAAACTTAAACTCAACGTCGGCTTCGTTTCGGATGTTAGCTTTGATATTTTCGTTTTGATTAATAATTATATATTTAAGATCAGTGGCGGAGATATCAGAGCTAACACCCTTAACAATAAACATAGGTCTTAACTTACGAGAGACTTCGGCCTGGATCTCGGGGTTGGACTCCCCAATCTTCTTCATGGCGACCTCCAGTTGTTCTGGACGGTCGAACTCGACGCGCAGCTTGCCATTCGAGACAAAGTGGACGCCCGCCGGGGCGAAGTTAGTGTCCCGGAAGGACACGTTCTTCCTCCAGCAGTTTAACGTATCAGAGGAAGATGAAGAGTCTTTCTTCGATGAAACGATGAGAGCGGGTTTGGAGACGGGAGGGGTGGGAGGGGAAGCTGTCGGGAAAGTTACAGACCGAGAAGGAGTTGCACGGACTGCCTGGGCATGAGTCATGATGGGTGATGGCTGGTGGGCAGCAGCGAGCTGCTGCTTGAAGCTGGTCATCTCCTTTCGCACCGCATCAATAATGTCCCTTTTAAGGTCATCGGAGGCGATGGAAGATTGCGGAGACGACTGGAGTGGTGCGCCAATGACGCCAGGTAATATGCGGGCTGCTGAGCGGATTTCCTCGGCAGCCGCAACGATCTTTCTTCTGTTGGCAGCAGTAACATGTTTACCATCGTTAACAGTCTCTATAATACATGTGATTAATTTTCCAAGGACGTTTTGAAAGGAGTCCACACATGATATCTCCTCAATGGTGGAGGGGAGGAGGGGGGGGTCACCTGTCCCCGTTGCGCCAGGACCTCTACTCTGATCCCCCATGGTCGGGACCAGACCAGCTCTTCGGGTCCAGGAGTTATTCCCCTCGAAGTACAAAAATCTTCGATTCTGGAGGTGGTGGAATGTTCACGATGTTGGTTGCCCTTATAATTGCTTCACATAGAGTGAACGAAAATTCGGTCAGAACTGCTCTCCGACGCTTAGTTTCGAGCGACCGCGCTTTACAAAGTTATGCGGGAATGGCGGATTTGTACCGCTTCCGGGGAAAAATTCGCTAAAAATACACTATTTGACTGAGGGTCATGAAAATTGTCTGGATTGCACTTGAATAAATGTTCTATAAGCTAGTAATGTTCATAAAATTATAGTCCTTCACTGCACTTCACAAAAATTTTTTAAAGTCAAGGTGGGCTGACCATTTTCTGCAAAAAGCGATTTTTGGCAGAAATTTTTGAGTGAGCAAAATGTCTAATATACCGTTGAAAAGGGCGTCGAACGGCGGTTCCAACGATGTATAACACAAGGCCCTGATGCACAAAAATGTCACTTTTGTCGCCACGTGGTTTTTTGTAAAAAGTCAATATCTTTAAAAGTACTCACGGGAAAAATCCGAAAATTGGCAGGAATGTTCTTTGCACTGAGCACTAACATAATAAAAGTCCAAAAAGGGGTGTCACCGATCGTTCCAGCGAGATATTATCTCTCGAAGAAATGACGAAAAAATTTTTCACGAAAATCTTTGATAACTCGAAAACCAAAAGTCGCCTGATCATGATCTATATATCATTTTAAAGGGCGCAGAACGGCGGTTAAAACGATATATAACACTTCCTGCTGACACTTGTATTTTCGATTTTCACTGACACGTGGTTTTCGGAAAAAAGTCCATAACTTTGTAAAAACACATGGTAAAAATCTGAAATTTTCACAGAATGTAGAAGTCCACAGTCACTTTAAAAGTACATAATAATAACATGGGGTTACCGCGATAAATCGAGAGCCGCACACATGAAACCACTTAACTTAGTCAATTTTTAACCTAAAAAGGTCCAAATGAGGTCCTAAGTCCCGGAATTTTTGGTCCAGGTCCAAGATAATTACACTCCCGTGTAGAGAACACAAAACACTACACTTTGGCATAACTTTCACTTTGATATTCAAACTTTGACTATTTTCCGGATTTTTAAAGTGCGGAGCGACGCGGAACGTGTGCGCTCCGCTCGGCGGATGGGCTGCGACTGGTTAGGTTAGGTTAGGTTAGGTTAGGTTAGGTTTTAGGTTATTGTTAGGTTATTTTTATCACCTACTGAGCCTACCCCCCGGACGAAGTTATCTCCGGGCCGTGGAATATCTGTCTTGGTTTCTTTATTTATTTTTTTTATTTAATACAGGGTTTAAAATAACTTTACAGCTGTCCATTTTATTAATGTCCTTATTTTGTTTTGTTCTTTCATAGGTACATTTGTCTATCTTAAGTCTATACTTAATTCTTAAATTCTAGTTCTTTATTGCTTTTTAATATTACATTTTCTTGTCTTATGTCTATACTTATTTCTATACATTGCTTTATTTTATTTATTCCTGGCGTTTGCCTTACGCACAATTTTCTTAATATATTTTACTAATTTTGGCCTCGCTTTATTGCTGGAGAATATTTCCGACAGGCTGTTTTCAGTCAAGTTTATGTCCAGTCTCATTTCTAATTCCGCTCTATCCCGCGCGTGAACTGGACAGCGGGCTAACAGGTGCAGTACAGTTTCGTCGCCTTCCCCACAGATGCAAGTAGGGTCATCTTTTAATTTAAATCTGTGGAGGTAAGCGGCAAACCCACCATGGCCCGTTAGGGCCTGTGTTAGCTCGCTGTCCAGCCCCACCTCTCTCATTGCCTTAAGGGCAGATGCGACGGTTGGGAGGAAGAACCTGGTCGTAGAAGCCGTTGTTCCAACTCCATATTCCTCCTCCCACCGCCGAATCGAGTCGGTTCTCAACAGTCTTTTTATTTTTGAGACTGGACATCTGTCATAGTCGGGTTTTCTCTTTTTGTCATGTGCGGCCTCTTTAGCGAGCTGGTCGGCTCTCTCATTCCCTACCATTCTTTAATCCAGTAGAGCCTCCCTCCTTGTGGTTGGAGAGGCTCCCAAGGGTCTCTCTAATTTGCACAACGAGGGGACTGAGGGAGCGACCACTCACTATGTCATCCAGCCGACCTGGTCGCTGCACAGGTTTACCTTTGGGCTGGCAACTTTTTGCCAGTTGCACAGCCTTGTGCAGCGCCACCATTTCGGCCTGGAAGACCATACAATAAGTCGCCAGTTTTATTTTGACAGTCTTGAGTTCTTTGTGGTCTCCAACATGCGGCGCCCACCCCGTCTCCGTCTTCTGCCGTCGGTGTATATGTTTGTCGCGTCTGCCTGTTGGTCAAGTCCAAGCTCTGGGCTGTAATGGTCAAAGGCTAGACGCGGCTCGTCAGCAGGGTGTGGGAGTTCGCTCGGTCTGGCTCTGGTCTCAATGTCCGCGTCGAGATACGGAAGGGGGCTGAGACCTCTTTTCACCCTGTACAGAACCGCCGCCTCCTCAATCCTCAGGTTAATGGGAAGGATTCCCGTGAGGATTTGAACCGAGTGTAGCGATGCGGTTCTGTACGCCTTACATATCCTTTGTAAAAACACTCTCTGAATTCTTTCAAACTGGACTCTTACACACTTTTTACTTACGGCCTGCCCCCATGCTCCCGCGGCATACATCAGGACGGGTTCTATAACTGCAGTATAGATGGTCCTGATGATTGACGTGTCGAGGCCCCAGCTAATCTTTGCCGCTCTTGCCAGCTGGTGGAAGATCCGGTGGGCCTTTGCACAGATGGTTTTGACGTGGGTGTTGAAGGTGAGGCTCTCGTCTATTATTAATCCCAGAAGCCTCACCTCCCTCACCACCTCAATGCCTTCCCCACCCATGCTCAGTCGTGGGGTGTCATGCTTCAGCTTCTTAGTCACAACCATGGCTTTAGTTTTGTGTGGTGCGAACTTCAGCTTGTTCATGACGCCCCACTCCCGAACATAGGCGAGGGCTGCGTTGGCCTGCCCCTCGATCTCCAGGGCAGTGTGGCCGTCGAAGACCAGGACAACGTCATCCGCGAATGCCTGGGCGCAGACTCCCTTTCTTTCAAGGCCTTGCAATAGGGGGTCCAACAGCAAGTTCCATAGTATTGGGCCCCCTATGGATCCCTGCACGCAACCTTTCATACACTTCTTTTCTGTCTCACTCCCCCCCGTATCTCAGTTTCACCTTCCTGTCTTTCAAGTAACCGTCAAAGACCCTCCTCAGATTTTTAGGGCAGCCCGTCTCTGCCAGTCGGCATCTTATGGCCGGCCACCATGCGCTGTCGAAGGCGCCCTCTATGTCGAGCGAGACCAATGCTGCGATCTTCTTTTCGCGAAGAGAGCTTTTTATGTGGCTCAGCAGGTCATAGAGGGCGTCCTCGGTGCTGCGCTGCGGTATGAACCCGTACTGCCTCACGCTCAATTTCGGCAGGATGTGCCAACTCGCTCTTTTCACAAAGAGTTTTTCCGCGATCTTCCCCATCACTGGAAGCAGGCCAATTGGTCGGTATGCCTTCGGAGTCGTGTAGTCCGTCCTACCCGGCTTCCGAAGTATCACCACGGTGGCCTCCTTCCAGATGGTGGGGAAGTGTCCTATTTTGAGGCACCTATTCATGAGCGCGAGGAAGATTGTCGGCTCGACCATAATTGCTTCCCTACAGATGTCCAGGGTCAGTCCGTCTCGCCCTGGTGCTTTTTTAGGGTTGAAGGTGCTCAGGACCGTTCCCAGCTCTTGTACTTGTGAACAAGGGGCTCCGGACTGTCATCGTCGGGACCCTCGTTCACCAACTGCGCTTTTGCCCTTATTTCCTTATGCACCTGTTTGTCTTCGCCCTCGTCATCATCCGGGTAAAAGGTCCTCGTTAGTAGCTCTGCCGACTCGTCCATCCCCAGCACTCTTCCTTCCTTTATTAAAGGGACATCCTCTTTTCTAACTTCTGTCCTTTTGAGAACCCTATATATCCCTTCCCACATCCCTTCCCTATCCTGTTTACTACAAAATTCTTTCCAACTCCTTAATTTTTCTTCTTTTATGCCAATTTCATATTCTTCTTTTATTTTCAGGTACTCCTCTACTACTTTCGATCTTCTGGATTGCTGCTGCGCATCGGATTCTTCTTTTCTTAATCTTGACCTGTTTTTTCATTTCTGCCAACTCCTGGGTCCACCATGGTACGGTAAGTTTCTTAGTCTTCCCTAGTTTTGGAATGTTTTCTTCGCATGCTTCCCTGATCGCTTCTGTATATGCTTCGACTACCCTATCCAGTTCCTTTTCCGTCATTATCCTTTCTACGCTCTCCACTCTTAGCTCTTCCCTTTCCAGCAGCTGGCCGATTTTACCACGAAAATCAGTCCAGTGCGCCTTCCCCGTGTTAAAAATCCTAGTTGTCCTTTCAATCACTATTCCTTTCAATGTCGTTCCCTTTATCCTAAACAAGATACCGTTGTGGTCCGAACTAGTCAGTGCTTCCTCGACCCTCCATTCCTCGACCCGTCCTAAGAGATTGGCCGAATGGAATGTGACGTCGACGAAGCTACTGTAGTTCTTCCCCCCTCTGTATGTGTCAAATGTGGGTGTTATACCCTCATTCGACACATATGCCCCCATTTCCGCTATTAGCCCCATTAGGCTCTCCCCTTACGGTCCGTTATCTTGCCCCCCCAGAGGTCGCTCTTGGCGTTAGCGTCGCCTGCAAAGATGACGTTTGGGCCAACCGACTTCCAGCTCCCCCCCCCCCCCCCCCATCCTACCGGGGGGGTGTTTCGGGGGATTTTTGGGGGGGGAAAGGGGGCCGGGCCCCCACCCCCCCCTCCACCCAACCAAAAAAAAAAAAAAGCCCCGGGGCCCCGCCCCCCCCCCCCCTCCTTCCAGGGGGCCCCCAAAAAGAAGGGGGGGGGGCCCCTCGAGGGTCCCCCGCGGTTGATGAAGGGGGGGGGTTTCCCTGGGGGGGGGGGCCCTTTTAGGGCCCAAAAAGGGGAAGAGGGTCCTTTTCTTGGGGGTTACCCAAAACCACCCCCCCCGGGAGGATGACGACTTCCAGATTCTCCGAAGCTCGTTTAGGTAAGGTTCAATGGGCGTGGGTGTGGGCTCGAAGTAAAATGATACTAGGTGCACGTCCTGTTCGTGGGTTTTCGCTTTTACCACGACGATGTTTGGTGTGGTGAGGTCTGGACAAAGTGTTGCATCAGTGTTTGTATCAAACAGCACGATAGCAGCCTTGACCACCTTCTCTGCTTTCCCCACGAACTGGAAGATTCTAGTGCCCCCGTAGTTCTTCATTTTCCCTTCCCTTCCCACATACGGCTCCTGAACCAGCGCCACTGCCACCTTCCTCTTTTTGCCCCTCCATCATGAGTTCTGTGGTGGCCGCGTCTTTTCTTTGTAGATTTGCCTGGGCCACCAAGAGCGACCCCCTGTCCGTCCTACTTACTCCTCTCGCAACCTTAGCAATAGGCTACCGAGGCCCTTGCCAGCCTGTCCCATCTCCTTCTTACTGGGCACTCCTGCTCAAAGGCATTGTGGCTGGCCCCTTCGATGCTTGCCCTGCTGCAGTTTATGCAGGAGGGCTTTTTCCCGCTTTGGTGCTCAGGGCAGCTCTCCTTCTTATGGGGTCCGCCACAATGTGAGCAAGTGTCTTTTTCTTCCTTACACAACCTTCGTCCATGGCCGTAACCCAGGCACCTCGAACACTGCACCAGGGGTGTTTGGTCCACAGCCGCCACTCTCTGTAGGTCGATATGCACTCTACCCGCCTCCGTGATATTATGCCACATTACTGGCGGGACCTGCACTACGACGTGGTTGGCATGTGGATTTCTTGTGTTCCTCCTGTATCTAACTCTGATCCTCTCCTCCTCTTCCTTCCTTACTTCTCTCATTAGCTCCTTGTTCTTGCACTTGAGCGCCGCTACAAGTTCTTCGTCTGTATGGACGCTCAGCACATCCCTGAGGAGTATAAGCGGATCTTTGTTCGTGGCCTCTTCGACGAGCAGGTTTTTATTCTTCTTTAACTTCTCTTTAACTTTCTCCAGTTCTTCCCTGCTTTCGCATCCTATTACTACCTTTTGGTCTTTTATTTTCCTGATCCTATCCACTCTCAGTCCTGTCTTTTTTGCGTCTACTACCCTCCTTATCTCTTCCAGTACCTCTCCGCTTGTCTCTGTTCCTTCCGATGCTACTGTAATGGCATACTTTGCTGTTTCGTATTCAGGTCTTGTTCTTCCCTTTCCTTCTGTTTTAACTGCTGTCGCGGCCACGCTGGCATATGATTTGAATTCAATGATTCCTTGATTCAATGCCTCCCTAATCTCCTTTTTAGATGTTTCCTCTTCTTTCCTATATTCTTCTATCCTCGCTGTCATTTTTGGTAGCTCCCTTTTCAGTTCCGCAAACTCCCTTTCTATAATCTTTCTCTGTTCCCGTAATTCCTTTATCAGATTTTCGGTTCCTGTTCCTGTGTCCTTTTCTTTTCCTTCTATGAGTTCTGATTCTTTCGTTACTTCTTCTTCTGTCTGTGTCTGTATTTCCCTCACTTCTCGTTTTCCTTTGCTTTTACTTTCCTTTGTTTGCTTTGCCATTTGGCGCAGTGATTTGATGGCTTTCTTTATTCCTTCCTTTATATCCCCTCTTAAATTCCGTGAGTCGTCAATTAATTTGTCAATCCTTTCTAATAATTCCATTTCGTTTTCTCCTTCTGCTTTCCCTTCCCCAAGTCTTTCCTCCTTTCTCGCGGTCGTGGCAATCGCGACCTTCTTTTCTGTTTTATTTTTTACAGGTTCCCCAGTTTTTTGCACATTTGGCGGTTTTGCCTGTGCCTGTTTGGCCTGTTGCTTGTGTTGTGCTGGGGGGGAGAGAGAGAATCGCACTACTTGCTTTTGCACCAGACCTTGTGGACTTTTTGTTTTTGGCTTTTGCCTTTCGTCCCTAGTTTCTAGAACTACAGTCTTGTCATGACGGGTGTCGTTAGTAGTCTCTGTCATATTTTGTTGACTAAGTCGTTTGGGGGGTGGGGTTCTGACGATTGAACTCATTTTGGATAGGTCAGTAGGCTTGTCAAATTTGTAAAATGTCAGTTTTTAAAAATTTCTAAACAATATCGCCAATAAAGCGGGTCCTTAACAGCTAACTTATTTGCCAATAGGGGCCTAGGTCAAAACGATTTTTAAAACTTATAGTCTAAGGATTACCCCCAAAAAGAGGCAACCCAGTCAAAAATACAATATACTAATTAACTTAAAATTTTTTCTATTATCACAGTTTACGCCCCCAACAGGGCGGCGTGTCGATAAAATAGGTATTAAATAAATTTATTTATTTAAAATTAGGTCAGTAAGTACAGGGTACTAAATACAGAAACAAATCAATAAGTTAATTAATAATACAAAATCTTAGCACGTTAATTATAATCTAATATCACAGTCCACAATTCGGGAACGGTAGGGGGGTAGGGGGTTGGTTTGGAGAGGGGGGGGAAAGAGGGGGAGTGTGGGGTACCGTTAGGTTGGCTCTAATTAGCTTTTTCGGACGTGTATACGTATACTACGTATACACGCCTGCAATTATTTTTGCTCTAACTCTAACGGTTTAGGAGCTATGTGAGTTTAAAGTTTTAGAAAAATTTTAATTTTGAAAAATATTTTTAGGAAAAAATTTTGATAATGGGAAAAGGTGTATAAATGTAGTGCCAAACAAGTCGTTTATACCACCTTAGGTGGTAGAAACTGAAAAATGGGTTATTTTTGGGCTATCTCCTACCGTTCCGGAGATATCCCGGTTTTTGTGTTGTGGTATTCCCGAGCCGATATCTCTGCCGTTTCTCGTCGTATCTCGAATCCAAAGATGTCTTCAGA